CGGCACTTATAATAGCTCTTGGGACAAGTCGCAGAATCCTATAGAAGGGTCCGTTGATTCCAATAAAGACAAGACGCCAGACTTTCTGGGAAAATTCCCAACTGTAGCTCTTTTTCAACTTTGAAACTAATTATAAACAGAGGTACGACATGTTAAGATGAATTGCATTTGCCTTTTTTAAGTTGGGTAGGCACTGCGAGTCTCTAGACGACAGACTGAGCTTGTTTCATGCCAAACAGAAAGCAAAACAAAGCACAATAGCTGGTTGACGCGAATGAAGTTTGTCTGTACGTTTGGGGAAAGTCAAAAGTACCAGGAAGGCATTGTAAAATGTCGGGCCGTGTCACAAATTTGATTATCTGTTTGTTAGTTTATTGTCTGAATCTAAACAGCAAGAGAACTACCGATATAAAGAATACTTGAATTAAACACATAAAAATGACCAAGGTCTGACAGAATGTTTTCAATTATTTTATTAGCAGTTTTGGCATATCTCAGGAGCAAGATAATTAAACCGTGAATTGCGGCATCAAATATTAACACAACGAATTAGCAGTTTGTTGCGGGCATCATCTTTGCATACTGTGGATGATGCATGAAATTGGTTTCATCATTATTTGCACATGTTATTGCAATTGTTGGTCTTAAGATCATCGGTATTGGCCAGTTTTGCAAGGCTTGCTTTCGCATCTTTGCTGCAAGGATGCCTACGATAAGGGTTCCATTAGCAGCTAAATATGCTCAAGTCACGTGGTGTTTTGGTGTTTCATTTCTATTGTTGAGCTGGTAGACCAGCACGAGGTTGAAAAAGCGACAGGTCCAACTTTAACAGATTTTAGATTTCCTTCTCAAGACTACAAAATAGCTTGCAGTCTTGTACATGAAAACAACATACTTAGTTGCTAAAACTAAATATGGTAAAAGAGGAAATGTTTTACTTTTGACGGCGAAATACGCCTCGCTGCAAGGTAAGTTTCCGGTGCAAAGGCAATTCAAAGTTAATAGAAATCATGGATCTATTTGCCATTCTGGAGTGGATTTTGAATGAGCCAGATTAAAATTTAAATATGTAAATTTGTGAAAAGCGAGGTGTTTGTCATAAGTCGGGAGAATCAATTACTGAAACTAAAAGTAGTGAATCAACTATAAACAGATACTTCGGGTTCGTCTTGTCTCGCATTTTCATGCTTGACTTTGGCAGCTTTTCTGATAGCTACTGTATAAATCTAAATTGGTGTAAGAAATTTAAGTCAATGAGCTTATGAAACTTGAACTGCTTTAAAATGCTTATTAACTCTCAACAAAGAAGGGCTGACTTACCTAATGTTAGGTGTTTCCAGTGCAATTATGCAAAACAAGAATATAGACAGTGTAATCAGTGATAGTGGAACACCTTCTAGTGGATTATATAAAGTTATTTGTTGCCTTTCTTTCATGCTTTCATCTTGCAAAAAATCGTTGCAGTTCTGAGAAAAAAAATCCTAAACCTCTTCAACCATGCAAACTAAAACAATATTTTTCTTCCTCATAAATGTTTGGAATTTATTTAATTTCATAGGACGTTCGGCACCATGCGTATGGAGAAAATGATCTTAGACTTCAATGAGATAGTAACTACAATTCAGTCACATCAATTATTTGAGATTAAGAGACAGGTCAGCAGGTATACAGCGAAACCTACATAGGCTGGCTATAGACAACCTTTTAAAAATAAATTGTTCTATACAATCATCTTAAGAAAATGATCTTGAATGAATAATTTGCTTCACAAATTTTTTTGCGACTCTTTTTCCCTTTCGAATTTATTTGCTAAATGCACGAGGCAACAAGTGGATTGGCTTATGTATTCATCCTATGCAGTGCCACAATTCACATTGCTAAAGAATGTTGAATGAATATAAACGTTTTAGGCGTAAAAGCTGGACAAAATGGCAGAAATTATAAACTGTTTTATTTTAAGAAACGTTCTTGCTGAAAGATTTTACATGACGTTCAGTTGCTGTGTGCTTTCATCGCGTTTTAACTATGCAAATTGCTGGGACGGATGTAAGGCAGTGCAGAAAGGTAAATTCACCATCCTGTCTGTTGTAAAATTGCCATTTGCAGAGATATGAGAGCTATTGCATGTATTTGCACATTGCCATAGAACCTAAAAATTGGCTCTGTAGCTGTGATCGAAAACCTGTATTCACAACCGAATGTTATCAGCGCAGAATTTCTACATTCCGCCTCTCTAAGGACATTCTGCGCCTTCAAGATGCTCGAGTCTACCTTTCCATCTCCACAGTACACGCCATTCTACATGTATTAATTGACTACATTTAGAACAACTTTTTTTAAATTTTTACCAATGAATTTTGAAACTCGGAGATCGATTTATATCAGTATGCAACTACATTCCAAGTAGTTCTACATGAAATTAAAATATGAATCTAACAATGCGAAATTCTTAACTTTTCGATTTTTTTATTCTCTCTTGGATTCATAGTAAGATAGAACACTTTAAACTTCATAATTTTTTCATGCGATTGTTTCTTACATCTAGAATGTAGTTTTTTATGCGTGTCTCAAATGCAGTCCTTTGGCTGTGACATTGTGGAAGGAAGCGGCATGAATGGATGATCTGTAGTTTAGACAAAATGCGACAACATCTAATGCAACAAACAGGACAAGGAACAAACGATTTATTCCAAAAATCGTCTTAATTCGGCATTTAGTATGCAAAAGATTCGGCCACATCAATAAAAGAACTGCGTGGCTTGAAATGTTTCTCTAGTTATTGCAACTGTGCATTAGATCTCGGATACACATGTCACTTCAATGCGCGGCCATTTTTCGTCAGGTATACCTTGAGAGATCTTTTGAGCGAAGATTTAAATCGGTTGATCATCTCGTCAGTAAAGGCCGCCATTATTGTGAAGGAAAAAAGCGGCAATTTGATTAAAGAAATCATGCATCGAGCATTACGCCTTTCCTGCTTGAATCATGGGGATTCTAGTCAATATTCGCTATCAAGTACCAAATCTTTTTGAAGTCTTATTTTGGTCCTTCATTTCAAAATTCGGTTTAGGCCCTCTCGCTGTGAACAATATCGCAGCTTGTTGTAGTGAATATTAAACTCTCTTTTCAACCGCAAAACTACTTTATATTTTAGTATGACAAACGAACGGTGCTTGTCTTTGTAACAAATGGTTTCAGTGTTAACTTGAGATAAAAATGAACAGAGTAAATTATCTTTTACTTTTTACGAGAGTTAAATGTTCACCATCTGAATGAATGTTTTGGGTACTCTTTTTGTTCCAAGAAGTTTAGAAGCCAAGTTAATAAGCTTATGGGCATTAGACATCACGATAAATTTTAAGGTTTAAATTCGTCTGGTACCTTGTTTTAAAATTTGTTTTGATTTTGATAACGAGTTTAGTGTCCCTGTTTGGGCCAATGATGCAAATCCCGCCTGGATTTTGTTTTTGAAAGGAGCATAAAAACCCCAATTAAAATGCTTTTGGATCAAAGACCAATTTTAGAACTGTCCAGAGTTCTATTTTGATGAGAAAACCGTTTGCGATTTAGATAGAAGGTATTTTCTTTTATTGGATCAGTTTCTAGGCATAATTGTTTTAATACCCGTCTGGATTATGCCTGTATGCATCTTGAATGCCCTATGCCGTATTAAGAATATGCCATGATTTCAAAGTAGGACAAGCACGTCTTTGCCCTCATTCTCTTTATGTATGGTTAACCCGCTATAATGGATTATCCCTTGGCCGAAAAGTACCGCTCATGTCTTAGGCCCTTTTCAATTCTGTAATATGCAAGAGATGTGCGTGTTTCCTGGTTATCAACTAGTCCTTTGTTCGAAATGGCAAAGACATGCACTTAACGAATAATTTCCTTGCGACATCTTTTCGCTTCGGAATTCAGATATCATATTTTTGTACAATCTATTACCTTAAAGAGATGAGTGAATCTGCTGCGAAGCAATTCAACAAACATTATACTATATTAATCAAAATTGATACATAATCCTGTTTTAGATATAGTTTTCGTTCTCTTCTGTGCCTTGAGTAATACAAAAAATTAACCAAAATATTTGGGGTGATTGAGTTCATTGTAAACACTTGGAAGTTAGAGTATGTTCAAAGACGAAACTATACTGTTTTACTTTGCAAGTATATTAATTTCTTGTATAGTTTTTGCTTGTACCATTTGTTTGTGAAGTCTGCAAAGTTGAAGTCTGAATTCAGTTAAAATTCATCGTCTACGCAAGCCATTTCAAAGCATCTTCGAACCATTTCGGTGGAGCTTTGTTGCATTACACCTGCCAGAGAGCCACATAGCATGTGCTGCTTTCAAGAAAGATCTCTTAAATGAAACTTTCTAAAGCTTTAGGATAGAGATGATAAACAAAAGATAGAATAAATAGGGTTGATAAAGACTAATTAGGAAGATTAATTAGGACTATATTTATTTTCAGTGCTGTACTTTTCAACCAAAGTTAGGGCTCGACTAAACCGAACATCTACAATGCTTCATTAAATTGAAAGCAATTTCGGTCGAAAGCCTCTTGTTTCTTCAACAAGGCCAAATGAATTTTTTTGAGATAGAGGCGTACGTCTTGAAAGTTTGATGTTCTGTTCGCTTCAGATTTTCAGAACCAGTTACGAGATTTTCTTGTTACATTAAATGATTCCCATGTCCACTCCATAAGTCGTGATAATTGATTCATGTTCATGCTATTTATCTGTTCACCTCATGTGGGCTTGTTTTTTGTAACTGATAAAGAAAATTGTCTCTATAGCTCATAAAAGTAGAATTTTAGCAGTTAACTCATAAAAATTGGCACTGGTTTAATTGAATCAAAAAGGCAGAATTACGAAGTGGCTTTGATCTGTCTTCTCCATACCTTGAGGTACTTTATCTTCTTATCTTCAAGCAAGAGTTTACCGTTATAGTATAAATAACAAACTGGTTATTAATTAGTGTTGTTATGTCCTTTTCAGCTTCTCAACCAATACAAAGCGCTGCCTACCACCCTTCCTTACCCTGCATTCCTTTATCTTCAATAAAAACATCAGTTGGCTCCTTGGATGTGCCAACTAGCGGAATAAAACGACGACATCGAACGATTTTCACAGATGAACAGCTTGAGATTCTTGAAAGAATGTTCGAAAGGACTCATTACCCTGATGTGCTTGTCAGAGAACAAATTGCAAACATGATACAACTAACAGAAGAGAAAGTTGAGGTGAGCTAACATTGATGAATATCACTATTAAAGTTAAGATAACACTGGTACCTTGATACAATAAATAAAGAAATAAAGCTTAAATGCTGTCAGTGAACTTTTATCATTAATGCAAGATTGTGTTCCAAAGCAGTGTTGCAATTTTCTTCCAAGTGCTTGCTTAATAAAATTATTGTTTTTCCGGCCTTTTCGTGACAACGTACTCGACACCGTATAAGAAAGGCCATAATCACTTTGGTGTATTTTACAAGACGGTTCTAATTTGCAACTTCTAGTTTCAAGCTTAATGCAACCATCCGGCAACTGTAGAAAGTGTCTTATTAGAAGGGGTTGTAATAAAGAGGAGTTGGTGCATTTTGCCTTATTTCTTTTTCACATTTCTTTTTTTGGGTCCTGCAATCCTTTTAAGAAGCACTACTCGTTTCCTTGTTGGTCTCCGTATGCAATCCGTATGTTTTCCTAGTTAGTGAAGTCTGCATAAAGCGTTTGTATATAGGAATATCATGTTTATATCAAAACAGCCCAATAAAAACAGTTGTGTTGCTTTGAAAACGTAATATGAATCGTGAAGCAAACCTTTCTGAGATTTGTAACAGTTGATCAGGTGCAAAGAAGCGAGAGATAATGTTTGGAATGAGAACAGGCTACTGTCCTGTAATCTGTTGCTAAATTTGTGGATTGTGAGTTGGCAAAATGATTTATATCGTTAAGAAATTTGGCTATAGCAAGAAGCACGTATGGCTGTATGTTCCTGTCAAAGTCTGGTACAGCAGTCAATTTATCAGATGTCTCTCAACAAGCATATCTATTAACATTAGAGACATTGAATTTACCATATGCAAAACAAATCGATCCATTCTTTGATATGACAGTGACAAGCGGAGGATCATTCATGATCTGAAATTACCTGTGATATTTTTTGTATTGATGGAAGTCTCCACTTAAGTTGTAATAGAACACGAGAAAAAGCACCTATGGACATATCGTAACATTGTAGACTTAGCAAAAAGAAGTTATGAAAAGTATAAATTATGATTCCTCGAAATCGCCGTTAAATTTTCTGATGGAAGGCAGCTTGATTGGCGAACATTATTCATTGACTGAATTCTCAACTTTGCGGAGGCCATCAAAAATTTGAATAAGCTAAAAACCGTGGAAAGGAATTATGGCTGTTCGCCTTTTACAGTACGCGGACCAGTAACAAACAAAAAAATAACTGAATTAGTTAGCGACTATCCAAAGCGCAAGGGTCCAGATCATGAAATCCTTGTTGAGACGATTGCGCTCTTGAATTTATGAAGGAAACTTCTGCTTCTCGTGGAAATCTATTAAGCGGATATACGCACGCAGTTTGCTGCAGAGATCATCCGAATTTATTAGAAGGCTTCCTTTTAAAATTGATAATGTCTTTTGAGTAGTGCTTAATGCTTTTCAGCTATTGTCACTTACTGTAAAGATCATTGAAAAATGACTATTTCGGTCGGCCTGCCTGCTTGATAATCTCGAGCGGGAGTGGCCTGCGTGCAATTCAACTTTCTTCTGCCGATTGCTTTGAGCCGCGTTGTTTTTCCGAGCTCCTCAATAAAGTGAAAAGAATCGATAAATTGGCTTACATTAGCAATTTGATTTTCACCTTGAATGACTAGGGCTTCACATGCCGCAAAAAAAGAAACGCTAGCACCTGGTGAGGTCACCCCTTTTGAAAGGCGCTCCTTGTGAACTACTGTGAAGGAGTTCTTCGCAATTCGGCTATTTTTTCCTCAACCAACATTGAATTGATATCTTGTGTAAGGGGGAAAGTTATCAGAAATAAAAGACATAATTATTCACTGATGTTCCTTTGATCTATTGCATAGAAATTCTATCGTTTATTGTCCTGTAAGAGCTTCCGAGTTTTAATTGAAGACTGGATGTTTTTGAAATTTTAATAATTCTCAAGTTGTTTTCGATAAACTGATGGGACCCAAGTAGCTGTGAATAGTATGGCAAATGATCTTTCTTTAACGACTCTGAACTGGAAGACCAAAGAAAAATTGAAACATTTAAACCTTTTATTGAATGCATGGCATTTATCAATATATTTTCTCAGGAAATTATAAGCTCAGGAAATCAAGTTAACAAAAAACTATTAAAAAAACAAGAATTATTTTGTCAAAAAAGTAAGAAGTTAAAATCATAAAAATTCTGATTAGCATCCAGATTTTATAAGAAAATTTAGCAAATTTTCGTAGCAAATTTAGCATAAAAGCATGAAAATATGCCAAACTTTTAATCGTAACGCAAACAGCAGAGAAGATCCTTCCACTGTTTCAGATGCAAAAATTATCCATATAGCATTCATTGGAATTTTAATCATGCAATGACTGCAAGTCTAAAAAGAAGAAACTGTCTGAAAGATATAATTGCTCGCCTAACTGCACAAATGCTCCGCTGCAGGAAAATTTGCAGCGATATTCTAGAGACTTTCTTTTTGGGTGAAGACATGACCCAGAAAATTGTCATTTGACCTGTCGTCAAAAATAATATCATCTTTAAGTAAAATAATCCTATTCTTCTTCCACTTCTTTTCCTTGAATGCTTTCATAAAGGTATAATTTCTACAAACAATTTTAAGCTGCAAGTAAACCTATAAACAAGAAGCAGTATTTTCTGTGCTTCTTAAGCTTGACCTGTGAGCATAAACTCCAAAAAAGTTTGCCAAGGACAAACATTTCCGCCTACAAACTCTCATCTGATTCTTCTAATTTCAGAGCTTAATGAAAAACAGCAATCATTTTAAATTCTACCCTCTTGATTCTATTAGATAACAATGCTTTTATCTTGAGGTTCAACGGCTGACCTAATGATTGCCTTCAAAAACCTGTTTTGAGATGCCCAACTCAGGTTCAATTAAAATGATTCAAGTCTATTTAACTAATACAAAAGTCTTTTTCGATTGACATGTCAAGATTATCTCAAAGATTATCTCTTTGGACAACAGATACAATTATTATCTTAAATCAAAAACCGCTCTGTCTTTCTCTGCTATTATGTTTTTACTTCAAAGAAGTTAAATTCGACCTTATCACTTTCGAGGTTAAGTTAGAATATATGCTTCTTCATAAGCACATGTTTACAAACAAATTTGTTAACGTTTACGAAGACCTCTTTCGGATGAGAGATGAAAAAGGGGAAATCTTTTCTTCCTGAACAAGCTTTTCGTATGATTTCCTTTTTATTCTGTTTCGTTGATACAAGCAGAAAGGAATCGCGCACTTTCCTTCTGCCATTCACTTTTCAAAAGAAAGTTTTGCGTTATAAAGTTGAATGCAAAAATATGGAGACAGCTGTCGGTCTAGCGTGATTCTAGCATGAAAATCACGCAGGAAAAGAAATTGTTGCTTGTTTGTATTCTCTCACACCAAACAGTTGGTTGCAACTGGCAAATAAAGCGTTAGGATGTTTCAAAATGTTTGCTTTTTTAAAAACCATTTCCAAAAGAGTGTGTCTTTCAAAACCATTTCCAAAAAACTGGATACGGGGATTGAACTCTTTGGTGCTTATGTCCTTAATTTTTAAGGGTTGAACAAATGTAAATGTTGTGAAGAAATTTGATAAACAGAAGGTATGCATGGTCGTTTGGAGGCATACGGGTTTAAAGACAATCTAACTCTCTTAACATTTGTCGATTAATCCAAACCTGACCGAAGGAGTCTCCTCAAAGCAAATGCTGCATCGGCAGCCTCTGTGACTCAAAGCGGCGCATGCCTAGTCGGACATAGCTGCAAATCGCACTGAAATTGGAGAGGATCTTTGGATTTAGGTTGAAGATGAACTTTATTCAATAAATAACCAAAGGATTGACACGAGACGGAAAGCTTTGTGGTTTATTCGTTTTAATTAATTCATATCATTTTATGAAAATTTAGGATAACGTTACACAGATAAAACTTAGCAGGCTTGAAAGGGTTATAGGAAAACAAGGCTTTGGGAAACTACTGCTGGCATCAATGGCTCCGCTGTTATAGGTGCTTTAAAATCGCGAGTTGTAGGCCTACTTTGCGAGGAAGGATTTGAGATTTGAGATGTCTATTATTTTGGGATTGGAGGCGTGATGTTTCTGTTTCAGTAAATGTGACATTGCATCCTCACGATTGGCATTGAGAGAGATTCCCACTTGAAAAATGTTTGCCTTTAGTGATAGCTACATATAAAATTTGAAATTACATCTGATGATTCAAGCTTGAACAAATAATTTTGTCGTGCGATATTTTCAAATTCTCCTTGGTGGTTGGCCAGTTTTGATTGTGTTGTCAAGAATGTATTAGTTATATGTGATTTTGCAAGAGGTAAACGCATTTATATCAGTTCTTGTCGTTTGATTGTCAATGCGTCAATTTCTTAACTGTTGATATATGTACGGGGTTATGCAGGTTCTGCTGAACCAGAAGTCTCTTTTAAGATGGAATACTTCAACCATTATAATCTACGTTTCGTGCTTTTTTCAAGGTTTGGTTTAAAAACCGAAGAGCAAGATGGAGAAAGCAAAAGAAAGAGAGGCAAGTCAAGCAGTACCAGGATATCAGGCTTGAAGAAAGCACACTTCGCCACGAATGTTTTGTAAACGATGGCGAAAAGCATTCGACTGGACTGCAGTCTGAAAAAGAGAAAGGCAGTACATCTAAGTTCTGGACTGCACGAAACGATCCTGAAATTTATCACATAGAGAAGAGACAGTAGCCGCCAGTCAATATTGCCTTAGACTGATATGTGTATAAATCCCAACGAAATTAGCTATCTATTGTTTCTTTGGGGATGTGCTATTTATTGAACCGATGAAAAAGGTATAAACAATAGCCTTAATCAAATTGATTCAAGTTAGAGCAATGTGGTAACTACGTCTTAGTATATTGCTTGTGAAACTTTTTTCTAAGTTTCAGGTTGAGATTGTTAGGCCTATATGTGCTCTTTACCTACCAATTTGTTTTCATTTATCAATTTCCCCCAACTTAATTACTACACTCTTTATTATTCAGAGCAGCTGTATTAGTACATGGGCCTCAAAATTGGCACAAAATGAGGACAAATTAAGAACAATGTAACTTTGAACAAAGTTGTGAGACAAAGTTGTAAAAAATTTCATCTAAAAACGAGGAATTGTTTGACATCAAGTAGCGCTTTGACGGTGAATTATCATATTTGTCGGCAAATAAAGGATGTCTTACTCACTTTGTTGGCAAAGGGGCATAAACAATCCCTTTGAGCACAATATTTGGCGATGGTGCTTCTTGCACCCTAAGAATCTAAGAAAAAATAAGAACAATCGAGCCTCAAATTTTTGAAAAAATTGAGAACAGCCAGTCTGAACTTTAGTTTAATTGTTCTCATAAAATCGAGTATAATTTTATTCATTCAAGCTGTTTTACTGTCCTAGTTATTATAAAAATGCGCCATTATTTACTGTTTCACGAGAAATTATTTGACACAAAATGTCTTTGGTAATAAATTTATATAGCTTATGCTCCTCTCATGCTGTTTGATTAATATCAACACTTCCTTTTTTCTTATTTGTAATGTCTTCCTCTCATTTGTACTGTCCGACCCGGTTGATGTTTGTACATTTTGCACGAAAGGGCCCAACCTTTACGATTTTAATTTAGGTATGTCATAAAATTATGCCTGCATATTAGTTTGAAAAAGTAATATAATTATTGTAGTTGTAAAGATCGTGTAAATATGATGTATGTTGGCTGTAGCAATCATCTATGAATCTGTTGTTTTTCTATCTCCTGCTTTTGTTAAAACTGTTGTTCCGAAAATTGGCTGAAGCTAGATCTTTTTTTGGGAAAAATACAGCCATATTGCTTTTTTGTCCGAATCAACTACAGTTGAGTCCCGCTATCTCGAACTCGCACGGGAAATAAAAATTTGTTCGACATAGCGAGACTATCGACATAGCGAGATATCTAGACTGGGGATTTCCTCAATTGAAAAAGGGGTCATCTGATTTTAAAAGCAGGATAACAACCAAGGAAAAGGGCTCATTTATCTCCAAATCTTCGTTAAACATCGAACTGAACTAGAATAGTCTTTTAATGAAGTTTGCTTTATATTTTGGAGTGCTTCTTCATAGCAAAATCGCAGAAGACAATGGTTTTGTTTCTTTTGCTGGTGTCAAAGTAGCAGTAACAGAAGAAATACCCATTATAAACAGAACTGAATTCGAAGTGAATTCTTTTATCCAAGGACACCATGTTTATCGTTGTATTTAGCAGCTCAAGATTGGAGAGGCAAACAAAACATAGCTGACAAATATGCAGTGTGTGACAGAAAAATGAAACTATTCTAGAAAATCTACCGAAAGGAAAGACAGGCAGATTTGCAAAGACAATCTTCTTTTTCAGGGCAGATGAATTTAGTTCCTGTGTGGCTGTGGTGAATGGCAATCTTTGGAGATGGCAAAGGAGTGCAAGTCCCTTGCAAGTTAATCATTTTTGGACAACCTAAATTTATTTAACATTTTGTACCAAGCCCTGTAAGAAAACGAGAGGAAATGGGAATATATTCGAGACAAAGAGTTTTTCAAGAAAACCGTGCTCGAGATAGCGATATTCGACTGTATGTTTTCACACAAAAGTTGTTTATCTTGCCCTAAATAGCCACTAAATTAATAACTACATGCCAGGCTCAATAAACCAGGTATAACAATTCCAAAAATTCCAAAAACTCGAATCATCACACTCATGGAATCGAAAGCTTGTAGTATTTAGGATGTAAGCTTTGGAACAATCTACCAGAAAACTTGAAAAACCTAAATACTCTAAATATCTTTAAAGTAGAGATCAAACAATGGAAGGATAATTGCAACTGCAGGCTGTGTAGAACCATTGTAGCACAGGTCGGGTTCTTGACATGGAATTATCTAACATGATTATTTTCAACTATTTTTCTAATTAAATCCCAGTGTTTTTTAATTTATTTCTTTAAATGGCTTTTATATCACTGTATCATATTATCATTTTTATTCCTATAAATAGGAAGCTTTAATTAGCTTATCTTTTAGCTAGTACAGTAAAGAACGCTTAGGCCTGGTTCAAACGTCGCCCTTCTCATATGCCGAACCTAACTCTGTTTGGAGCGACACTTGAGCATGTTTAGCGCGACTCCCGTTTCAAACGTCGAACCTAATTATGTCGCGCCAAATGGGTTTTAAGATTGTTACATGAAGTATCTTGGTTAAGGCGCGCAATCTCAAATATTTGTTTGAAACGCATGCGCCCTCCAAGAAAGAAATGAATTCTGGGAAGGAAAATAAATTAAATATAATTATGCATTGAGTTCGGTACATGACAAGTTCGACGCTTGAAACCGTGCCGTGCTGGAGCCGTGCAGCTCGGCAAGCTCTGCCGATCCAAACTAGTCTGTCGCTCCTAACTTAATCTGCCGTACCAAATTGACTCAAACGTCGCCCCCCTCATGTACTTAGGTAATTCTCAAGTTAGGTTCGGCACATGAGAAGCGCGACGTTTGAACCAGGCCTCACTGTAAATAAATTAATTATATTATATTATTATATTATACTATAACAAAGCAAAAAGTCGATGAATTCATTTTGTAGAGAAGGCAAAAAAAATGTAGAGCTCAATGTTGTTTTGAAACTAGGCTTATGCATTTTCTGCTCTTCTGCTCACAAGTCAAACATGTTGTATTTATGAAACTTAAGCATTATTTTCAATAGAAAAGCTAGAAAAAATAAAAACCTGTTCGTGAGTCTCTATTTACATTGCTAGTAGACACAGACCTTCCCTTCTCTTGTTTGTTGTCACGGGCCGAATCTAGACTAGCCACTAAAGGCCTTCTTCATTGTCCAACATTTATTGACTTCTATACCCTTTTGGAAATTTAAAGGGGCATAAAGCTGTACCAAATCTAGGACAAAGGTTATCACAAAGAAACATTTAACAATAAGGGCATTTAACAAATCTTCTAATAGTGTTGAAACAGTGATCAAAATTTGTTTATAGTCAGAGATTGTAGGAGTTTATTCTGTAGCAAAAATAGTCGATTTCATCTTTGCATGAGATCGAGGTCTGGTTAGCCCATCTAATATCTGCCGGGTAATTTACCATGAAAATAAAAACATCCTGTTTAAAATGAATCAATTAAATAGGCACATTTTGCTTATTTCATGAATAAAGAACCGTCTTTTCTACATTCCTTGACTCAGTTACTTCAAATATTCATTTGCATTTGTTTGTAATGAAATAATTTTCTGTTTTGCAACTATTTCAAGATATTTGAATTATCGCAGCCAAATCTCCCTGCCCTTAAGCCTATTGGCAGTTCTTACACTAACATTTTTTGCTACCTTGCAGCTTACTGCCCAGAATTCTTTGCTCCATTCTCATTTCCAAAGATACCAGGAATCTTGTTACCAGAAATTTTCACTCTAGATTTTGCTGCTTATATTGCATTAGCAAATACATTGCAGCTTTATACATTAGCAAATCCTTAAAATTATGTTTTGGTTTTATTTTTTCAAAGATTCTTCTTCATGTAAAGAAAATATTCAAATTTTCTGATATACCAATATGTTTATTTGCGGCCGGATGAGTGGAAAAACGTATCTAAGTTGTCCAATAGTCAAAGAATCAAACACTTTATTAAAACCTGTCTGCTACTGTGATGATCACGATAGTAAACAGATTTGGATAAAATGCTTGGTACCTCATTTTAGAGCTTTTTAGATGTCGTTTTTTGTGCTTTGCTGTCAAGTACAATGCCTGCCAAAGTCCTGGAACACTGACGTCAGTTTCCAAGGTCAAAATCAATCATCCCTCTTTCCCCAACAGAACAATGTTGATTTACTATCAAACTGGTTAGGATTTCAGGAAGCATTTTCTTTTGCCTCTCTAAATAACCAACATTGTTTTAGGGGGAAGGGGGTGGAAGTAGTGATTTTTTCTTCATGAAAGGAATGAAAGATATCAAAGTACTTTTGGCAAACATTGTAGTCAATCGCAGATATTTTCCTCAGGTAATTGATTTCCTTCATAAGTTATATACTCCCCCTTGTAGTGTTCTTATAAGATTTTTATTTTGTAGCAAGAAAGAATTGGGAAATTTATTCCGTTCTCTTGTTGAGTATACCTATCTGAATTTTTCACGAGGATCTATGCTAGTTTAAAACCAAACTCAAGGCCTGTCAATACTGATGAAGTTGCGACTTTTCATAATGCTATGCTGGGGGTGAAAATCAACGATCTTTTTCAGATTCAAAGTCATTTCACAATTTTAAAAGAATTTTTGTCCTTCCCTCGCATTGTCTTATTTCTCCTTACGTAGTAAGCATAGAAGTTTTATCCATGACCATGATAATAAACCAACACTCACATTTTGGGGATAGTTGGAGGGTCATGGTATCCAACCTTCTTATAGAAGATGGCACCTGATAATGAGTAAGCAGGTAGAATTTAGAAAGTATAACTTGTGCATCTATTTAGAAGATTTCTATCAACTATAGTTGAATGAAATTCTATGCGCAAAAGATACTATCCCTGCTACCAATGGCGAATTTTTAGCTAATGAAGTACGATTAGTTTGATTGTTCAAAACCGGAAATTTTTCGGCCCTGTCATCTAATGAACAATTTTGCAACTTGTGCAACAATAATTACCATTGTCTGAAGAAAGTTTTATCAATGGGATCATAATGATATATCATAAAGTTTTTTCAGTATTTTTTCTCTGTTCTTTCTATTTAGACTGTCTGTTTGTCAAAATATCTTGGCGAGCAAGTTGAGAAGGAAAATGATTTCACTAAAAGAGATATATTTAGAAAAGAGAAGTGGAGAGGGAAAACAAAATTTGAATCATGCATTTTGCAAATGTAGGAGGCTTGTTTCAAATTAGGTAAAGGTGGCATGAAACAACTCAACAAGCTTTTTATAGCGTGTTTTTTGTAAGAATTGCTTTTTGTTCTGCGTAAGAGTTCGAGATCTTCTCCAATTCAAGTACATCATTTAATCTAATACAATGAAATCAGAAGTTTTTTCGCAGCATTAAATGTTTCCAAAAAAATTGATTTACAGCTTTGCTATTTGCAAAGTGGACTTCATTTGAAAATGAATAGTAACGCAAAACACAAATGCAGTTGTAGGGGTGGCATAAAGCTTTGTTATTAGCAACACTCAACATGGTTAAGCTTCTTTCTTGTGCTTCAAAAGAAAAGAAAATTTGAATCCTGGTGTCAGATCTTTAGGCATTTTTCTAATGAAAATACAATTTCTGTCACAGAAACCAATACTGATGAATTATGACAGCTTGTAATCACTTGAAAACACAAAAATGCCTTGATGAAATGATCTCAAACCCTCTTGATTTAAAAACACCGCAATCAGCATAGAAGATAGGAACGTGGATAAATTTGAAAAGGATAACGAATGGAAATAACTAGCAATGTAATTTTAATTAGTGTTCAATTTTGTAGGGGATTTAAAATTGATAGCCATATTGATAAAATCTATAAAAAAGCAGCCAAACTGTCTCATTTTCATAAAAGAGTAACAAGGTAAAATAGAAAACAGATAATTTTAAATTCTTTTATTCTATGTCATTCCAATTATTGCTTACTGTTATGGATGTGGCAAACGTACTAGTACTGGTTTAGCTTGAAATATCAACTTGCTTGTTTGAAAGAGACTAGCCAGAATATTCCGTCAGTTAGAATACTGGCAAATGGAATTTTCGGAACTTTTAATAATATAAATCCTATTTCTAGGAAGAGCTGTTTTGTACATAAAACAACAGTTCACAGCCATCGAAAACTTATTTGCCATTTCAAAGTCAGATATGTTAATATATTTCATATTTCTAAAGCCTTGAAATCTGGAGCTTGCTCCAAGAATCAATACAATACTAGGACGTTCAAAACATTGCTTAGAATTTTGCTCTTACAAAACAAGTATATGCATCGAAAGTGATTTGTTTTATACAGTCTTGAAATTGCTTTATGCAAGTGAACATAAGATTTTATCAAAGCAGATTTCATATTTTTTACACTTGAATACAATACAATTTACTGTATTTTGTTGGAAAATTACTGATTTTACTAAGGTACAAGTTAGCTTAAACTATAAATATCTCCATATGATGCAAAAATATCCTCAAAAATTGAAATCCTATGATTTACGGCATATCCTTGTAAAATATAATACTTGAATATTTGGTTCTATTAATCAACCAGATTTAAATCAGAAAGGCATGAACAGCAAATGATTTTTTGTGAAGCTCTTCTTTTCACGATATTTCATTCATTTGACAGTTATTCCATTTAAGTGCAATGTTATGCTTGTTTCAGACTTGGTTTAATAAACTTTGTAGAAGTTGCATTTGATAAAATGAAATTCAAAAAAGCTATATTGACAAAATTTATCTTACTTATATCGTAACTTAAGTCGTAAAAGCGTTCCAGAAGATGCAATAGCTTGAACAACCTTTGAATAAACAAATTCAGGCAACTTTATTAACAAACAAACTGCAACTTTTTTGTTCTTACTTTGCTAGAGATCATAGTTCTTCGTCAAATGGGGATTTTCAAGAAAGAAGCTTGAAGATTTTGCAAGATAAATGGGTCTGATTTTACTCCATTCAATGTACGGCAGGAACATCATCTTTCTTTGAAAGAGTAAGCTTGTTAGTTGGGGATTGCCCTTATACAGCATTATTGTTTTGAAAGCACGATTGAGAATTGAAGCATGCTGCATTTTCCTACATTCTAATATGGGTAAAAATTTTATCAACCAAGATGTTTTTTTGCTTTCTATGGAGAAAATCGAGGTCTATCAGTCATCAGTTTGTTGATGTAGCATGGTTTTGAAAAAAACTGTGGAAGCGCGAAGACATAATAATTTATAGAAGACGTTTTGAAATAAATGAGTCGGCTTCTTACCTTGATTAGGGCAAGAAGGGAAAAATTCAAATTGTTGCATGATTTGATTACGTAAACAAATGCACGGTTTCTCTTCTAAAATTTGCAGCTTCAGCTAACAAAGAATCTTCTCTGACGAAATTTGGAGTTTGAAACTCTGTTTTTTCTTTTGAATATTATTCTAATTTGGTCATCAAGCTCTTCAAGCTTTTATCAGAACGGGGGTATCCTTTCTTCAGGGTAACACCTTCTAATGTTTAAACGTACTATTTTATTCTTCTTCTTATACTTGCACGTGTTGTGTCTTGAATTTTGAATGCAAAACACAAGAAGCAAATTGGCAGAACATTTTTAATAGTTAATTTTATTTGAAATAAATTTCAGCTTTGCGATGAATTTTCTCTTCATTTTTTATATAAGTGGAAACTTTGTTGGCAATTTTAAGTGGGAAAGCTAAAACAGCACTGACCTATTGTTCTAAACCATTGCTTCGCTATTAGAGTTGATATATACAATTTTCATTAGCTATCCTTAAAGTTGTGTTTGCTCACAAGATATAGTGCATTTTCGATTTTTGCAATCTACTGCTCATAAGATGTACTGTATTTCTAAAAATGCATTGATTGTAAAACATAAACAGCTTGCGAAAAAAGAACAATATTCAAGGATCCTCAAAAAATACTTTAACCTTAACTATTTCCATGAGTTGCTCTGACCAGCTGCACACTTCATGTGCCAGTATTGAAGAGGCTTGATGAGCCAAAAAGAAAATGAAGGATACACCCCTGTAAAGGTTGGATACCCCTCTGTCGGCTAGAGAAAGTGTCTGCCGTGTTTCTGTAAATATCGCTAGAGAGTTAGACTAGGCTAGCTGTTTATCCGTTGTCGTAGTATCAATTATTTAAAATGATTACTCTCTCAACAGTCAGAATATTATAAATCGCCCAACCTTCTGAAAAACCTCACACTCTTCAGTGCAGCTCGGAAGTCAACTTAGCTTACTAAGTTCAACTGATTTAAAATAATTTTTACCAAAGAATTCTGCATACAAGGGGCATCAAGCTGTTATCACAGCCCAGGTAGTGTCATTTCAGCAAATTGGTACAGATAATTACTGAAGCAGACTTGATTCTTGGCAGACCAGGACTTGCGTGCACAAGCACTTGGAACACTTACTGGCATTTCAAAGCGAATAACAAATCTTTCTCACCTAAGACCACGATGGATTGCAAAGGAATAGCAAAACCACTGAGCGTATACTCAATGATTTCATCTGTCAGTGGTACCTTCCTGCCACTAACCGGACTTGGGAACATTGCTTTAATTCTGACCATTGTCATAGATCCGCTTAAAGAGCTGAGGACCCGCTTCAATTTCATCTACCTAAACGCCTTAGCTGCAGATGCAAGCTTCGGATTTCTCATAGATGGTTACAGGGTTTGGGGCAATTACCTCAGATCGACAGGCATCAACCTAAAGAAGGAATACCCATACACTGTATCTCTTGGAAAAATGTGTCACGTGGTGTACTTTGGAGTCCAGCTGATTTCTCTGTTAACAGTAGCCTTGCTGTTTGCAGACCGTATCTTCCATGTTGTTTTTGACAGCAGAAAACCAGCTTATATCGTTATTTTCGTTCTCTCAGTTTTAATTTGGGGCCTTGGACCTGGGATAGCAAACCTTTATGTCTCAGTAGGTTATTCTTCCTTCGAATTCACTCTCCTAAATCTAAATACATTTTTGTCAGCTGCTGCATTTTTGGCTGCCTCGTTTGTTTATTACCAAGCAAAAAATGATGTCAAGCAAACAACTGACAAAGTTTCTTACACACCCAGCCACGCGGAAAACCTGGTCGCAGGTAAAGAGGAGATCGACAACGTTACACAAATGCAGCCTTCTTCAAGCGGAAAGAGCGTCGAGGTCACAACTGATAATGTAGAGGTACAAGAAGCCACGTCTAAAAGCAATAAAGTTAGCTCAACTGTTGCAGTCAAGCAGCAAAGTGCAAACGCAGATGCTACTGCTAATGCCAAGTCAAAGCTTTTTGCAGCAGAGGTGTTGGTTGTTGCCACAGCATCAATGCTCTTCTTTGTTCTGCCAGCAGTTGTCATTGTGTATATAGATCACTATGACAAGTATCCGTCATGCATTGCAAAATATTGGATAGGCAGTTGGAAACTGCTTTCAATTGCCACCCATAAGGCTTTCAATCCATTCATATGCATACTGTTTATTGGCCCATTCAGGCGTGGAATAATGCACTTGCTCCACATAAGAAGAGTCAATCGTGTCAGCCCTAAAGGTGCATAACATTAGAGCCTGATGCTTAATAATTCCCAGTGGTGCTTTTGCTTTTAATCACCTAAAGGCCATGATCAATTGATTCATTTTGCTTTCAGCCATATATAAGCCTTGATCAAATTGCCTTTAAAAGCCAAATCATTCTACGATCTGGCAACTAAATAATTTTACCAAAATCATTCTTTCTTGAAACAAGCAATTCAAATGATTCGAAGCTTTTGGTGCATCCGTATTCCACAATTTCAACTGAACTCTTGTCGTGTGCCATCCAGTGTTGGTTACCGTTTGGCATTTTAATTTGTCATTGTTTCTGGTTCGATCGAATGAATGAAAATTTCCTTTGAAATCTGTTTAGAAATGGAAAAGTGCACTAAAAAATTAAAAAAATTCATTGGATGATTTTTCAAAATACTCTAAAACTAATCCTTTCACTTGTTGCAGTATGTAAATAAAGCAAAATTCTAATTTTCATTCAAAAAATCAGCTTTAGTGAATGTAAGGTAGCATTTCATTTAAAAATGTGAGGTCGAAATATGTTTATAAAGGTACAGGTTCAAGGGGCATAAGACTAGATCTACGAGAGGAACTGACACAAGAAATTAGTGTCATCAATATGAGAATAAGACAGGTAGTGTCAATAGATTATTAATAAATTTTCTTAGGATTTTATTCACATTTTGCGTCATAAATTCAATAAACATTTTGAATGTAAATTACTCCTGTATACGTTATATTGTCAGTAGGTCTATAGCATGTATAATCCATGTATTCAGTAGTTTACTGTTTATCTCTCTAATCAAGAATAATGAGTTAGAATAAAAAATACAATGATACTAAGATACTAATGATGTAATGTTTGAGCACTTAAAGCGTATGTTGAACGTTATTCTCCTATTCTTTTGTTAATCCTGCAACTTTGAAACATCTTGCAATAATCTTAGCTATAAGGAAGGACAGTTGAGGTAATCACCACTTTCAAATGATGTTAAATATCCTTGATACATCATTCCTCGTGTGGCTATCTTAACATACGTATTTGCGACCCTTGCTCGGCATAATCATGTACGCGACATGAACGCGAATTTATTTTTTGCTTTGATGTATACATAACTGTCTGCAATACTTTTCGGCCTTGTCGAATGCTGTACATCTGTTTTTATACATCTGTAATTAAGAACAAGGGATTCCTTCTCGATTAGCTCATCCTGAACCAAATTTCAGGCCTTTCTCAGAAATATTCTAGAATGCCCCACAATTCAAAAGCTGTTTGAGATGCATCAGTTCAAATCTATTCTAGGTGCATCATTGAAATTTCAACTGTTATCTTCTCTCTATTGTTTACAGTGAACGAATTTGATTTTTAACCTTGAGGAAAATCATGGACACAGATGTTTTTGCAAAAAATTTTACTTTCATTCATAAGAACATTTGATGCGAATTAAAGACGATAAAGAGAACTTCCGCTCTTGACCATAACAACAGCCTTAATACCGCAATCTCATAGCTTTGAAATCTTTAAAAAAATTTTGAACAGCTTTGCTTTCCTTTGATAAAGAACATCAATGGCTGCTAACAAGGGTTCTATAAATGAGCCGGTTGTATGTTGACGACTTTTTCGTGTCAGTGCATAAGGAGAATTTCCGTTTTTAAGAACAACATTCTTCCACCGACTGCAAAATTATATAGCTGAAGTTAAACATTCCTTTAATCAAGTGAAGCATTTTAACTCTCATTTGGTTTGTGGACTAAGAACATGAGTTCGTTGGCCAGTTGATTTTGTGATGTATTAAGAGTGCTATAGTACATCCCGATGCCTCCTTGTATCTCTCCTTGCTTGAGACGGACAATCATTTTTTATGCATTGATATTTGTTTCCAGTTTCTTAATCAAACACTTTTGCACAATTGCGCGTACCATCTAATGAACAATGATACTATTCATGTATAACATGTCAACCTTGGTTCCGTTATCATTGTAAACGCTATTTCAAAATTTCACTATTTGGGCAGAAACGAAGAAATGAAATGTGCCTTTTGTGCTTCACAAATTGTGAGTCAGTAAGATTAGATTTGTCAAGAAAACTCACTTATGAAATCCATTCAACTTACCAATGAAGCTGTTGGTATGTGTGATTTATCATCTTTTCTTTTCTTGGCGCTTCGATAAAGCACCTTGGCCTGTTTTTTTCAATGAAAATGTTGCTCCGACAAAGCGAGTTCAATTAATCTTTTTGATTTGTAAATTATATTAAAAATTTGAAGGTAGCACGGAAAACTAATTGGCCATCTTTGAATTTTATGGTGCCGCCAAAGGCTTAGTTGAGTATTGAAAAGGTAAGATAAAGGAAAATTTGATCAAAGAAAGTGGTTCTCCCAAGTACTTGGAAGTTATGGTTGTTTGATTATATTTCTCATTCCTTCAGTAAACAAATAAAAGTGCAAACAAGTTACTATTTGATTGTATCTCACAATGCCTCGGTAAGATGTTGGAATTTTTCTAGTTCGGTATCATGGGCACGTCTATTATCCAATGCTATGTTGATGAATAACAACCAGATTATTTAACAGCAAAAGGATTTTTGCAAAAATACATCGCCCTTAAAAGATTCAAGACAACTTAAATTTCAAAGCAATTTTAGAAGATTTTCACTTAAACCTTTATTGCTGAATTCTTACTGAATTCTTTATTGCTGAATATTTAAACCGACACAGTAAAGCAACGAACTCATATTCTTGTACCTAGACTAAATTCTAGCAGCCTGAACCTAGTTCCTGATGATATATTTTAGATCCGCCTTCCTGAACCAACTACAGTGCATAACAAACAACAATTTCATTTCTACTTTGCAGCATCTCACATCCAAGGCTTTTCTTGTGGGCATGGGTTGGCCATGAGTGGTTGTTTTACTTTTATAAGCAAAAGCAAGATGAAATATGGAGCTATAATAGAAATAAATAGTTCGTTACTTCATCTTGACAAAACAGGCTGCATAGTCTGTCCAAGTAAGAATGGCTAGAAAATCTCGATCTTAAAGCCCTATTATCACAATTCTATGCTTGAAATCAGTGCTTCTGTTAACACTGGCACAAAAACTTTACCAATAAAGAAATAAAATTTTCTTTTCGGCATTTTTTGGTAGGCGCACTTTACCCATACGTACAAATTCTTGAGAGTTTTCAAAACGAGTAAACCATTGTCTTGCTTCAAAACAGCTTAAGATAAACAGTACTTTCAGGAACTGGACGTGCACTGTATTGGGTGTTCCTCAAGACACATTCCTTGCACTCTTATTGTTTGATATATTCATCAAAATTTTGTTGTTCACTTTACAAAACTCCCAGATTTACAATTTTGCTGACGATAATACAATATTTGCACGTGGCATATCTTGAGTTTGATATTGAAAATTCAATCTCCTGGTTTTAGGACAACAATATGATAGCAAACCCGGTTAAATTTCAAATGATATATTTTAGTCTCAAAAAACAGAAGATTCTGTGTTGAAAGAAATGGTTTCCATATCGTGGAAACTGACACAGTGAAGCTATTAGGAGTTAAGGTTGATACAAACGTGATCCCTCAGGATAAAATAGCACACAATTGCAACAAGATGAAACAGGTGCATTTTCTCAGATTGCGCGAATTCTTTACATGAACAAGGTCAAAATACTTTATCGCGCACTTATTCTATCAAATTTCAACTTCTGCATATCAACTTAGATGTTTAGTTTGAGGACTGTATCCAATACAATCAACCGTTTACAGAAACGTGTACTGCGAGCTCTTTATAGGGACTAGGATGCAGCGTTTGAAGATCTCTTGAGAAGGTCGGATGGGCTAAGAATCCAGTGCAAAAATTTGGAAAACTAATAATTGAAATATATCAAATTCATGAATTTTCATTTGCCTATTCTTTATGTCTTAGATCTTTAACACAAAGTTCATAACCTACGAACAAATAATCTTCATGAATTTTCATTTGCCTCTTCTTTATGTCTCTGTTCAGAGCCCTTTTTGTTTTTGAGCAAGGTAAACACGTTATACTTTAAGATACTATAAAATTTAAACTTTCTCAACTGTTCATGTACCAAGTCGCATTTTTTGTGACAAAGGACAGAAATAAACAACATTGATTATTATCTTTTCTATAAAATGTTGCCAATAAACTCAAGCAACGAATTGAAAATATTCTTACTTCTTTTATGGCTATTTCTTCACACAGAAAGTGATAAGGATGACATTGACGTCAAACGAGCTTATAGTTGGAATAAGCAAAGCATCAACCAGCATTATTTTGGCAAAGCCATAAAATAGAGAAATATCAGAAGAGTGATATAAATCGTGTTTGCTTCCTTTTTTTCTGATAGAGAGAAAGGTTATTTAACTAGAAGACAATCTCCACCGTTAAAAACAGAGATATTATCAAGTGTGAAGGCAGATAAATAGAAAAAGGGTAGAAGAAAGATAGATAAAGAGAAATAGAGAGGTATAGAGATTTGTAGAGATTAGAAAGCAGAGAGGTTTAACGAAAGAATTGAAGCATACTGGATTGAGTGATATCTCGTTCTAAACACCTTGACTCCTTTTGCGTCTTTTAATCTAAACGTTTCCAAAAGCGGGAGATTCGTACATATGTTTTAAAAGATTTTCCTTGTTTTTGGCATGGTTAAGTTTTTAGCGTTCACACAGATGATCTAGATTTATTAAAAGATCGTTTTATGAATATCAAATTTTTGTAACAATTTTATATCTTTGCATCAGAATACGTAAATGTTTAGTTCTTGGTATCTGAGATAACCTCTCTACAAGCATTTGTAATTTATTTGTAATACAAGCATTTGCAAGTTATCTTTTGAAAGTTATATTTTGAAAAATATAAGTGAATTATTCATACTCTACACAGGCCTGAGGAAAATAATACCCAGCACATACACGAGTTCCCGGATTACCCAATGTCCGTGAGTGCATTTTGAAAAGTGCTTAGCCAAACTCTCCACGTTCCTTCAAAAAAGGAAAGAAATTTCTATCCCTCTGGCTACGAAAACACATTTAATCCTAAAAATGTCAAACTAAACAGAGTGCATCGCATAAATATGCACATAATCAGCATATAATCGCTTCAATTTTGATTTCATGGCTTTTTCTTTCAAATCCATTTGCATTTTGGTGGGTATAAATATTGAAGAGCAGTTAACGTGCACTGATTTGGCAGCTATTTGGTACAGTAAAGTAGAAGTCGTCCAAATTTTCAAACACTTTCAAAAGGTAAATGTTGCATTTTACTTTATAGATTCTGTAAATACTTTCTTTTTCTCAAGAAAATGGTATATTTCTCTAAAGAAAAAGGTATTCAGAAAAGAAATTAACAACAGAACTGTGAAAAACTAATTGATTTTCATTTCATCTCGTTATTGTTCCTTTATGTATCATTTTACTGTCACCACCCGCATTATTTTAGAATATTGCTGATGATGATACAAAATTTCGAATTGCCTTAGAGGCATTGGATCATGATGCATTTTGCTGCTTTAATGCATGTAGCTCACAAGCCAAGAAGCTTGCATGCTTCTTATAAAGTCAGTATGGAATCTGAAGCGATTGAGGACCTAGTTGATTTCTTTACAAATGGTGTTTCCTGGCATTGCATAAGATTCCTGCTTCCAAGCCAAAAGAAGGCGATCGCCTGAACGCCTATAATATTTGCAAAATATTGCTGTTCTTCGTTTTTATATTACTAAAATCATTTTCTTCAATCTTTTCCGCACCTTTAAACACACTCGAAGAGACTCCTTGGCTTCAGTAGGGCAACTACACGCGAGAACTGAGAAATTTAAAGCTAGTTTTTATCCAAATTGTTTATCTAAATGGGAAAAACTCGACCCAGGGATCAAACAATCCTACTCAGAAAGTGCTTTCAAAAAACAACTATTTGCATTTATCCGTCCACCTCAAAAACTAGTCTACAACATCCACGACCCAAAAGGTTTATCCATTTTGACACAACTTCATGTTGGACTTAGCAAGCTGAATTTTCACATATAACTTCAGTGATACCTTGAATCCTTTGTGCCCAGTAATTGATGGTTTCGAGGATACGGAACACTCCATTACCGCTCGAGCCGTAGTCAGATTATTCAAAAACTTATAGAAACAAGGATCATTTTCATGTTTATTCTACTACTTTAATTAAACCATAGTTCAAAATTGAAAATATTTGATCGCGCTGCAAACCAAGCATTCCTTCCTAAAAACATGCCGGAAATTTCCACAGAGACAGAAATATTTTCTAATCCTTATCGCTATGGAAATTGCGTGCCAATTGGCCGAGTCACATGTTTGCAAATAGAAGGCTAGCATGGGGGGATGATGAAATAGCTACAGATTTTCTATTCTATAGACCTCTAGATTTATAGCTAAAGCAATGAATGGCAAGCCACATGTTTTTTATTATTGTAAATTTGCTTGAAATGTAATTCACTGCAATCATTCAAAATGAAGTACAAAATATATTGTCAGCTGACGGAAAGAGGTTACTCAAGACTTTCCACAAGGCAACTTTTCATTCCCTTTTACTGCTGTCAATTTCTATTCTGTGGATACAGCAAAAGAACCCTAATTTTCCATTATTATTCTTACAAGCAAAATAGCTGGAGCCTTTTTAGAAAATAAATAAACGACATATTTTTGTAAGCTTACTGAAAATTAGGAAAATTAGGAGCCAGAGTTTAGGCTTTTTCAAGGCTTTGAAAATGGAATATTGGTTATTACTAGCTGCAAATGAGTTTCATTTTAAATATGCACTTGGATAGAAATATTTCGATTTTATGTTTTGCAAATAAGTACTCCAATTTTTAGAACACTTTGATCTGTTTGTATTATATTTGTCAGTGGCTTGCCAGAAAAAAACCAAATATGTAGACAAATATTGTGTCATATTTCAGAAAGATCAAGTTAAATGCCTTTTCTCATAGAAGATAATTTTAAATATATTAAGCAAAAATATATCTGTGTCTGTTATATTAAGCAAAAACAATTTACCAACTAGCAAATTTTGTGGGTAACACAACAATTAACAAAAGAAATTGATTAGCTGGTAAATTGTCGTTGTTCCTTATAACAAACACCGCCTACCAACATATAATCAAGATGTGGCTGAGCCCAACACAACAACCAAATAAATTATTGAGTAGCACAACACTTTCTAACGCTATATTATTTTGTTAAAATGTCTATTCAAATGCTAAGTTTTACGATTCTTGCACGTGAGAGTTCATTGGCTTGCCAGGTTTTAAGAAACTTAAGAAAAACCACTACCCTGATTCTTTCATATTTCTTTTAAAACTCTTTCTAGGCTAAGAGGGATTTTTCTGTATCTAGATTGGTTTTTTAAAGCTGTTCCCTTGAAGGCGGGCCAGACTAATATATTACTAGAATTGTGAACAGAGATCGCTGCAAAAAGATTTACTGAAGGCTCTGAAAAAACTCTGGTCTTTGAAGATCAACATTGGTGATTTGTCTAACATTGGGAGTTTTGATACTATACACAGTTTTCTCTTCAGTATGATAAAAATATTATTCAAATTTGTTAACATGGCCATGATATTCTAAAAGCAAGATCTCTTGAATTTCAGTTCTATTAAAGGTAGTTATAATATTGTGTTAGTCATTAACATATTCATTACATATTAGTAAACGATTATAATTACTATACATCGAGTATCACAGGAACAGGAGAAATCCTATTATAATGCTTTTTTGTCGATTATCGTTAAGTTGCCTTTGATTTAAGAGGATCATGGAGATACGATCCTTTCGATCAAAACACTTTTGAGAAGTCTGCAAAAATGACTTTGTCCATAGTTTACACAAGTGTTGAAGATTCTCAGAGGCGATTAAACTTTCAAGAGACAAAAATGCATAATTTTCATTAAGACGTTCATCCAAATAAATTCATCTATAATTGTTAATTTTTGAAATAAAAATTATTATACTTCAGAAGGCAACACCATTTTTTTTTCTTTCCCCCAGATATCTCGTTGCAGATAAAAATGCCCCAGTGCTCAGCTGCAGTTAAACCAGGCGCCTCTTCATATAGCATTGTACTAGCAAGCGCCTTCTTCATACCCAGTGCTCTGTTTTCATCCCTTGTTGTTATCATTGCTGTTATAAAAAATCCTTTTAATAATCTCAGAACCCAGACGGGGATTTTGATGATTTCATCAGGTGTCGCTAGCCTTCTCAGCGTTCCTGTCAATGGAATAAGAACATGGTAAGCGCTAACTCTATATTGCTTCATTACAAAATATTTTCATTCACGCAAACATGAATTGGGCATATGTTCACCGTTTGTTTGGACTGTATTGTAAAAGTTGTTTCAGGCAGATTTGATTTCATATCTCAGTAAATACATTTTAGTTCAGTCGTCTTGATGTCAGATGAGAAAAGCTGCTAATTAAGGCATCAGGCCTTGTATCATCTTTTTGGTAGCAGGAAACTGTAGCATTTCGCACTCATACCTTTATATGCCTCTCAATATATAGGTATCACGCCGTAAATGCCACTGGCCGGAATCCCTACAAAATCTACCCAAATGTAGTTCCCGCATTACATACCTGTCATGTTTTTTGGTTCGCAACGCAGTTCGCTGGCACCTTCTTTTTCCTCGCCATTATTCTGTCAACAATCTTTGATGCACAGTCCTCAACACAGATTGCTGAAACTCTGAAGAAGAAAGTGGTAATTTTAGTTACTGTTGCCACATGGACTGCTGGCTTTGCATTTGGAGTGGGATCATATTGGACCGGGATGTCCCTTATGACTATGATCCAAACATCATTGAACAACATCGTCGCAATGTCGTGTGTTTTTCTGGCCTACATTGGCTGGGCTCGGCTATCAAAACTTCCCAATGATAAAAGCAATCATTTCATCAGCAACATCATTGCAAATAAGAATATGACCGTAAGCAGTCATCGTGTGAATGAAACAACAAGCAAAGAGAACAAAGCGGAAAGAGATGGATTGGCAATAGAGCACAGCCGTGCAGCGCAAGAAGAAAAACTGCAAGAGCTACACAGCATCTTTTTGCATGCTATCCTGTATTTTTGCTGTGCTGTACCATCAGGTAACAGAATTAAAAAGATTATGTCAACATTTCTATAACTTCCAAAAGGCAATAGATATAACTAACTAGGCACCTTAATAAAATTAGTTTGATGCTCCTCTCAATAATCACACAAGGCTTCTTGTCCAATATCATAAATAAGAAAATGAGCACAGCTAATAAAATAGAAATTCTTCAATCGTAAATTCCTATCCAGTAGTACACTTCAACAAACTTTGAATCGAAATGAAGCATATTAATTGACCTCTTGCGAAAATCGTGGTTACTTAGGGATATATATTCCCCCGTATTCCATGTATATGATGACGGTCCATAAGACTGAAAGTATAGCAGTATATAGTAAGTAAAGTATATGTTAATAAACCATCTTTGCTCATAAAATATTTACTGAAAGAGTGCAAGAAATGGCATATGACATAGATTTTCTATCGCGATTTACAATTTACTAGATATTTGCTACCTAACGCTGTCGCAAGTCCATACATTGTTAAAAAAGAAAGCTGCTTGAAGCTATATCAAAAAGTTTTTATGAATTTCCAAGACCCTAGTATCTGAAGGACCGTATCCTTAATGCTTTTTGATTATCGTTTTTATGCATTATTCCTGTCAGGGATTTTCTTGCTGCTGCTTCTCTATGTTGACTCTATGTCATGCACGATGATGTTTTGCTTAAAAGATGCCTCGAGCTTGTTCATGCAGTTCTTTTTAGCTGTCAACAACATCCTGACCATATTTACAAAACCTCAGATGAAAAAGGCAGCGAGATCTTTGTTTGCAAATAGAAGACAAGAGGTTGTACCAGACACAATCAGCAAGGTTAATTCACATCGCATCTGACAATGGTTTTTATAGCTATTATTGTAGGTTTTCTTCTGCATCAAATAATTTACATATAGTACTATTTAAGGGCTTTATCTTACAGTAGAAGTAATTTATATAAGAGGAAGAAAACAGAGTAAGAGGCATAAATGTGAAAATATTTGTGCACGAGTTCCATTATAAGAAACTAAGGGAATATATTGACCTGGGCGGTATAGCTATAGTTATTCCCTGTAAAAAAGAGCTTTTTCGAGAGTCAAACTGCTTTGCGTTTTTATAGAAAAGTGCATATTGTCGTTATGTTTCTTGCATTTTGGATGAATATCTATATCCAAAATATTCTATTTAGAAATATGTAACTTGAAATTCTCCCTGAGATACAAAATTGGTTAAAATGGACACTTAAGATTTTCGGAAGTTTGTTTCTCGAATTTGCCAACATGAAGTCTGCAATTATTAACGACCCTCTGTATACATGCAAATTTACATGAAGATGCTATTTTAAAGTAGTTGTTTTAGAAACCTTTTAAGTTTCTCAGTCTGAAAATAGTTCTTTAGTGCAAGCCATTTCACCAAAGAATGATGGCTTGTAATTTCTTAAATTTCTAGCTTCTTCTTTGCTGGGATTTACTATTCTATTATACCATTCTTTATAATTTTACTTCCAAGTTGAGTTAGAATATGTTCATTTTTCCTGCCAATTGATAATAAATTATAAATATATTAGGAAAGATTTTTTTAAAATGAGATGTTACATATATTTTATTTCTCATAGGCATGGCAATGAAACATAAATGATTTTATTGTCCATTTGGAATTTCGCATCAGGTGCATTTTGTTTATACTTATAAGAAACAAAAATTACTCCTTCAACACAGTTCTTCTGAGAATAATGTGCAGCTCTTAACATTTCTTCAAAGGAGCCCTGTCTTTTGCGATTATATACAAGGGCATTTAGCCATTTTTAAGTAGTTGATAGCGCAGAACATTTTGAAATCAACGAAAAACCGTGTCGATGATCGATTTTTCATCGCCTCCTCTCCACATCGAGGCTTGCTGTGCAATGCACTGGAATCTCCTACACTGAGGTTTTCTTGAAACGTACCTTAGGAAAAAATGAAAGGTTGCTTTGAGACGCCATTGCTTTCCATTAAGTCCATCTCAGAAAATGCTCGACAACTGTAATTAAATTCTTTAGCAATTGCTCGAGAAAGGCGGTGGTGTCCATATTGGTATGATATGAAATAGAGGGAAGAAGTTTTATTCACTGAGAACCAAGAGAAACTTTCATCAGTCTGTTATATGAATTAATTGCTCGTGGTTGAATAACAATCTAGCTTTTTCGTGAAGGTGTGTTGAGTGCTCTTGGGTATTGGCATTCTTCCAGTGGCACCGGTCATAGGCACTTCATTTATCATTCCAAGGATATACTTGCGATGTTATTCTTTATTGATATGTAAACGCAGTTGTATGAGAAATAATATGCTTTCTTTATAACACGTTGCACGTTTTGTACGTTGCTGATTGACGACTCCACGAGTCAAGGAATGTAAACCCAATCTACGTGGATGATAAATTAAAAAAGATTAAAGGTCAACTGCAGTGGAATTATTCTAAAACAATCTTTCTTAGATGAATGTGACATTATGAAAATTTTGACACGGATTTAAAAAGACGAACGAAACTCTTGATGAATATAACTGTTACATTTAAGAAGAACTCTCAAACTATTCTTAAGGAACAACAGATGTAAAAGAAGAAGACTTTAAACTTGGACATTTTTCGGCAAGATAAGGGCTGAGGTGACTTCATTTCGATCTTTCTTCCTACCTTCTGCTTTTGGTTCTTAAGACGTTACCCTTATTATCTTTTACCAAACAATTTGACCTTGATGTCGTTAATACTCAGATTCTGTCGAAAGAACTCAGATTCGAAAATATAAAGTACTTTGATCAATTGTTTTTGTTCTGATCATGAACAAACCTATGGACATGGACGCATGAACCTGTTTGGTAATTCTCGAGGGGTGAATCACTACCAAAAAGATGTACGAGATTTTAGAGATTTTGGAAAATCTTATGCTGAGGCAGAAGATTTCAGGATTTTTCAGGAGATTTCGAGATTTTTAAAATCTGATATTTCATTGTTACAAGCAAGATCTTAAAGATTTTTGACTTTTAAATGAAATTTCTGCGATTTAGAAAGTTGATTATGATAACTATGATATCAAGATGACAGTTTCTTACCGAACAAAGCACAGTAAAAGGTTTCTTCTCTATGCAATAGATTTATTCGGAACCTGTGCACCAAACAAAAACGAATTTCTAGCAAGGAATGAACTGCTGCTTTAAAGTGGCTACCGTCATAATTTGATTAACCTACCCCCCTCACCCGGGGGGTACTCGATACTCGATACGATGTTGAAAAAAGAACTTTTTTATGTTAGTGTTGGAAGTTTTGTTGCTGACATCAAAAATCTACTTTTAGAACTTCATAATTTAGAAAGGCATAAATACCTCTCAAAATACAAAATTATATGCAAAATTGGGCGAGATATGGCCAATGAAAGATTGCAAGTTTGCAAATAATTTACTGTTATTCTAGCTTTGTTCATAAAGTAATGAACTAAGACCAAATTACAGAGGTTTGATAGGGAAAGAGCCTGTAACACATTCAACTGATTTTATACATTGAGAGGTATTTCATAATGCTATTTGGGAGTTATAGTCAAAATTAAAAAATCTATAAAATAAATTTGGGACGTCATCATTTTGGTGACGTCACATCGAATTTCAGAGCCAGATCGAGGTTGGCTATTTTTGGGCAGGTGAGCATAGGTTGGGTGCTTGATTTGAACGCTTTTCTCACGATAAGTGATATTGATTTATAAATTGCAAAGATTTATAAATTTTGTCAAGGATTCGTTTCAAATGAGCTTCGAATATTCCAGAATTTGGCAAAGTCTTTCAGCCACTGCCAAAAAATTCTGAGATCTCAAAATTTCTTTTTTAGATTTTGAGATTTCTTTTAAAGATTCCGATATTTTATCAGCAATTTTAAGGTTTTTATAAGATTTTTTAGTTTCATGAATTATTTGAAAGATTTCGAGATTTCAGCAATTTTTAAGAGATTTTAGAGATTTTTTTTGGTAATTTGTGAAAGGTGTGCGAGATTTTAAGTAGTGATTAACCTTCGGTAATTCTAACATACCTACAATTTTCATTGCAGTCGTAATTGTATGCAGGAAGATTTTAAGGTATTTGCAGAGGTTTGACGAGGGGGAGGGGTTGTGGGACTTTTAAAAACTGATATAAATTTGCCTGAAATCATTTTTAATTTTACTATATAGAGACTTCGGTCGAAACGTTTACATGAGAGCTTTTCTTGAAGATCTAAATTATTTTATTACACTTTAAGTAAGAGCTTATGATAGTATGACTATGTAGAATGTATAGTATATAAAGAACAGTAAGTTGCCTGATGCCTTTATGCGTCATGAAACTCGGAATAGGAACAACCATTCTGCTTTAGACATCGAAAGCATATACAGCTTTGCCAATACGGCATCGAACACTTTATGACAGACCGGTAAAAAGTAGTTTTCCTTATATAGCTATTACCTAAAAATTTCATATTCGCGAGTAAGAAACTTGCTTGCAAGCAATGTTTTATTTTAATAACATGGCAAAATGATAAAGAAAAAAGTTTAAATTTCTGAAAATTCTGAATTTTGACCGAATAGGTAGAAATATCATGGTGAAATAATTCTAAATGCGTCTAACAAGTACAAAAAGAACACCTTTGTTCATGCTTGATTGGAAAAAGAATACTGACATTCATAATAAATAAGATATAATGCACTTAAAACACAGCATTTCTAGTGCCTTTCCAAGCTATTTGCAAATTCTAATAAAGATATTCTAAGATGGTCTCACATACATTGACGTTAATCGCCTATTTGGGGAGGAAGAAGGTTGGTTTCCCACATAAAACTAGGCTCAATCAAGCCTGATTTTCTTAACTGTCAAATCTCAGAACACATCACCTTCAATATCTCCAGCAGCTTGTTACCGTCTCCCTGTATTTAATCGGAATCAGGAAAAACCAATGAACTCTATTTCTCCGCCCCCCCCCCCCTCCCCTCCCCCTGGTAGAATTAGCCACTTGCTGTGTCCGTGAAAAACAATCCACGCAGTAAAATGATCATCTACTCTATTGCAGATTCAGGTAGAGCATATCAAGCAAAGCTATATTGTATACAAAATTTATAACTTGCATTAACCCGTAAATTTAACTGCATCCCGATCTTTGCAAATTAGATTATCGACATTGCGGGCCAAAAAGCCTGAAAGCATTCGCAATCAGTATAATCATTTCATAAGCAAAAGCACATCTTTCTAACATATGATGGTTTTAGTCACAACAATATTGATACTTCGGTAACTTGATGTTTGAAAATACGTCCATCTCAGTTTCAAAGAATTTGCTGCTACCTATTTTAAGAGAGTAGTGGATGCATTTGCAGATTTTGAAATTTAAAAAACCCTATAAATCAATTGCTAAGTGAATCTGGATGATTTTATTTCCTCAAGAGTTGCTTTGATTTGCCCAAGAGTTTTTAAATCGACAAGTAGATTGCTTTCATCCATGCTGTAATACTCAAATTTTTCCTTAAGATATTGTTTCAATTCGCCATTTCTATGCTTCCCAACAAGTGTTTCAAAATCTCCAAGGAACTTTTTATCTACAAAAACAAAAGGTAAATTTCCTTTTCTGGTGTCAGTATGAATCTGCGAGAGGATTTTTCTCCTTTCCTTTGGTGGCATCTCAACGTCTATCGCAATGCTATCCAGATGTAGATTGGGAATTTCTCTTTGCAAAATCGATTCGAGGAAATGCCTCCTTCGCGCGTGTCGCTTGTCTGTGCTCGTTGAACTGTAGTACAAAACGGCCTTTTTTTCAAGTCTTATCCCATCATTAAAAAAATCCTCAAGATTCACGGTAGCCTGCTTTGATGGGGTATTACCTGCTTCGTTAACGACAACACTGTAGGGAGAGCACACAATTATTTTCTTGCCCCATTTCAATTCTATTTCGTATATACCGGGTTCTGTTGGGAGAAACATCACGTCATGGATAAGTTGGTCCCCATCGGCCCTTGTGTTGACGTACGGCGTTGGTATGGAAACAGCAGGACACGTGATTAGAACACTCAATGGCCCATTACTTCCATTTGGGGTCCTAACTTCGAAATGGCTTAAAACACCTACTTCCCCTGACTCGAGGCCAGAGCCAAAAGCTTCAAAGAAATCAAACTCCGAAACGATCGAGCACTGAGAGCCTCCTTTGGAGACAATGGATGGCGATGTGGCCTGGGTGGAAATCGACGAACCTCTCTCTGAATTCTCAGCTCCTGATTGGAACTCGCTCTGTAAACCGTCGCTAAATAACGCGTTGTCTATTCCACTATCAACCGTACTTAGACTCTCTGGCCTGTATACATTCTTATCAATGACGCTCTCACTATCAGTATTGCTGAAGTTATGAGATAAATCGTCGCAGAAAATAAGATAATCGCTATCCATGGTTGGTTTGGCTGGTTCAATTGACAATTTATGATCAGGGTCTGTGTAGCACTTAAACTCGATGGAAGGTTGGGCAACTTTTATTTTGAACGGACTATTTTTAATGTGTTTATTACCACAAAGAATTGAAATTTCATAGTGGCCAGACATAACTGGTGTGTATGAAATTATATAACAACTGTCTCCAATTAGTTTCAAGTTAGGCTCTGCGTTAACCCTGGCATCCTCATCATCATCCGGCGTGCATTTAATTGAAATATGTAAGTCTGAAGTTTGTCTTTCACTCAAATGAACAACAAACTCTGTCGGTTTTCCCACTTCTCCATGCCGAATACCGAAGCCGTAAGCGATGCTATCATCAACCCTTGAATTTTGCTGCTTGACTTTGGCTCCGTCCTTGTGGAACGCATATCTACCACGAGGTCTTGCCGATATAGGTCTGATTCCCTTCATAAGCATTCGGTCAGCACTGCGAAACAAAGCCAAGTAGGTAATCAAACTTTTCTCGTCTGCTTTACAGTCATAAATATCACTCGCGCTTATTAACGCGGGAATGCCGAGGACCTCTTTTGCAGCTTCTATGGCGAAGGTTACAACATCCTCAGGGTACAAAATTTCTGTAAATACTGAGGGATCGATACAGTTAGGCTCTATTGAGTTGATCAAATGACAAAGGATAACACCATTCTTCAAGTCAGTGGTAAGATTGTTCAGCCTGCAGTGCGGTAACTTCACTTTGATCCATTTGAGCAAGCTAAGAGTTGCCTTGTGATAATCAATGGCTGACCTTCGACTCATTTTCACTGTGCTGTAGTCAAAGTAATGGCGAAATATCAGGCTCCATAGGATTTCAGTTAACCAGTATATGAATTTCTTTCGAACAATGAGAGGCTTACCTACGAAGCAAAAACGGTTATATTAAAAAGGGCTTTGAAAAATAAACAACTTATTCTTTTCCAATTTGTGTATCACAGTTTCCCTTAATTCGAAATTTGTCATGACTTGGAATAGTGCTTCGAGGCTCCAATCCAAGGTTAATATGCGTGACAAAGCGGCTTCTAATCAGCTTGGTTTACGTTCAGGGCTTCTCATTTGCCTCCTAGCAGCCATCTAATGACGAAAGCGGTCTTGGCCTAAACGGCTTAACAAGACATGACTTTGGCTGTTTATTCAAAGCATATCTAATAACAGAGTTTGGATTTATAGTTGGCTTTTAAGACTGCTTTAGCAAACGTCTATTTCATAATATTTAACTAGATGTTCAACCAAATTTTGTCTACATTTTCAGGTGAAAACTTCGTTGATTGAATGGGCAAACCTGAATCCTAATTATAAGTTTACTAAGGATAAGAATAAAAACAGATTATGACTCTATAAGTTGAAATCCAGTTCTTAGATTTCTCAGGGATCTTTGATAAGGGTAACAAGGGGAACCATGGTTGGAACAAACATGGCAGTCTCAAGCGTAAGGGAGAGTTAAAGTACAAGATTGAGTGACACAAGGAAGTGGTGTTAGAAAGAGGAGAGGACTCAAATTAAAAAAGCCACAGAAAAACAGTGCTTCGTTTGCTATAAACATTATCAAAATCTCCCTATGAAATTGAGATTAACCCACAATACACCTTCCATTTGCCATGGCTATAGCATTTCTAATTGGCAGTATAAAGACCTTGATTGGTTTTGCTCCAAAATAACCCTTTTTGAGTTGCCCAACCTTTATTTCATTGCAGTTGATAACTTTAAACAAACTACAGCAAAGCCTAGAAAAAGCATAAAATCTCATAATTCTGTATCTTTCATCATTCTTCTCATACAGAAATCATCATTCTAGAAATACTAAGTAGTTTTTCACTTCTTTTCAATTTTTTTGAAAATAATGCTCATAGACATTTGTCCGTCATAAAATTGAACGAAATTCCCATTAATTTACTGACTTAAAAGGCTATTCTAAACCTAATAACAAATATAAATACTTGGTCTTCCAGCAAATAAATTTTCAACTTATGTAAGCACAGTCTTAATTATATACATAACAAGTAGATATTGTCGAGAAGGCAACTCTCATCATTTTGTTTGCTGGTTACTCTGCATAAAAGATAGTTTACAGCAATATTGTACGACAGACGCTGAAAGTTAGATGTCATTCTCAAGAAGACCAGGTCTGGATCGACGATACAAACGAGCTTTGTAATCAAATCACAAGATTTTCGCGAAGGTCGCATTTGCCAAGTTTCATTCCCAGTGGTACTAAATTTAATTAATCAAGCTTTCTAGAACAAACCAGAAGTTATATTCAGCTATATATTTGGCTGGTTGGCATACAACATTAAAGTCATTGTCATGAACTTTACAAAGCTGCTTCAGGTGCATTCTTTGCATGTGCATTAACGGGCTGCACATGCTCAAAGCTCCTACTGCAGTATGAAATTGACAGACAACTTCCCTCGCTTCGTTGCTTGCTTAAAGGTGAGAATAGTCACATAACCTTTTGCAGTTTCAGAATTTGAGCGCAGGTTCATAGGCTAAAATCTGTTGAACATAATACAAGTCATTCGAAAACAGCAAACAGTAAAAACATCCCAATCATGTTGCAAGTAACTTCTTCAAGAAAAACTTACGATTTAAAACCTTATGCACATTATATCAAGAGTCGGTAAAATATATAAACTACATCAATGGCTTATTGCTGTGTAAGATGAACCAGAACGCAAACCAAGAACAGTTACTCACAAAATCAACGAGTGGTTGACAGAAACTCGCAAGATTAGGCCGTAATCGTCAGGGCAGCATATTTTGAATTTCCAATGACTGTAAGTCTCTACAGCGATTTATCTCTTTTTGAGATTAGATCCTTTATTTACTATGCAAAAGGGCTGCAGGTGACGTTGATTTGCGGTCGTCAATGTGGTGTCCTGTTGCTATAGCCACATCTCCACGCAAGTCATTTTATCACCAGGACAGTTTAAGACTAAATGGACACCAAATAGTTGAAGACCAGACTTAAATCTTTAATAAGAATGTTAAGAGGCCACAAACATTTTTCAACTTAATCACCGAAAAACCAACAATGTTGTGCAAGGTTGCCAGGAAATAATACTGGCTCCTGACAAACGACGTTGAAACAGATAGCTTGAGGGGTGTTCGGGAGCGGGATGCAAGTGGAGGTGTTGGGGTGCCAGGGAGTCAGGGACTGGTATTTTCAAATAATATCAAAGAGCCGTGAACACGTCATTCTCTTCTTTAAAGCATTCCATTGTAATAATTACTGGTTTGACATCTAAACTTCTGATAAATTATCGGTTATTGATCATAGGAACATCTAGTTAGTGAAACGGGCCTAACCAAGCAACCCTCTTACAATAATGAATTTTAGCATTCCCACGTTTCAAAAGGTCCAATATTTGGACTTTGATAGCTGTTTCACTAGTATGCTTCCAAACAATATTCTCCAGTTCTATGTTTGGAGAGCTCCACTTAGCCAAAAGAGCGTTTTAAGGGCATGCCCCCCTAGGAAAATTATCCAGATTACAGCTTTTTATGTTTCATTATATTTAACCATTCTAGCAATGGTGATACGATTGGTTAAACTCAACAGTTCTTCCTAAAATGCTCACATTTTTCATTTAGAAACCATTCACCTAAACAAAATTGATACAAAACCCTGTATTTTTAGAGCCATGGTACATAAGTTAATGTTAAGACACTTTGGGAAAAATCAAAATTTATGTTTGGAGTATGGGAAAACTCATGGCTATTTGTATTAGGGAGCAGTCCAGACGTAGCTAGAATGTAAGCAGCAAGAGGGTATAAAATATCGTTGGAAAATGTTAAAAACAGTTTTGTATACTATGGCAGTAAGACAAACCATTTGTTAGAAACGGTAAGAATATTCCTTATTTTGAACATATCTAAGAGATAGATATAATTATAAATCACGTGCTTGATACTAATACTGCTAGCTTATATCGTAATACTAATACCAATACTAATCAAATGCTAATATTTTTCTAATACTTATCCTTATACTGAAACTAATACTAACACCAGTATACTAAAACTAGTACTGATAGCTTATAATAGATTACTACTTCAGCCGTGACGGGAATCCAGCATTCTACACCAATAATATCATGAAGAAAACAAAATTAATTTCAAAATGGCTGATCATTGATGAGTTATTTACCGAATGGCAGTCTAGAAAGACTGATGGGTGAATCGGTTGATTTGTTGTAAAGATTACTATAAGCCTATCCTTTCTAATGTTGTTGCACCCATGCTTCCTCTGATAATCGCCAAACTAAGGTCTATTTCCTTGATAACTAAATGATGGGCAGGAGCACTGCTCTTCCTACAACGACAACCCTTCTTCCCCTACATGAGTCTTGTTTCGAAATGCCAAATATCTGAAACTGATCGAAAACTACTACGATTTAAGGTAGGCCTAAGCTACTGTTGTTAAGACAAGTTGCAATTCAAAAATGCAGTTACTAAAACGCACAGAACAAACCATAGCACCAGAGCAACTTTTTTAGATTTTTAAGCTGATTGATAAGAGACTTTGTAAACAAATGTGATTATCAACAGTGAGGAAGAGGGGTGGAAAAATGAAAATATTTCTTCTGCAAAATCAATTACCATTTACTTCGGATGTAGAAGTGAATGTCAATGTAGTAGTGAATATCCTTGAAGTACATTTTTGCTATTTAGGTTACAAGAAGACAAGAGAAATTTCACGACATCCTGGTTACAGTCGCAGTAACATAAAAAAGCAAAGACGATGCATTTCTTGCGACATAGGGCAGCGATTATACATTATGGCATATTTTTGCCTTGGCCTGATGCATTTTGGATTAGAATTTTTTTCATGCAACCTTCAGAATGTATTTGATTGCACGAAAGTGAATAAAAAAGTCAGGAGAAAGATGCCGTGCTTTGTGTCTACACAGTTTTGGATAAAAACGCAAGGGAGTCCCAACTCCCAATTATTCAAAACGAGCCCTTATTGAAATAGCACAACGGATTTGAAATTGTCAAGAATCAGCATCAAATTCGGATAAAATGCAGCTCATTTGGTATGACAACATAGCTTTTGAGAACGCATTACCTAGAGCAAAATACCTTTAATCCAATGAAGAAGATTATATATACGATTTGGGTCACGTGTTTTGTGTTCATATTTACTCGCCCTTGTTTTATCTTCAATCCTGACCATAGCACAGAACTGATCATATTCAAATGATGATGTCCAACAGAGAAGCCTGGAATTCTCTGCTGAATTCTAGACATACATGGTGCAATGAGGTAACAAACTACTAGTCCATCATGCTGGATGACTTGCTAAAATTTCAATTTCATTTCTTCATGATTTGCGTGGCATGGCAAATGAGGCTCAATTTCACTCATATCGAGCATTGATTATTTGTTTGATAAAAAAGTAAACACAAATCAAACGATAAAAGATAAGATCCCTGAACCTGCATGAGAGTTTACTCACCTCTATCTGTTAAAACAAATATGAAAGTCGTTGATAAGCTCAGAGTAAACGACGACTCTTACTCTATTGCAGTTTGGCTGGTGCTAATAAATCATAGCTCTTGAAGATGCAGGAATCGTAACTCCAAAAAGCTTTTGCATATAGATCAAAGTTTGGTAAACATTTTGTTTTTACCGAGTTATCGCCAGAGGCTAAGTACACTAGCCCTTTTGACCTCGTGTTTGTTGCTATGACGTATACAAAGCCAAACATTCCAAGAATATTTTCTTAAAATATCCTGAAATTTCCGGAGAGCCTAATCACAGAAAATCAAATAAAACACGAAAAATTAATCAATGTATGCACGGGTAATCACGCAAACTTGCGTGCATAGAGACACGAATTTCGTTGCGTTGCAATTTGAACCGGTATCCGTTAGCTTGCGCAAGTCACCAAGCCAGCCCTATCGTTGACTTCTATGGAACGCAACTACGTCAACGAGATCATGAAGATGTAAAATCAACTCGTTAAACGAAACCCAATTGAGTCATAAATCTTTTGCTTCAATTCAAGTATTACTTTTTACCCCAAAATAAAAATATATAAAGGTTCAAAATAAACAAAACAGCGGTACTTACCTCCTGCGAGAACAGATTTGACGACGTTCTCCTTGATCAAATACTCTTGTACAATATCCCAGTTTTCATGAGTTACCTTCTCATTATAACTCTCATCTGAGCAGTATCGTAACAACCTTCTTTCCCGACTCAGCCCATCAAGCAAGGCCAAAAAACAAGTCCAGTCCCACAATTCAATCAAGGATTTTATTTCGCAGTTGGCGAAACGCAGGTAGAAATTACACCAGCCAACAAAAAGTCTCTCTTGCACGTAGCATTTTGCTTTTGAATTCTTGCAAAATCGGCAAAGCGATGAAAAGATACAACAGCCTCTGGAATCGTCAAGAAGATCTAGGAACAAATTTTCAGGCATTAAGTCCATCATGATGAACTAAGACATATCTGCTAATGTGGTTCCAACAGATAATAGGTAACTATTAGAAAAGTAGATGAATAGTCCGCGCATATGCTGTTATTCATATTTTCAATCTCTACTTAGAAATGAATAAACATTGTTTTATAGAAAAAGGAGTCAAGCTGTCTGCTCAAGAAACAAATACTGTCTTCTGCCTTACTTTTAAAAGTTTTCAGTGGTTTTAGTGGTAATAACAAAACACTGAGAAACTCGACAAGGAATCTTTTCAATTTCTTTGTTTCTTTTGAGGAAAAATATTGATCGTTTTATTTTGTCTTTCTTGCATGAGCAAGCCTGTGTATAATTCCATTATCCCTTCAAAACAGGAGCCGATTGAAAAGTTTTCCTTTAAAGAACAAATTTATTGTTGAGCAACAGCAGATTTTCAGAAAAATTCTTAATATTCTCACCAGAAAGTATGTTTGAGTCAAAACGCGAAAGATATATTTAGCGTTTGTTTATATTTCCGACAGAATTGAACCGGGTGGGGGCCATGAGTAGTAAAATTTACCCACGAAAAAATTGACAAACAGAAACTAGAGTGCTATTTCACCTACCCATAGACGATTTTACTGACAAACCAAGAAATATTTGCACAAATTAGCCAACAAACTCATGAGGTGCCACATCCCCAAGACTTTCTAGCTACGCCCCTGTTTTTAAGGGGACAACTCACTAATTCTACAATCTTGAACCAATATTATGAGACAAACAGATACCACCTCCCCAAAGTTGCGCACACTTAGCCAGATATTGGGGGTGACAAGCCTACAGTATTGTTAAGATGACATCATATTTGTCCATTGTTTTAGAACAAAATACTATTGTCTTCCAAAGTATTGGCAAATGCCTCCCCTCCTTCCCCCATGTCAATGTTGAGATCAGTGTGAGGCAGCAAGGAAAGAACATGATGGTCATCTGGCTCTCATTCAATATTGAAGTAAGGGGGAAAGGGGAAGGGGGAAGTCACCGTTTGTTGGATTGTCTCAAAAATTGTAGTCATGTCCACTTCTAATAAATGTAACTTTTGAATAATCAGAACACAAAATTAATCAAAGCAATATAGTAATTATTTCATCATCAAAATCAGAAGCGATATGGAACATATAAACAAAAAATATTGTAAAAAAAGACAGAAAAAGTGACTTCAATCAAAATTGTCAATAACTAATAAATAGAAAAAATCAGAAAAATCAAGTAATCGTGCATGAAATAGTCATTTGAGAAAATGCAGTTATGAATTGCCTCGAGAGAATTTTTGCAAGAGTTTATAGTTCTCCAATCAGCAATAATCGAGAGTTAAAAAAGATACTTCTAGACGACAGGGCAGTCTTTCGAATCTTTGACCTACTCGAGAATGCGAATCTGAATCTGCTTCTGAATCGGATTCTGCAGACACAGAAATCTTCTTTCGGAGAAACCGCCCCGCGGAGAAGCTCTAGTTTCAAGATAGTGGCTCTCTGATTCTGTGGCTCCTCCGTAGAGACATTCTGCGTGGATTTCAGCTGGATAACAGATACAGCCTTGAAAAGCTGCTGAATATAAACCGTCCTCTGTTTGTCTGTCTTAATGACTTTGTACAGAATTCACATGGTAAATTCCACCGCAAAGCACATTCCCATGCATATCAAGAGATTATTGTCTGGCAACAACTCAAGACTCTACTGGCATTAGCTCAAGGTCCTTGCATTGACATGACCCAATCGAAGACTTCGACATTGATTAAAATAGTGTAGTGGGTCGAGGGGAACGCATACATCAATATACCAATATATATACATATCAGACTATTGAGTTTCATGTGTAAACAATCATCAGGTGTATCCTTTATGGCATAATGTGATTTAAAAACGGATATTGTGGCAATAAAAGTTTTGATTGGTAAAAGTGTATTGCTATTGTCAATTTTTGCCATTGTTTTTCTTTGCATATCAGAGCCCTGTGCTCCTACCTTGAAGATACCTCAGCACGTACTCTAGCGCTCCAACGTGCCTAAGAGTTATGCACTTCGCGACTGAAAAGATCTTACAAATTGTGTCACCTAAACTAATACATAGCAACGTAATTAAACCACAATTTCCAATAAAAGCAATTTCAAATCCAAAAAGCAAGTAAGCAAAGAATAACTATCTTTGTCGCAACAAACAACTAAATTTCGCGGCTCAGCTTTTCTGCCCTCAGATGCTGTGAGTGCAAGGTTCGAAAATCATCGCATCAGTCAATATTGAAAATTCCAAAAAGCAACTCAAGTATGAAGTAGAACTACCCATGGGCGTAGTGGATGCTATCAAACTACCTACAAAGCACAAAGCATCAAAAGAGTACCGGCATTCTTCGTACACAGCGACAGGATTCCTATGTTTCAGGTATAATTGCATTTAAGTTTGAATCTATAAGCTATCACTTTAATCTCTATATCGACGTGGCTCATTAAAAACAGCTGTTTTCCCCATCTTTCAGAAGCTGGAAGCAGTGGCGTCGCCAGCTCCAAAAACTGGGGTGGACAAAAACAAATTTTCTCGGCCACGCCCTTCAGACTCTTTGGAAAAACCTGTTTTTGGTACTTTGAAATTTTTGGACAAGCAACTTTCTCAAGCAGCATTTTTCGTAACGGTGGCTTTTTTGCCAATGCAAAAATCGAAATTTATCTGATCAGCCCAACTTCCCCCTTCCCCTCGCCTCAAGATTTTCCAACGGATTTCGAGAAATTAGAAAATCAACTTCTGGGAAAAGTTGCGTGGACATGTCCACCCCAGTCCACCCCGTGTCAACGCCACTGGCTGGAAGTGAGAATGTGATAAATCTATGTTATTCGATGAAGCTCAAGAAAATTGATTAATTTGTTCACATCAAGGAGAGAAAGAGCTGAGCTAAGAAAAAAACATTTTTAGGTTTACAAATTAAGTTAGTGTTTGTTAGGAAAAGGTAACAGTCATGCGCTGTTTCTGGGAAACGTGGTTTCTCTGAAGATCTTTAATACGCAAGGACGCAGAGGGCAGTGGAATACAAACCTAAATTTCGTGTGATTGGTTTTCCCCAAGACCCTACTGGTCAATTGGAAAATAAGAACAGGAAAGAACGTTGGAAAAGACAGTTTTTACCAACATTAATGTCCCTAGCTATTGTTGCAAAAATGAATAATGGTAAAATACATTTAGAAAGTCTGTTTTTTGAGAAAAGAAATGTGATGCTCATAGATGGAAGGACCCTTTCTTGAAAAAAACACATTGAGAGCAATTATGTACATCAACCGTCATCAAACATAGAATTTACGAAAAACGGAGAAGAGAAAACTAAAAGTTCTCGAAACTAAAGTATTTCCTAAGGAACATACGAAAGCTCTATCGCGCTATTTCTCTCTATCACCACGGTTAATGATAATGGAATATGTTCAGCATGAATTTCACTCTACTGCAAAATACTTCTGTAAGTGCAGTTTCGCCACCTTTATAGAAGATATTAATGTAGAAAGTTTGGAAATGTCACTATCTCCGATACAACGATAACAAAGGTTGACGAAGGTACTTTGAAACATAGATAATACTTTGTAGCTAAGAGCGTTATAATATTATCATCAAATGACGTTGCATAAATTGTCCTAATATCTCTAGTGAGCAGTATGCGGTTATTTGACTCTATAGATAAGGGTTGGCCTCTCCTAAAAACCTCGGAGATTGGTGAGCAATTTAAAAATTTTCGGAATCGCATTCGGTCCGTTAGTTTAGCATTAAATAAAATTAATGATTCTGATTTAACCCTTTCAAAAAGTAAACCGATTTTACTTCTATCGCCTACCACTATGCATATCCATAAAAGCTTTTGCCATTTAAATAGACAAAAGTGAAACTCTGAATCTTAGGCCTTAGCATTCCATGTTAGTTCTTTTTTTATAGAATCATTACAATCACCAGCAGTTACGAGATAATATTTCATAAAACCAACGCCTTCAAAACTGGCTTCGAAATTGAAGAAAAGGGCGGCCCTGGTAGTTGTCAAACTTACATTTGTCGCTCCATAAAGCACTGCGAAAAGGAGAATCTGAAAATGTTAATTGGGAAAATAGTAGCAAATAAGAGGTTTTACATAAATCCTGACTTTTGGATCAATGTTTTGTGGTTAACTCAGTAATACCTCAATTCGAAAAGCGTAGGATTATGTAATTTGCTAAGTAGATTAGAAATAAAGGCTGGATAAGTCAACTTTGCGGCTAAAAAGGGCGTTGAGGAGGCGCAGAGAGTATAAGCGTTTCTCCTCAGCATAAAACTTTAAAAAGTTATAGCAAATTACTAGACTTTCGTCTATTCTAATGAATTCACGTCCTAGAAAGGAATTTCAACATATTCCAGAAAAGTGGCGATTGCACTTACAGACAAATACTAACAATTGGCCAATCGACAAGCGTAATAACACGAATATGCTTTTCGATTGGCTGATAATTGACTGACAGACCGATATAGCCACTTCGAAGAATTGGCTGAATGACATAAGGAAAGATAAACATCAAACTCCAAACCTTTATGTACCTTGCGTGAGCTCGCTATGACGATTATCTTAGTTTTGCAAAAAGTAAACGATATCCTAGATTATTGGCATTCATTTCTGATTATCCAATTATCCGCGTATCCCTTGAACAAGTCCACCATGTTTGATAACACTCAATACTAATTCTTTCTTTCTTAGTATAGATAGAGATAGGATCACATTCTTCAAATGCTCGGTTCTGCTGAGTTTCGTCCCACTGGTTGTCCCCAATCTTCCTCCGAACGTCCATGACTTCTATCTTGTTGTTGTCGTTATCGTAGCTTCATTTCTTACTGCTTCTGAACAGCCCCCGTAAATTTGATCTTAATTATTGAATAAGTCCCCACTGCTACCACAAATCCTCGAGTTGGCCCCCTCTCGATTTGTTGATTTTTGCCATCTGATTGCCTTTGGCATTTTTTCAATTAAAAGTTCATAAAGAAATTCCTACTAAAATATACGATGTCTTTTACATTATGTCTTTTTAACGTCTACTATAATTTTATAAGCCCCCCTCGAATAAACCCCATCCAAAAATATCAAAATTAGATAAGCCCCCAGGCCGAGGATGCACTGTATAAACTCTGCTTTCACATTTGATGAAAAGAAAAATTTTCAACCTACAACCAATCTGAACCATTTTATATCGCATTAGCTGAACCAATCTGTGAAAAAACTGCTAGATATTGAAAAATTGTTTTCAGCATCACAACTTCATAGCACATTGCATTTTATTCACCAATCTTCCAACATTCGGGATTAAATTGTTCTACCTCCTTTTCTATCTTACCCTCTGTGTCACCGAATGGTTTGTAGTCTGCCTGCCACTATTCTTGCATTTATTTGTCAACAAAACTGATACATCAACACCAACAAATAATCTTACTGGCTCTTGTAAATGTGCATCTTCTAAAACCTTTATTTGAAACTTAACATATATTCTTCGCAGGTTTTTACGCTACCAATGGTGTTCGCCGCTCGAGCTGCAATCTACCTTCAACTCAAATATTGTTTAATGACTTCTATGCAAAGGCTAATGTTTATAAACTTACAGATATCTTGAAAAGTTCTTGTAGAGCAGCATTAGAGGTCAACCACATCAATTCGGTAATCGAGGCCGCTTCGAGGCAGTTCAGGTCAGGAAATTAGGCATACTAGCTATTGCTTTGTTGATGTCATCCTTCCTTAGCCCAATAAAGATGAGCCCTCAGCCATAATGTTGCCCTAAAACTTCACCTTGAAGCATATGCTTGAAGCAACGAAGATGCATTTTCATCACTACAGCAAGCGGAAGTCCACCTGCGAAGCGCAGTTTGGTGCTTCCAGAACAAAACAAAATAAACAATCTTATATGCGCTTTCTATTGTAAGGAATTCTTGAAATAGCACGGGCTCGTATTGAAGAGGTCCTATTACTTTATGTGTGGGCAGGAGCCAACCTGCAGCCGACTGAGCAATGAACTGGACCGTGTATTGGCCCGGGTTTGAAAGAAATTCATAACAGCTTCGGAATAGAAGAAATTTTTCAATCTCAAGAAAGTTTTTAATATTAATTTTAGAATTCCCAATTTTCAAATACCAAAATGGAATGCATACAGTTGTGTAGTAGTTGGTAGTATTAAGAAGTAGAACGCAGAAGTAAAATTCAAATTCAGTGCTTTACTACCCTTTTCGTTAGAATAATGAATATTATACCAAGGGGGAGATTGACCCCTTGTCTCTTACTTGTTTTTATAAAAGTAATAGTAGTTCCTGCTCTGATTCTGTGATATTTTATAGGTTTATTGGTTCGTTTAGAATGGAACACATTGTTCAAAAGAACTGCCAGCATTTCAATTAAACGTTGCAAATGACCTTACATACACTCTCTTTTTATAAGAACCAGTAAATTTCAGCTCAGGCTGACTGTTCTTAATTTTTTCGAAAATTTGAGGCTGGATTGTTCTTAATTTGTTCTTAAATTAAGTGGGTGTAAGCAGTGCTATTGCTAGCTTTTTCGCTCTAAGGAGGTGTTCAGGCCTCATTTGCCAACAAAGTGAGTGAGACAGCCTTAATTTGCTGACAAATTTGAATATTCACCGAAAAAGCACCCACGCATCGCTAAAAATCTTCGATTTTGAGAAAAAACATTGTTCAAAATTGCATTTTGCAGAAGCTCAGCCTCAGCTTGTTCTTAATTTGTTCTTAACTTTTGCCCAGTTTTGAGGCTCGTGTTCTTATAAAATTGTTCTTATAAAAAAAAAGAAAGTACATACTAAATTATTGCTTTCTGCTAAATGTTGTATCAAGCCACATTGAGGTGTTCTTTGGGTATCATAACTATATGTTGTGACTTGGGCGGGACATAGGTGTGTACCACAGAGAGACACATGCTTTCTAACAAGAAGATATATATATATGATTATAAGTGATTATTTATACTCAAGAGAGAGAACCTCTCTCCATGCCTCGTGCATCTAATTCTCTTCAATACTGGCGACGGGAGGGCGTAATGCGAAGAGATGCCGGAAATGCCAAATATGGTAAGACCTTCTCACCATGTGTCCCGGAGCCCTGGACCAGAATGGAGGTTTTCTGTCTCCTTCGCAATACTATATGAATGGGCAGATTACATGCACCTGTCTGATTTTATGTATCAGATACTGTGATATTGTCAGCAAATAAGATATGATATGGTTTTAAAAAGATATGGTTTAAAAAGCACCCCCATTTCAGTGAATTGTTTAGAGATTTGCAAAATGTAGTGGTTTTCTAAGGTGTCTCTAAAGGTATAGGGAAAAATTATCTGAGGATATCACCCGTCGTTTCTCAGACGGTTACATAAAGGTCGACCAGGATACTTCTACGCAGCAGCTGTTTAATTTTTGTCTTGCAAAATTTCGGAAAAATTTGAGATTGAGGATTTGATTTAAAATAGATGGAGCCAGAAAATTCGATTATTCATTTTTGTTCTGTGCATTATCTTTTCGATTTAGCTCGTACGTTTTTATTACTTTTATATTTATGATTGCATTTATGTAGATTCATTTTTTATTTTGAATATTATAATTAATCTGTCGAGTATAATGCACCTGTCACAAGCATTGGTACCCTGGATGCCAGAGTCTCCATTATTTAGTCTCAGAAATATAGTTCAGCATCTTTGCCACCACTGCCGCTTACAATACTGTTTCCCCGGATCCATGGGGCTTTGGTACCCAGGGTAAAGTATTGGGGGCACAGTAATGTCTTCCCTCTAGCCAAAATAGTTCTTGCTATGTGCACTTTGTTACTTTTTTCAAAGTTCCTAAATTAACATGAAATTTGTACCATTTTTGGCAATAAACAATATTACGAAAAATACATGTTTGTGTCCCCTTATTTCTTTTGGCGCCCCCTATTCAAACCAGCGTCCGACGGCCCTGATATTCTGACAAACATTGAAACTGAAAGACGATCGTTTGTCACTGCAATTTTGCAAAAAAATCAACTTTATAGATTAAAGTTTTAATTGGTGGCAAAGACCGAGATAACGGGGCTGCCGGGGGGCCATGGCCCTCAAAAACTTAAGTAGCATTAGTAAAATATTTTTATGTTGTAAAATGTGACTATTTTGACTGAAAGTTGTATCTCTATCTTTGATTGTTGTATCTTTGATTGTGCCCCCTAAAACTGAAAGTTGTATCTCGATCTTTGATTGGTGGCGGATCCTTCAGTTAATCTTTGTCAAATGTAACTATTTCCATTATGTAATGTTCATGCTGGGTCAGTTTAATTATGCAGTTCTTTTGAAGCAAATAAAAAAGGAATGCAAAAGGTACAGCTTTCTTATGGTTTAATTTCTGTTTTATACACAAACTTATGGTTTAAAACGCTAAATCTTACGGCAGAACAGAAGCTTGATGGGTATACGAAAACGTTTGGTCATGTGGAATCAAAGTGGAAGTTGGAGATCATCGTCATCGCTATGCAATTCAACAGCCTCATTTGTCTGGAAGTCATGTATTACAATGTAGGGAGCTTGAAGACACGCCCTTTTACTTTTTTCTATATTCTTTTATAGCACTGCACCCTTTTTTTGATACTGTTCTTGGTTGTTTCCAAAGTTGCGCATGACGTTGTGAAATCTTCGCTTTATCAATGCCTATGATGTTGCACAGAAATTCCGCAGAGCTGTTGTCAAGGATTTAGCGAATAAACTCTAACAATTCAGGAAGGTCCATTTTCGAAAAGGAATCAGCAAAAATAAAACACTATGATATGCAGGCTTGTGAATTTTAAGGAGAGAAGAATCGTCAATACATCATCATTGTTCATTCAGCCGCCGGCGGGCTGCTTGTGCACCTCTGAATGATACCACACCACAATCTTCTGTCTTGCGCCTGTTCGATACATTCCCGGAGAGATGCACCAACCAGGGCCTTGATGTTATCTGTCCATCGGTGTTTCGGTCTACCTCTACTTCTTTGGCCCTCAACAAAACCCAACATTACGGTTTTTTCCAGCGAGGAAGAGTCTCGGCGTGATATGTGGCCGAAGTACCGTAGTTGTGCTTTTTGAATATTTCTCAGCAGGGTTTCGAGTGCCCCACTCTCTCCAATACCTCAATGTTTGTAACACGGTCGCTCCATGATATTCCAAACAAGCGTCTGTAAGCCCACATTTCGAAAGCATCGATCCTGTTCCTTTCGCGTTGTCGTAATGTCCATGTTTCGCAGCCGTAGGTGGTGATTGAGAACACGAGTGATCGCAATATTCGGAGTTTCGTGTTATGCTGCTATCTCGCCATATTGCCTGCAGCTTTCCAACAGCCGTCAATACTGCAGTTCTTTATAGCCTCGTTTAAAAATGTGCGGGTTTAGGCGGACCTGAATTCACAATTATGATCCTGAGATATTGCTTTCGCAATCATGAAGTTTCGATAAGAGCGAGATCATTCTTTTCTGTTTTTATTTAGCACAAAGGTAGCACAATGGGAACACGGCTGCAAATCCTGGAATTTTCAGCTGTTTTTACATTTCATGCAAGATTTCCCAAAATTGGGGAAAGAAATCATCACCCCTGATGCCAAATACTTAGCAAGAGAAACACTCGCAATTCTTCTACCTGTTGCTTGTGCAATGTTTCATTCGTTTTCGGGACAATTTTCGGAGGCAGATAATACAAGGGAATGAAAGACGAGCACTTACCACACGCAAAAGAAATTTTTACTACTCTTTCTTACTTTGACAATAAATCTACAAATTAATATCCTTGATACATTTACACGAATTTAATTGAATTCTAGTCACATGTGGTTTAAAACATCACAAAAGAAAGAGTTTATCAAAACCAATTTCTCTTATCTCAAATACCTTCGTTTAAGTGAACATTCGATTGGCCGTCAATCAGAGGCTTTCAAGAAATATCGGGTTATTCAGTCTGATACTGTCGTCTACCTAGATATATCATAAAAGATGACCGCACATACTACAGAGCTATATTTGCTGGTATCCTACATTGCAAAACAACGTGCATGCTGTTGATACAACACAATATTGAATGCACACTTCTCTAGTTGCCGTAATTACACATTGCTACTTATAATTACACGTTGCTGAATGAAACGACGAAGGTGCAATGAGTTCGTTCTGGGCAGACGAGCAACAAAAAGAAAAGTTAGGCAACCCCCGTCTTGAAGTCAAAGAATATGCGCGTTGAACTCAATCATTATCACGCATGCTCTTTGATCCAACGACTTTGATGACAAATTGAAGACACATATCAATGGGAGAAACTGGTACGGGTTCTTGTCCGTCTTCCCAACAAGTGGCATGTCGACGCAAGTATATATACAACTTTTGTATAGCTCATTAATGGCGTTCGGTATGCAGAGCTCGGAAAAGTGATGGCCGGGGGCTTATCTTGCCAATAGGAGCAGACTGATGATAGAACATCAAAAGTCTTCGATTCGATTTTCTATAAAAAATATTCGTTTTAACTCAAGCCAGATCTTGACGTTCCTTAAAGTATTACGTTATCATTACAGGTTGTTGCTTGTCATTATATATATAGTACCTAAAAAGTAAAATCAAAAAAGACTTAACAACATTAAAGAACCTAAAATATGTTTAATCTATATAGTCATACAACTGGTCTTTGCAGCTGTAGAGATTTTACGACCAAATCTTGTCAATATGCTCGGACAAAACTACTTGGCGAAAATAAATGCTTGTTCGGAATTCAAGATCGTGTCTACGTAACAAGCGATAAACGCACCAAGGCCGTAAAAATCTTATCCGAATAACATTTACAATAGCTGCTCTGTTTAGGTGATGATGATGATGATGATAATGACTAAAAACTTAATCCTATCAATAGCTACTTCTGGTTATAATAACGAACTGATCACATTTATAACAATCAAGAAAATAATTTATTCTAAAGCATCAGACAACAGAACTAAGCCTGTAAGTTGTTAATAAAAATAGATAATATCGTGATGCTCAGTTATGCTGTGAAAAAGGTTAAATTGGCAACACTTAGCTAGATATAAAAGGGATTTAACGACAAAATGCAAAGTAAAACTAAAAAAACTATAAGTACAGTACATCAGGAGATTTGATGCTATAAATCTCAAGATGTAGAACTTCTAGGGTGAGTGCATCCAGGTAACAAAAAGAAGATAGGTAGCTGCTGGAAACAAATGACACCGGAGTCGTTTATTAATCAAGAGGCCTACGTAAAAATTTGTTATAAAAGGTTTGAAGAAGAACTGGCAATGTTGTTTAGAAGAAACATAGCTTGATTCCTTTTAAATTATAGAGGCCTCTTATCAAGCTTTTTACTTCGCAATTCTTCTGCATCTTTCAAGTTCCTACTTTTAGCAGACATGTATGTATCACAGAGAGAATGACATTGATAAAGGACAAAGTGGATAAAATAAGACATCACTGGCTATCATCTTCAGAACACAGTGCACTGCCTACACATGGGTGGAAAGCAGGAGGGTACCAACGGTAACAATTTTCCTTCAATTGGCAGGTTCTCTTATACTTAAATTGTTAGATTGATCTTTTTTGCAATCAATTCTTAATCACGACGCTATGTGCATTTTGATTCACAAAAAGTGCACCACATGCATTTTGAACTACTAAATAAAACTTCGATTCCGTACAAAACATTGCAATCTACTCTTACACAAATTGTTCCTTCCTGTTGCTCAAATCAACCGAGAACGGGTTAGCCTGCGTGCTTTGAGTGCCGGCTTGTGACCAATTGCTTTCAAAACTGTCTGATCCAAAGGGATTAGGTGTTGGCTCGGCTGTGTTTGCCGCGGCGTTGTTATGGTTCCAGCCTGCAGAGGCAGTAGTAGTGACTGACCCAGTGGAGAACGGATTCGGTGTCGTAGTCACTAGCAGGCCTTGGTTCTGAGAGCTGCTTGCTGTGGCCAGCCACATATCAGCCTGGGAATGAGGGCTGTTTGCCTGTGCAGCTGAGTGCAGATGTGCAGATTCGATGCTGGATGAATCTGCCTGGAGACGTGGTGGCGGCAGGTCATCTGTGAGGGCTTGGTAGGTGCTAGAGCCCTTTTGATTAAAGCCAGGATGACCCATCGGCCGTGACCGATATGGAAGTGACATATGTCGAGTGAATGGAGATGGATCTGCACTAGGGGTCGGTCTGGGCCTAATAAAAGTGTTTGCGCTCTTTTTACTTTCCGGTGGAGATATTCCGTTTAGAAGCTGGGCAGAATCATTAGTAGATGTTACACTGGTGTTGGCGGTGGTTGTTTTAATATGCTGAGTTTCCTGTGCTTTTTTCATTCTTTCTTCGTATTCATATTGGTTTATTTCTTGGAGCTGCTGCACACTCTCTTGGGGAAGTACCACTCCATTTGCATTTCCACGCTCTTTTAACTTCGACATTCTTGTACTTCCTGATCGCTGCAAACAATAATAATTAACAATTATAGAAATGATAAAATAAATTCAACAAAGTAAGCGTCACTCAATAATCTAAAAGGAATTGTTTGATAAATCAAATTGTGCCAATGTTCACACAAGCAGGCGGCTGACAGGGGACAGGGGGCAATTCCTCTGGAGCCCGGAACCAGCAAGGGACCCAGAACAACCAAGAGGCCTGGCAACACCAAGGGGACCTGAGCCACCAAGAGGTACGTAGAAATGTACTACGTGAATTTGACTGGAGATCAAGAATGACTGGAGTATAAGCAAAATATCCATGTACCAGTACGGGTTTAGCTTGTTTCAGTCCCAATTAGGTACACTGTACGCCTCGCTTACAAGCCAAATGGGAGGTACAAAATAACAGCGTTGCAAATACACGTCCCATCTCCAAGACAGTTGATATGCTCAAAACTAAATAAGGGCCGTCATGGCTCTCGACGGCCCTGAACAGAAGACTAGATGAGTAAGGACACACAAAAACTGGCACTTCTGAGGAAATATGTAAGATATAAACTGTTCATGGCTGTTATTATCTAAATAGACCTTCCGTGCTGCAAAACCTGACGGACAGTAGCATTCATAGCAACACCTAAGCAACAGAACGTTTCAAGGAACTTGGCAGGGATTGTAGCCTCGGCCAGACAGTTGAGACAAAAAATCATCCTTGTTCAGTATTTAATGGGTCGTTAGTCTCCGAGAAACTATTTGTCAGCAACAGGATCCACAATCGGAATCCTGGTAGTAATATCTGGAAAGAGGGCAAAATGTTCCTAGTTCATATACTCACGCACACAGATAAAAGCTTTCCTGAGATTTGTAAAGCATTCAGTTCTGACCAAAAAACGACGTTCATACAAAGAAATACTGTCTTTGTAGTTAATACAGTTGGATAGAATGAAGATGTAGAATGAGGAATGTGATGAAACGCATCGTTAAAAAAGTAAAGTTTATTAACAACAATAGGTGCAAGACTAATGTTTCTTTGTTTAACAGTTCCCTATTCAAATACAAGGTGTTTATTACTCTTTTGAATCTAAGTTAATATGAAGTCCTAAGAAAGTAGACAGAACTAATTTCTCTCACCTGGAAGTTGTCATTCTTCATGTTTTGTTGCTGCTTTTTCTGCAAGCAGGCTGTAAATGCACATCCCACAGCATGACTTATTCTTTCCCCCTGAAAATCGAAGGAACATAGAACTCATTCTTTATATAAATCATAAACAACTTCTGGAACAAAATTACGGCCTTGCATCAACAAGCAACATAGAGCATTTATGGCAGGCCTGGCCGTGAGCTTTTAGCAGGCGAGCGGTACATCGCTCTCCTCGGAAAAGTCAGGCGGGCGATTTATAGTCTCTTGAAAATCGTCAATGTATATGAATAAACAACAGCTAAGTTTACAAAAAAAGATGGTGACTCTCCGACAGAAATAAAACGATAGTTTCGTATAGTTGCAAATCAACAATCAACAACAATCTCACTAACAAGATTTGAATAGAACCAAAAGTAAATAATCACATAGTGTGATTTTGTTATAACATTAGTACAAACTAGCATTTATTCGAAAACTGTCATTTTGATGCTCAAGTACTTGAAGGCTTGTTATTTCTGAGTTAGTTGTCATAGGGACATACACGTTTTTTACTAAGCGAAACTGATAAATTCAGCTACTACTGGAAGTTTCAAGATTAAAAGATTTTGAGAGATTACAGTTTCGTACCGGTCCTTAAAAAGGTATATCTATCAGTGGGGGATCCTGTATACTTTAATGAACATTATAGCCAGTTATAAAAAACCACAGCTTTTCATAAATTACATATTTAGCGCCAAGTTTGCACCAAATGAACGTCACCACCTTCTTTCCATCTATCTCCTCAATTTTTTATCAAAGAACAGCTTCTTTGTCGTATTTTTCGAAAGTTTCAATTTTTTAGTTTTACTTCAAGAGGTGTCGAGAAATGAACAGAAGATCAAGGCGGGTGGCTACCTGCGAACTCACATTGGGGCGAGTGATGAATAGCTCACCTCGCTAACACTAGTTTCATAAAGATTTGTCACCAATTCAAGAAGTTAATGACAGAAATGACATTCTATGTTAACAGCTAAAATTTTCTCTTGATATACAAAACTTTTCTTTTCATAAATATAGAATCCTTGATGTGGTTACAATACAATCATTTGCTGAAATTAAAATCACATTGGAAAATTAACACTAGCTAAAGGATCAGATACAGTGTTGAATATAAACTCACAGTATGTTTGATTCCTCTAAAGCTGTAGCACATCCACCTGCGAGTTGTGCCATCTCTGCATATGTATGAAAACAATTTCTCATCACTTGGATCCGGCGTACAGAATGAAACTTTCTCTATTACTTGATCTACCACAAGTGACTAGAATAAAAGAAAACATTGTGTTGAGAAAATGACGAGTCTTAATAAAAATTGTTGTTCAAGCTTGTGTGATGCACTAGTACATAAAGTTGTACATAAAATTTTCTTCAAAGCTCCTGAGTGTATTTGTAAGATCAAGCATACAGTAAAAAAAATAAAAAAATGAACTTTTGGCATGAATGATTTACTAAAACAATATAGTTTACTAAACAACAATGCTCTAAGCAACTGAATATTGTCTTCAGAAACGTGTGACATTGTGTAAACAGGAGTAGTTTGTTTTCATTTTAAACCAACAATTAAAGCAGCTTTCAATCAAACAAACATTTTGTAGAGGTTTCCCTGGCTCTGGTAATTGCAGGAATTTGCATTGGAATTGATGAACAAAATTTGTTGATGAAATGCACTGGGATATATTACTTCATTCTCCATAAACTCTTGTAGTAAGTTCTTGTTTGGACCTCAGAGAACCATCATTAACATGAGCAACAAGAAATATTCACTTATATATATCAAGGTTTGGGTCTTTGTCAAGGCAGAAGAAAGACATGGAAGTTGCAATTTTCAGGTAAATTTGAGCAAAAATGGCCAGGTAAATAAGGGTGGTGTATAACTTTACATTAGAAAGACTGCATCACTCTCTTTCCTAGCATTGATTTGATTCCACCAAAACGTGTTCCAATATTTTGACATATTTCACTGAATAAACAATGCTAGTTGACTATTTACCACGGGCATACCTGTTTCCAAAAATAACCTAAGTTGCATTGAAGAATTTCAGGGCAACAAATGTTGGGACTAAAAATGAAGGGACTAAAAATGAAGGGGCTAAAAATGTTGGGACTAAGGACTTGATTGGTAGTTTCCTAAAAACATTTTCTATAAAAAGTTTTGAAATTATTTGAATCAAAAGACCATTTACACTAAGTTTTATCACAACTACTTGCTTCTCATCCTGCAAGAATTTGACTCATGGTTTACAAGATTATGGTTCTCTTTTAAGGGGAATACTTCAGTATAAAGTTTTATATTTGCGAGTTTCTAAATTTTTTTGGTTCCATTTTGTTTTGGGTGTTGAAATGCTTTTGTTCTGGTAGTGAATCAGTTTCATGCATAAATGTAGTAAACTTAATGTTACCTTTGTGACATCATCAATAACCCTCAATGTATCCTCTGTCACCCATAATGTCACTCTTTTCTTCTTTGTTTGTGGATGCTGAAATATAATTGAAAAAATTATGAATCCCTGTAAGAGTTTTCATAGCACTGATTGTAGTTTGTTTGAGCATTTGCAGCTGTTGTACATACATACATAAAGATTAATCCTCTAGGACAGGATTGGGCAGCCTTTTTGGAGACTGGGCCAGATCATTCAAACACTTTCTTTAAGGTGGCCAAAGGTAATAATAAGGTAATACTATTTAATTACACTACAATTTTGAACCTCTCGTTTACATGGATATTTTGCAACAATAGATTAGACTGTTACAATCGCAAGCGCAAAAGGATAAACTGGAAAACCAATCAAAATTGAAAAGGATGTCATTCAGAGTTTGGGGAAAACATCCTAGAAGGGAAATGCAGAATTATCTTCCAATTTACGTTAAGCAGCAGCCTTTGATTAACACCAATTTACCCAGCCCCCCCCCCCACCAGCACACTACCAACTAAGACATGACAAAATAGGGACAGCCATGATATGTGCTCAACTGCCAAATCTTTCTATGATTCCCAGGTTTCATAAAGATATTAGATAATCTAATTTTGAATCAATGTATTTTATTCAATGTTTGTGACCCCTCAGAAAATCATCTTTGCAAACCAGAAAATTATAACATTAAATCATCTCGCTGGCCACAAAAACTCTCTTCCTGAGATGGATTCTGGCCCACTGACCGTAGGTTGTCCATCCCTGCTCTAGGATATCAATATTTTAGATCAGATTCTGATCTCAATTTCCCACAGAAGCGTTCAGAAACTTCTGAATGATGCTTTCTTATATATATCTGATGATATGACATTCTTTTTGAATATGTTGATAGCAGAAAGCATAAGCAAATAAAAAGTTTCTTTGAAAAAAGCAAACAAATTACAACATAATGGCTAAAAGCTTTTTCGACTGACACTCCTCAGAGCATAAAATGTCAGAATAAGGGTCTGAAAGAACACAATGAAAAATATATACCCAGCTGTGAATCGAAATAGGCCAATCAGAAAAACGCAAGCGCAACACCGGTATAGTTGACCAATAAGTGCCTCATGCCTAAAGAAAAATTACCATTGGGATCTACACAATGGCAGTTTTTGTTTGTATGTAGATTGATTCAAAAAGTGCTAAATGGAAAGATGACCGGGCTGTGCCAATTATCTGAAACATGTCATCATCATAGAGTTTAGCACAATCTGAGTTGTCTAAAAGATGTTGACCAATGGCAGAATCACTTGTTTTAACAGTGTTTCTAGACCTAAAAGATTGAATAGGCTGTTCTCTTTGAGGGGCAGTTTTGTTTCTTATGTTGGAAGGAACATGCTGTTTTATCCTATCCCCAATTTTTTGGGTTGTGCGTCCTACGTAGCCAGAATCACACTGGCACATAAATTTATAAACAATAGAACTTTTTTGGTTGGTAGGAGCGCAATCCTTTTGAATGGATGGAAGGGCTCTCCTAGTGCTGTAAACAATAAGAGGATTGACAGCAAAGAAACATCTTGTGATGGCTTGCCTAATCTGACTCTTGAATCGCAAGGAAGTGTTACCAATCCATGGTAGTTTCAAATCAACTGGGCACTTTTGCGGACCAAACTTTTGAACAGCCCAAAAACTTATGATCCTCTCCTTAGTATAAGACAAAATGACATCTTCTAGATAGCTATTGTCCAAACGTTTTAAGTTTTTCCAGTTCAGTGTGCAGTTTAGATTTCCAGCAAATCATGAGTGCCCTATGTACTAAAGTTTTGACAAGGTTGACTTTGAGTTGTTTTTGGCAAAATGAATTCTGGTGTATGTACTGACCGGTATAAGTAGGTTTGCAATATACACTGGTAAGAAATCCAGTGCTAGACTTTTCGACCAAAACATCTAAAAATGGCAAGGAATCATTTTCTTCCTTTTCAAAGGCAACCTGGAGGGCTGGGTGTAGGCTATTAAGGTGTTTTAGAAAAATATCACACTCAGCCTCTGTTTTGAAAAGGGTATATGTGAAAAAGCTGCCATTATGTAGACAGAAGAGGTTCTTTTTCTCTCTTGGACCCCAGTGGTAATTTTCCTTTGGGCACGCGGCACTGATTGGTCAACTGTACCGGTTTTGTGCTTGCATTTTTTTCTGGTATATACTTTTCATCGTGTTCTTCTGGACCCTTATTCTGATGTGTTATGGTCTGAGGAGTATCAGACGAAAAAGCTTTTAGCCAATATGTTGTAAAATGTTTGCTTTTTTCAAAGCCATTTTCAAGTTCTCTTCTGCCAAAAAACTGTCCAATTAAAAAATTGTTGAAATTAATTTGCATCTTGATGCCTTTTTAGACATCATTTCAAAACAGGGTGAATACACAAAATGCAAGGAAACATTTAAAATGAATGATTAACTATATTATAATGGAGACAGAGACAAGGCAAGGTGTAAATTATGAGCATATGATGATGGAAATTACTATATAATGCTGGCTACAAGTGATTCACACAGTATTAAAATATGCAGACCAAGTGTCCATGACCCATTTATCATTGAACCATTTGAACTCAGATAGCAGAATTCAAACACATTGCATATTATTATGTTTTGCAGAATAGAACAGGGTGGCTCTTAGCTGAAGAGGGTGGCTCAAGATTCATGCTTAATGCCATCACGAGGCAACTTTGCATATGATAACTATGAATATGATATGATAACTATGAATATGATATGATATAAATATTTACATGCAAATTTAAAGCTTTTTTTTAGCTAATCATTGAAAAATTCACTCACCATCTTCATCTGATGTGCAGCATTTGAGCATACTTGTGTTCCTCTTGATTCTTGAACTTCAAGTGAACCAAGGTACTGCAGAATAGAAAAAAAAACCCCGTGACTGGAAATAAAAGTCCAGACATGAGATATTAGACTTAGATCCATCAAATTGCTAACATGTGCATATAAAGGTTAAAGGCAAAAAGCTACAACTTGCTGGTGATAGTAGTTTTATATCAGATATTTATATCAACTAAATTGATTTTAGTATATAGTGTTTGAGATTTGTTTATGAACTGTGATATCCACACTTTGCATAAGATACTGGCTTAAGGTACAGAGCTCAAAGTTTGACATACTGACATATTTCTTAGCAATATCTGTTATAAAAGATATAAAAAACACAAGAACTAATCAAAACACAGAAAAAAGATAATTATTGCCTTGAAAGAATTCATTGTCACATTTTGATAATCATAGCATTTTTAAGGTACTTGCAGTGTCTCTTTGTTGAAGCATAGTTTTAGATTTTTCTAAAAACGCACATAAGTTTCTTTAGATTTGGAGAAATAATCCTTGATCCTCACATAGAGGAATACATGCCTTGCTTTTTGATCTGGCTACCCTTCATGAAAATGTGGCAAATCATAACAACCAATTTTTATCATTTAAAAAGGTTTACATTACAGAAAAATTTCAGACAAAATATCCCTGGCAAAAATCTGTTTTCACAAAATTTTGGATGATTCTATAAAAAATTATACAAAAAAAAATCTTTCTTAAATTTCAAAGAGCATATTACATCATACTAAGCTTACTGTAGTTCATAATTAACTTGATTTACCCAAAAAAGTTACAAATGTTTGATAGGGTCCACACTATGAATTCCCATTCTCTATTAGTGCCCATCATTTCAAAAGCTTTCACAGTAACCCAACCATTGCTGTAATGTTCATCATAGCAGATGAAAGGTGAAGGTGTCTTGACCACCTTACGATATCAATTAAAGGAAATTACAAAGTAGGTGAAATAGAGCTGGATGAAGGAAAGGATCTGAAGAAAGATACATACTGATGTATATTACAATTAAAGTGTGACAGCCCAAGCCTAGGTGTGTTGTTAAATTAATTTTCTTGACAAGATGTGACTCTGTTTCACTTCGTAGCTACAATTATTGCCAAAAGCACTTGAAACATCCAGCAATTTGCGTTTTGTTTTAATATGTTTCATCTATACTCCTATACAAGTGTGGTGCAGAAAATTGGTCCTCAGATGCAAGGAACAATCACAGCTTATCAGAATGAATTTGACATTGAATGAGCTTCAAGTAGTTTATCTAAATGATAAATTTGTCAATCTTAGATGGCTCCAGGTCTATTTTCCACTTTGGACACAGAGGATAGGTGCACAATTAAGACAAGATGTAATTTGTCATGAAAGAATGACAAAGTTATTTCACCAGAAATTTGCCTTACTTTCACAAATTTCATATTGTGGTAAAGCAAGCTGGCAAAGCTATTGTACCAAAAAAAGAGTCTTACTTCCATAAATTTTGTATTGTGGTAGAACAATGAACACAATTATAAGCTTTATCTAGCCACACTCGAAAGAAAATTGTTTCAAACTCTAAAGAAAGTATGAAGTTTATATGTTTTATGTTTAACTGTATCAATATCTATTTCTCACTTGGTCTGAGCGAAGCTCTTGCCTAATAACTCTCCAGGTTAACAATGAACAGCAATACCCTACTCAAATAGAGTCATTTTACGTTATAAGTACAGCATATATTGTCTATTTTTTATGGTTGGCTATATTAATTCTAACTTTGAAGTCCCCTTTAACTCAAGCTTCGTAATGTCGTGTCACAATGACAACAAACGTAAATCGGAGGAGGAGTAAATTCGATCAGATTTCTAGTGAGTCATAGGTAAAACATACGCCTAAATTTTATGCGGTATTCTTGACTGAAACAATATAAAAATGAGTTCAATGTGAAATAACATCAGCTGCAAATAATCCTTCAGTATTAATCCAGATAACGTCAAGATTCTCACAAGACGCCCTTCGACATTCCAAGAATTAAGCATTTCGTTTGTTGAAAGTGCACAACCCTCAATAAACGAACGGACACGGGGAGATGATTTCCTTTAGAAGTTAAACAAATCTTCAAGCGACAAGACACGGAAAAATACCAGCTAAAGAAACAACTCACTATCAAAATTACAAAGCAGAACAAAACACTTAAACAAAAAGGCCTAAAGGACAATATTCTTCAAATACCTTGGCAGGGAAACTGAGGCCACCGTGTTTGATATTTATGCTATCATTTTCCCAATTTGCTGGATTGTTGTTCGCTCTGTATTTCGATCTGCTACGGAAGCTGAGAGTTCTCCTCAATCTTTTCATCATTACGACAAATTTTTACGAGCCAAACCACAACTAAATCAACACTGGATGCCTTTTGCACTGATTCTCACATCTCCGTCACAGCTCCTTGATACCATTATAGATGCAGGTTCCGGACAATTTAGTCGACGCGACCAAGTAGCACTGTGCGAGAGTCGATTGGTTCACCAATGAATTACAGCCAATCAGATTCGGCACCTACCTATCAACATCCCTGACATTTAGCGAAGCTTTATTGATTTTTATATAGAAGACTTTGTTATAATGACGGTGACGTAATGAATAGAAAGCAGGTGATGGAATGCAGGCGGCTTGATGAACTTTACAAAGACTTTGCATACTCTTTAAAATAATAAGTTTTCTTCTCGTGCTGTTTATAGGCCAAATTGCCTGGATGATGAACGGCAAGTTAGTTTTTTATAAAAATGCACGACAGCATGCGTCATCGGCTTGAATGCTTCTTAAAGTTCATAAAAAGAGTTAAGACGGGAAATTAAAGAAGCTTTCCAAATAATCTGAATCCTTAGCAATTTGCTTACTTACTACAGTAAATAACTTTTAAACGTAAACCGTAGTTATCGATCCCTCAAATCAGGCTGCTAAAAAAATACTATAACAATTTTGTATGTCATAGTAGCGCGGGTTTATTTTTGCAGCACTGCAAACTAAAGCAAAATAAAAAAATTCACCTGAATAAATTTTTTGTCCAGAAATATTTCAAAAGGGCAGGAAATGAGATACAACTGAATAATTGTTGCGTGTTCATTTAAAAGCAACCATTGCGTGCTCTGGGACAATTTGACCATTAACAGCAACAACACAAAACTATCATTGTTTTATCAATTCTCTTTACAGTCATACAAACAAAAGGTAGAAATAAAGGAATTAATATACAAGAGTTCAACTGCACCAATTTATATTTCCTTAATGATATTTGCAATTAAGTTAATGGATCATACATCTTTGTTCTCATCAGGTTGTAAAGTAAGCTATGAACATCTAAAATCCTCGAAAAGCAAAGCTGAAATCAGATTTTTCCAAAATATAAGCGACGGAGAAGAGCGACACAAGAAAATACACTGTATCAATCAACAGAGTTTCTGATAGCCATTCACAGCAGTACAGAAAATCCAACATTAGAAATTGTCAACTCTTACGAAAATAAGTGAAGGTGTACGTCCTTTTGTTGTAAGTCGTCAGAAAGAATCTCCCACCAATCATGCGAGTTTTAGAAAAACTTTTGTTCCAAATATGGGGAAAATCAATGGATTTTGATAAAGAAAAGGGAACCTATATGGCGTTTTGATAAAAAACATTTAAATTCCATAAGTGCGAAAGGGTTTTCTAAATACTATTGAGTCTCGATAACGATATTGGTACATGATAATTTTCAATTAACCTGGCAAATTGAAACAAGGTCCTTTAAGCAAACAGTAGGATCAGACAATTTAACACAGTTATGAAAAATTCCAACCCATGTAAGCAATGATTGTTTTATGGTCTGGACCAAAAGTATTCCTTAAGTGGTTTGGGAGAATGTTTCTCACGAAGTTTTGAGATAGCCGTTCCTATGGAAGACGTTTGACATAGCCTTGGACCCTTTTCCTACAAAATTCGTCCTCGGTTACAGAATTCAAAGCCTCTAAGACAGCTCTTGAAGTTGGAAATGTGTCACGAACAGACGGCAAAGACTGGATTTGTTGAATTGGAATGCTGAAAAAAAGCAAAAGGAGCTCTGTAAAGTGTTGAAGAGGTAGTATCCTATAAAATTATACTCATGAGAAAATCAATCAGCAAAGCATTTCTGAACTCTGAACACAAATGTTTGTTGCCATACACCAAAAACGAATGGGAGTAACATAGACAAACTGTCGAGCATACGAAGGTAATGCACGCAAAACCATAAGAAGAAAGTATGAAAGTTACCGGTGCAGCCCAAGCCAAGGTGTGATGCCTTTAATAAATGCGTCTGGCGAACCACTTAGAAGAGCTTCTATATCAGGTTGCTGTTAAAATGTAACGAACAAATCATAATGCGAAAATGCGTGAAAAATATTAAAAACAGACGAAAACAATAAAGTTTCGTTTACATAACAAAAAGAGAAAGGTTACCATCTTTTCTGAACTCGTGTTCCTATCAACGTATCTTTCATGCAAAGAAGTATCACTAAATTGAAGTTAAGAAGCTCATTGAACCTAACAATCGTGTGAATGCAACATTCCTTTCACGATCCAACATTATTCAGGTCTCAACAGTCTCGCCTTAAAAGCGACAATATTTTACAAATCAATCTTGACATTAAGAAGCAGCTCCGTTTTAAGCTCGATTGACAAGCATAGGGTGAAAAGAGTTTGCTATCTACAAAAATGATAGATTATCAAAACACCAAAACGGTGAAGGGCATCAAAAGGGTGACAAATGAAGCAAGCTGTAATTAAACAAAAGCTGGATACAAACATTTACAGTCAATTCTACAGTTGATCATTTCATCAATACGCTTTTAAAAGATAGGGTTGCATAATTGACATTTCACAGTTGAAACCAGATCAGAATTAACCCAAATCTGACTGACGAGCACAAATCAATCATGATATTAAGAAGCAGTATTTGTACAATTTCAACCTGCCCTGTTCCTGACTTCATATAGGAATATTAAAAATTCAGTAACTTTAAGCAAAAAATAAACTTCGAAAAAAATGTTGATTCATAACACTGATTCATTAACGAGAAATATCTTTAGCCTGTGAAGAAGTTTCGCAGAAAGGAAAACTACCGCGATTCGAGTAGTCTCTTAAAATCATTTACTAGAATCTAATATCACCGAAATATTTATGACAAGTGTGGAGTATGGAATATACAATATGCAGTACGTAATATACAGAAGAGACTTATTTAAAGCAAGGTGGAGCCTTTGAATAAAGAGTAACAATCAAATTTAGCTGTAATTTTTAAAACAATGCTTACCTTTCCAATAGGGATAGGCCCAGTGACCTCCTGTCCTATCGCTAATAGAAGTCCTAAGGCGACACTGTAAGCCACAGCACTGTTATAAAAAACAAACATGTAACAAGAGTATTTTAAAGATACAAGCAAAAAAAACAATAACTAACTTACAGGGACCCTCTAATATAATTAATTTTAGTAAGTCGCTTAGAAAAGGACTTGCCAGAATAGGTTAATCAGAGAGATATGATATTTCTTTTTTTTATTTTAGAATATAAACATATTTCAGGATACATTTTAAGAAAAATATATGTATTTACGATTTAGCCTGTTGTAACATAGTGATTGAGCTCTTTGTTGGTACAACGAAAGAATGACAATGTCACGGTTCGAAAATATCACTCTATTTAAGAGACTGTAGCATGCAAAACTTCCTATTGTGTCCTTTCTTTCAAAACTTGTATGAGACAAAGTTTGATTTTTTGAGATTTTCAAACCTCAAGGGCTCTTGCGCAAGCGGCATGCTTTGCGACTATATTTTCAAAATCGTCTAACATCACTGCATGAAAATACAAAATACAATCAATTTATCAAGACAGCTGCCGCAACGCATGTCGGTTGCACAACAGCCTTTAAGCATGGAGTTTTAAATGTTTCTTATTTCAACCTATATAGTGAAAAAGCATACCTGCTGCCTTTAGAAAGTGGTATAAAGTTATAAAAGTAGTACAACATTGTCAAAACTGTGTTTATGTCGCTTGAGGACTCCTTGGGAAAAAACAAACAGAACGTAAATGAGCACAATCAACAACAATCTAAGAGCATAGCATAGGTGTAAAAGAAACAGCTATTTTGTGTGCAAAAGTATTTTGACTTAACATGATTTGGAAGTTTTAACTGTTGATGAGCTAACACTAATAAGCTTTACATATTGAGATAATTTGATTTGTATATACATCAGTCTTTTAACAACTAATAATAAAGTCTTGTTGATTGGCCAAATCAAATTCATTCCTCGGTTGAACGGTCGTTATTATTTGGTAAGGCAGATAAGCGCCAAAGCCAAATGAATGGTTAAAATTAATTGAATCGGTGATGAAGAAAATCGTGCAAAATCTTATGAAATAAAAACTAAAGATTTAGTGAGATTTCGCCATTTGTTCCTTGTGTATAACAACATTGCTATGTGTGTGGGCGATGCGGTCAAAGTAGCTGTGAACGGGATTACGTACAGATAAGTTTTCCAAGATGATGCAGCTTCATTCTTAACCTAAACTAATTTCTGTCCTGACAGATGGTGTGTTTTTATCAATACATGGATACTGACATGCCCTTGGGTGTAATGAACAGGACTGCTCTAAGGCTGTTAAACTACTCTCTCTGCAGATGTTATCATATTTACATGTCATTTACCTGGAGGTATCGGGTTTTTGAATTGCTTGTATTTGTTAATTATAGGCAATTTATCGAAGGACTTACTTTGATCAAATCCCGATACCTCCAGGGACATGACAGCTAAATATAACAATGGCGATGGCATTAAGTATTAGCTCTGAGCAGCAACTTAGGACCGTCCTGTTCTATTCAATAAAGATTGTAAAGGTCTGCCTATACAATATCCAAAACTTTATGACAGAAAAGTAAAACAGTAATTTACATTCGATGAAAACCGAAAAATGCAAAAACATCTTCAATTGTCCTTCTTGATAACAATAGTGCATAAAAACCATTGCACGTCTTGCTTATCTTGTAAAGATCGTTAAAAAACCTTACATTAGCCAATCTTGCGATTTACATAATGTTTCAAGAAACAAGATGACACTCACTTTGCTACTTCTATGCTTCGAAACATCTTCTGCTAGCTTTCCCCATAAATATTCTAGCTCAGAATGGAACTGGTTTGTTCTGGCGGGTTTTGAAACACTCTCTAACACAAAAGACATTTCATCTTCCCTAAAAAAAGTGGAAAATTCAAGTATAAAATATAAATTATATAAGAATTATTAGTTGATAAAAATTTGTTTAGATTAACAAAATCATGGGACCGGAAACCGTGAAATCTCATTCTATATACGAAATCCCTGTAACGGTTCCACGTCTGTTCGTCTTCTGTACTGTTCTGCAGTTTGCAAAAATTCTTAAATGTTTTAGAATTTATTACACTGTTGAAATATCAAGAAGAGAACTTCTGTATTGCAAGATCCAATAAACTCTGAGATTTTATCAAACTTCAAACCAACAAATTATGTTTAAAGTCTTGCTCATTAGCAGATGAAAACCAAATGAACCATTACACAAGTCATTAGGATATAGTTAAGATTACCTTTGGCCAGACAATGTCAGCAAAGCTCCATCTAATTGAGAAGATTTCCTTCTAGTGCTTGGTATTTGCAATGCAACTGCAAAGGCAGCATGAAGAGAAGGCGATGCTTTCTGGTAATAGAAAAAATCGCAAAATAAGCGCTTTTTACTCGCGGTTTTTACCAAGCATAAACACGACTAATTAGGAAAAACTATTCTTTTCTTTCATCCATTTAATTTCCCTGTTTTTACTCAGGTTCTTCAAAACCCAAAGAGATAGAACATCAGAATAGCAGTGACCTTACTTGGCATAGAACCAAAGCAACGATAAATCTTTTCTTAGCAAAAATCACCTTTTTCAGACAGAGCTACTTCTTAGGCTAAACAAAATCGAGGAAAGAACTCCCATAATTATTCCAAAATGATAACAGTTACTAAACTATACAAAGGTGTTTCTTTCCGATGTCAACGCATTGCAACGAAATTGAGAAAAAGACTGTTAATGACCCAGAACGTACCCGTAGCACTGTTACAAACTCTTTAACATCAGAAGCTTTTTGTATTTGCTCTTGAGCTCTCTGAGACAATTTTTGTCTGAAAAACAATCATCCCTTTAAGATTTTGTTCTCGTCAAAGATGTTATCAAGTAAGACGTAACAAACGTGAGTCTTATACAGTTGACCTTACCAGTACCTATTGATAAAAAAAAGTGGGTTTCGTTGGCACTGGCAAAGCAACAGGAAAGCCGTGACTTCACAAGGAAATCATCAAGGCCCAATCTGCGATGCCTTTAACTGAGGTAAATGGCAAGATTCCAATGGTTATGGCACAGTTATGCACTTTGGATAGAGATGACATCGTATGACATTCCAGCAAAAAGGTTACCTTGCTCCCATCTAATGCATTCATGCCTCTTTAGGTCGTCCAGAGGCATAAAATGCGTACGAATTCAAGGCAAAGACTAACAAGGGCCAACAAGCGCCAACAAGCACGAGCAGAGCTATCAATGTGAAGGAATGTGAAATGCACAATGCGAGATAAAAAGATACTCTCGAAAATCAAACAGTTATAAAGACATAAAGTGCATTTAACCAAATGTCGATAGAAATAAAAGGCAAAATTGAGGTTATTCAAAACACAGAAGTCATTATCATCTATAATATAAAATACATTGCTACCTTGAAACCAAAGGTAAACAAAACAGATTTTGATAGAAAAGCGTACTTACATAAAAATATTCTTAATCATCGCCTTTGCGAATTCAAACACTTTTGGAAAATAAGGAACATATCTTGGAATTTGATGATATCCACTATAAATCAATAAAAAGAATTTTTAGCTGAAAAACATAGTAATGAAGATCACTGTCTATCGGTCTGTTATATAGTGCCTGGTGCAATTAAAGGCACTATGTACCGACACGTTTAGATGGCCATTTAAATTTCACATTGGTTGGAGAACACAATAGCCTATTGTTACGTATCCAATCGGCTAATTCTTATTGTTTTCTCGATAATAAACGAGCTGCAAAGCCTATTGTTAACTCTGAACGGTTGACTGACGGGACATAAGCCCAGTTTATACTACAACTTTTGACCTGGATTGAGCCTGGGTTGAACCTGGGTTAACCTGGGTTGAACCTGGGTTAATGTTAACCTGGGTTAGAAAATTTGTAGTGTGAACGCAGCTAACCTGGGTTGAACGAAGGTTAAGCTTGCTCTGGAGGTAGGTTGAACCTAGGTTGACCCCAGGCTAATGATCTTCAAAATGCAGTATACCTGGGGTTAAATTCTCATCATTGCCGTCAGCCATCTTGAAAGATGCCAATGAGCGCAATTGGCAATGAAGCGCATGCGTGGCGAAACTGACCTGGGGTCAACCGAACTTTGCATTTACACTATACTGTACTTTGTGGTTAATGCAGTGTAAACGAAAATGGGTTCAACCTGGGTTTAACCCAGGTTAAGGTTAACACAGGTTAAAATTTGTAGTGTAAAAAGGGCTATGGTGTTTTTAAAGAATCGTTGCTAACAATGAGCCATTGTGCTACGCAAGCATCCAAAAATGCATTTTCAGACATTCTTAAAGCAATTTTGGTTAATCTGTAGAAGTTTACTGCCATTGCTTGAATGGAAACTTTGCCGCGCGCAAAAGCTCATTGTCTGTAAGGCAGAGATGTACATGCATTGATGTATAGATCAGAAGGGTTCTAAGTTGCAACTACGAGAATTTTCACATAACAACATCATTCAGGATCAAGCGTTAATTTCGTTATCAAATGCATATTGCAAAATTAGTTGTCATTACTATGGTACAGCTGTATTAATTCTTTCCTATTAATTTTGAATGCCATAGAAATAGAACGTAAAAGAAACAATTCATAGGTATGATTTGTATTCAGTAAATCAAATAGCTGTTGTTCTACATTCAAGCGGGACGAGATGGGGCTATTCAGCCGGGACGGGAAGAGAAACGCGTTTATGCGGGATGAAAGAGATCCTTCTGCGGGAAGGAAGATCTTTTTATGAAGGAGGTGAGAAGTTCCACGCAGGGCGAGCATTGTTTCATGCGGGAGGAGAGGACTTGACACTTTGACATGTTTGACTGGATGTGACATTTATTTTGACTGGATGGATAGTTACTCTAGACTTTAGATTAATGCTCTAAATTTTGCTTCACAATGCAGTATTAGAAAAAGGAATGGTCATAATGAATTGAAAATAATTGATTCAACTTACGCGCTAAAAAGAATGTGGTTTGTCAGTCCGCTTTCGATGACATTTCTTGGGAACAAATCTAGCCATACAACTGGGTACCACATAGACACAAGTTTGCGCCATTTGATAGCAACATCATAGATATCTCTCCAGCTAAATCGCTTGCCCTTCCTACTTCGTAGACTTACTGGTGATTTCCAATACCTAGGCGAATTAATCTTTATTAAAAAAAACCAAGCCTTACGCTAACCTTTTTAATGTGACAACTGAAAGCAATATTAAAGGGACAACTGAACAATCATTGGAGGGAAATATTTTCAATTTCATGAAAACTATGATATCTAATAGTTCCATTCAAAGTAAAATATGTACAATGCTTGAATATCAGGTGCAATGCCAAAAAATAAACTTTTGAAATTCAGGTGCAACTTAAAAAACACAGGGATTTCCAACAAGATTGACGTGATAAAAAAGAGGTTATTGAAATAAAATCATACATCAAAGCCGTCTGGGCAACATCAAGCACCGCCAGCCCCATTGCTTTGTTTGTGCGCCAATTGGGCATAAACCCATCGCTGTGGTACTGCATCAATTCTTCAAACGCCGAAGACCGACACAGGAGAATCTGAAATATGTAAATAGCAAACAATAAAATAAAAAAAAATAAATGTCCTTCCCAAATACAGGGTTAATCAAATGATTTGTGCGTGACACGATTCTGAAATGCAATACATATGAACGAACGAATGGAAGTCACAATTGATTCATTTCAAAACGTGATTTTCAATATTTTCGATAAATTTAATACAATTGCTTGTGCTTCACTAAATCTCACACAATTGCCGAGTTGAAGCAATCGATTCACATCGAATGAATACCTAAAAACAGTGGACAAGCCCTGCCCTCACTATCGTTATAACCATCAAATGCCACTGGCGGCGACAATTCGGTAAAAAGTGAACTCACTTCAGAAAATGAAAGCAGGTCATCCTTCAGAAAAACCTATTTCGTAACATCTATTTTTACTATTTTGTATTTGTACTATTTGTATATTCCTCCCACACAGAAAATCGAATAAAACGAAACACTATCTTTTAAAACACACTAATTGTGAGAAAAAGCGTTTGCTAGACAAAGGCTAGCCAAGGAATGGTCAAAGGCTAGGATAGTGGCTGAAGAAAGTACATTGTAGATGCCGTTTGTCAGTTTAAGTCATTGCAGAAATAGCCCTTGCAGCTTTAGCAAAGCCTTTGATATAATGATGTACTAGGCACAGCTCCATTGAAAATGTGATAGTATTCTATCGCCCAAAGCCAACGAAGCAGATTCATTAATTATCGCAGCATATTTCTAGATAAATCTAAAACTGGCACGACACTTCCATTTCATACTTTTAGAAAATTTGGCTTACTTCTCCCTTCCATCAAGAATTGAAATCATGTAAACATTCAGATCCAAATGATAACCTGTTTTAAAGATAAGGTTATGTGAAAATCACCCCAAATTTCTCAAACGTCTCCATTTTGAATTAATGACAGTGTATGCTTCTTTTGCATTGCGATGGTATCAGTAAGACCATTTGTCCTTTGTCACTATACATCCAACCAAAGCTTTATCCAAATAATTAGTCTGAACAGTTAAGCACTTTTACATTTCAAAAGTGACCATTCTGGGATAAGATATTGTTTTTTTCTCTTCATTTTGTCATCAAAAAAGGCAGGCTACAAAGAAAAATGGGGAATATGGACCAATGTTCTCAATTTTGAACATCTATAACTTTGGAACAGGCAGAACGTTTGAGTTTTCTCTTTTTTGATATATAAAAGAGAAGAGCTGAATTCTGCTGGAAATCTGAAATGACGGGTTTCAAAATCCTTTTGTCTGACCTAGCTTTTAATGTGAAATTTGACTTCAGCATCCAAAATGGCACCATCTTACTAGAAAACAGCCAAGCTCTCTGTAATCTAGTCTGTTTTCTGCTGTTTCGCAGCAAGGCCATAGAGCGAGCGCACGCAAGGCATTCAAACCCACAGCGACTTGACGAAAAGAGATAAATTCATAAGTGGACCTTATTTTCTATTTTTTCATAGGGGAAACGAACTCGGGGCGAGCGAAAGCCGTTATATATCATTTCCCTCATAAAACATGTGAATTTAGTCATAGCTTTAAATTAACTAATCAAGTGGAGAAACTTGAGGCGGTACAATATTCTGCGGCATTAGCAGTAACTGGCGCTTGGAAGGGCACAACGCGTGAAAAAATATACGAAGAGCTTGGCTGGGAGTCTCTCGACCTCGGTCGATGGAGTAGACGTCTTGTCCTCTTTTATAAGATTATGAAAAATTTAACTCCGGATTACACAAGAAATCCTATACCCAAACGCCAGGAGTCAAACCACAGTCTGCGCAGGCAAGCTACAATAGGGCAAATACGTGCGAGAACAAAGAGATCTAAATCAACTTTCTACCCAAACTGCTTGTCGGAATAGGAAAAACTTGACTCTGAAATTCGTGAATCCCGCTCAGTGAATGTTTTCAAGAAACAACTTCTAGGACTCATTCGTCCACCCTCTAAATCGGTCTACGGAATTCATGATCCAAAACTTTTATCTGTTTTAACGCAGCTACGCGTTGGACTAAGTAAGCTAAATTACCACAAATTTAAACATAATTTTAGCGATACTTTTAATCCCCTGTGCCTGATAAATGATGGTATTGAGGAGACGGAGCACTTTTTGCTGCTCTGCAGTGCCTATGACATACACAGACGTGATCTTCTCGACAGCGTTAATACAATATTGCGTCCTCATGGCCTATCTAGCCCTCCAAACAAAGAACTATTGCAAATACTCCTTTATGGCCATGGAAAGTTAACTTTTGATTCAAATACAAACATTCTTGATGCAACATTAAAATACATTCAGGCCTCAGAACGGTTCCAATAAGTTATCAACTTTTGCGTGAAAACCTCTCTCGTGTAAATTATTTTTCTTTTGTGTAAATTTTATTCCTTTTACGATAGGAGTGGTGTCGCTCTTCATGTCTGGGCGCAAATTTGTTTGATTAGTAAGGAACATAGGTAGACTTGATATCTCTTTTTAAAATAGCTTTTTGTGAGTATTTGTCATATCTGCAACGCTATTGGAACGATGGGCGACACCACTCCAATCACTTTTGTTGCATATTATTGTAATATTTGTGTCTCTATGTTAAGTGTAAGTCTTAGGGTTGTTATGCATTTCCATGCCCCCTAGGCTTTTGTATTGTAATTGATTGTCGTTGTAAATTTTATGAGAATATATAAGAAAAAAGAAAAAAAAAGCTGTTTGAGAACAATAGCATGTAAGGTTGAATCTAAACAACCTACGAACAATACTCGTTTTTATCGTGAAACCATTTCAAAATGAAATCTCGAGATGCAGTATAATTACATCTTCCAAACTTTGAAATTAAAGGAACTGTCTAAAAACTTTTAGAAACTTATTTAATCAACCAGCTCACCTGCTTCAACTAAGTTTTAATATAAAGCTAGAGAATTAAATAATAAAGGAATAGAAATCTCTTACATTTAATTTTTGTTGACAAAATAAGGCGTGGCGAAAAAATCTTTGATGGGCTTGACTATTAAACCATGTTATGTCGATCGGGCAATAATATAATAAATTCTAACGACAGTTTTACAGCCAGTTCTAATATTATTCATTAAACTTAAATAAATTTCATTTGCTTGTCAAAAAAGCAGAGCCTAAGGCACCTTTCAAAATGAGATTAATTCTAAATTAATAGTTTCAGTACTGGGAGCCAAATATATAAACAGGGGTTTTTATGAAACAGATGAAATCTTAACGGTTACTTGTAAATTTACAGAACCATTCATTTTTTCTGAACCATCTTTAAAAAATTTTAAAAAAGGACAAGAAGGTACCCGCCTCACGAGAAAAAGGGCCAACATTCGCTTATTATAACTAGGCCTGATGTCACATTCTTTGATGGGCTCATTTATTAAGATTACAAAGAAAGATTAAATTAACAAAACTATATCTGGCTCGCGAATCAATTCATGAATAGGCTGCAATGCATTCCTTCTAATTTGCTAGTTTTCAGCTTATATTTACAAACGTTTATATTCTTCATAAACTCAGAAACCTCTCTAATAGGCTATATTCTGGATACAAAACCTGTCTATTTGGAATAATACTTATGGGCAAAGAAAAGGGCTAATATTCATGTTGTGTACTTTCACTACACTGTAAATAGGAAGTGGCTTGTGTATCGACATCCAAGACTTAATCGCATCGAAAGAAAATTTGGCCAGATGTTTCAAGAAGTCTCGCCAACTAGTGCCTATGTTGCTTCAAGTCGGTATTGCCATTTTCAAGTGGATTCAAGGTAAGCTTGATCAATTGCGGTGAGGTAAGCGTTGTTTTGAATGCAGCAGATGCCTTTATCTGAGCATTCTGTGTATTGTTATGGCGTATTATACAAATAACTATTGATCAGCCATTAAAAATGAACTTTTGCGAGTTATTGTGGTGCTTGGCTCTAATTCTTTCCTTGTTCAGCAATGCAGCACGTTACAGCATAGTGAAGAAATCCGATCAAGGTAATTTCCACAAAATTAGTTTCTAGAAAGATGTCTTGAGATTTTAAAATGCAAAAGCGATTTAAGACCACAGATCTTACCTTTGCATCATTGGATAATTCTTTGAAATTAATTGTTTCCACATCACTGTAAATGAAAAATCCATAATCTATTTAAAACAAGGTAAAATAGTTTAAAATAAAAGTTGCCATGAATTTTTAAAACTCTGCTTAGTGACTAGAATTTTTGAATTGATTTCCATTAGCATAATAAACAAGATAAAATAACACATTATCACACATGATCAAAACACATTAAACCTAATAAGACGCAACAAACCCACAAACAAGAACATCCCTTATGAATCTAAATATGTCAGGTTTATTTCTTGAAAGCAGTAGCAAGCGAATCAAACTCACTTAATCTGGGGCTCAATCCCTGGTTGTTCTGTGTAGTTCTACAAAAAAAATTGTTCACTACTCAGTTTACTGAGTAACTCAATTCTGGTTATTTAATTAACGCTACGTTGATGAGTTCGAATAAGTTCGAAAATAGAATGAGAAAACCAGGAGCGCTGGAACAGAATTGCTTCCCAGCTTCCCTTACAAATACAGGAAGGGTAATCAAAAATATTCTTTTTGTAGTTCTATGGAGTTGTCCCGCTCTAATGGAGTCGTTCTTATTTCTATGAAGGTTTTCTAATATACTGAATCAGACAAAATGTTGAAAAGAGGCGAGTGCAGAAAGAAAGTTATTCCACTCCCCTTCCTAGCGATAGTCACAGGAGTGCGAATTCAATGCGCACAAGAATGCAAGCAATGTTTTGTCACGTGACCTGTGCGGAGCCAATTTTTTCAAATCGAGTTTAAAACACCTCTTGCCTTTTCCGAGGCTAATCTATGTACCCTACCGTAGGGTCACTGGCAAGCACGCGTAGCGGGCTTCGTGGGGGAGCTAGTCCTTTCCTAACATACTACTCGAAAGTAATAGAAAAAGAGAAAATGATGTATGAAGAGTGCAAGGTGCTAAAACAATGGGAAGAAGACGAGGTTCCAAAACAAAGGTGGTCAGCAAGTGAACAGAGGTTTAGAAGAGCTTTCCCCTGCTTTTTTGGAGAGAGAAAATGCGTTTTCACAAATAAAAACCATTCCATCTGTCTACTGTTATAAAACAGTTAAAAACACCAAAGAACAAAAAAATTATCTTTGGGGGTAAGAATAACTTTTTTAAACTCCTTTCATACACCCAACTTAGGCAGCGTCAGTTGGCGGCTTATCTTTCGAATAACGTTATAACAAAAACAGTCAGATAAAAGTACAATGATAATGCGTTATAAATTCATTATATCGAGATCAGAACAAGATTTGTTTTTCTATGCAAAATACAAACAGTAGATGGAAACTTTTTATTTTGAATCCAGTTAAAACTACAATTACAAATCTCACTTTTACAAGGTAATTTGTAACTGGCTAGCCTGTTTTCACAAAATAAAATCGTAGTAAAATCACAATCGTAGTAATGAGAAAAGAAAGAAAAATGTTAAAAGGGGAGTAGCTCTAGATCAGTGCACGTTTGTTTCTACAGCAGAATATATAGTATGTGGTGCGAATGGAGATGCTTGCAAGTTTGGAGATGAGATAGCGTTTCTGTTGATGATCAATGGACAAAAGAGTCATACATGTCGATGAATGAGCTGCAAGAGTTGCCAAAAATACCAAGTGAACTGATAGAAAGATCGACAAATGAAACTGACCTAAACCGATGTTTTAAGTCAGATATGAGGGTGGCATATTTCTCTGATTTTCTGACAGTATTGTTGATCTCCAATCAGGGCGTTGTTGATCTCCAGTTATGATAGAAAGGGGAAGAAAGCCTGGTAAATCTGCGTAGAGAGATAACCTATTTATTGCTTGGAAGGAAGTGGCTAGAAAGTTTGATGCAGAATCATGATGCCAAGTATAGCGGCCTTGGTCAAGGTACATTTTGCATCCAGCAACAACATGTAGACGTGTTTCTGGAAGAAGACAGAATTCACAGTCAGATGTTTGACTAAGGTTCCATTTCAGCAGATTTTTACAAGTTGGAAGAGTGTTGCTAAGATACTTGATGGTAAAGTGAAAGATGTTACTAGGCAAATTGCTCTGTGTACTTGACCAAATACCGTTTAGCTTCTACAATGAATGTTTCAGTAGAAAGGTAATTGCATCTCCCTGAGATGGTAAGTTTTGAGAGACGTTCTTTGTCGTCTGATTTGACAGCCTTTAGTACCTCTTTAATATTACGATAGATTTCGTACTGTAGATTCGTGCCATGACTGGTATTTTTCCATAGGGTTTGAATGTCAATGTTTGGAGAGGGTTTTAGGGCATTGCGACAGGCAGTTTAGCATTGCATGGCAGAATTATATGACAGAAGGAAGAATAATCATAATAACGATAATAATAGTTTACTGTCATCATCATAGAATTTGTTTCAACAGGAGATAGCAAAACTTCTGGTGGTCCCTTAAGTCATTTGATTGCTGCTATTTTCTTTTAAAACAATACAAATTATGATGATGCAAATTGTACCCGGCTTTTTAAGATTGCTTCAAAATGTCATCACTGATCTTGGAAATCATATTCACAGACAGACAAAACATAGGCCTAGATAACTGATATTGTCATTTGCAACATTGTTGGTATTGCAAATTAAAATGCTCTACATCCTATGTTTGTCTTTATTGTAAGCATTTGTATCAAATATTTGGACGAAGAACTGTTAAGAACATGTGGAATAAAGTATATAGAATAATGAGACCCATTATATATCGTGGAACTAACCCATTCATACCTTTGCTTGTTGATAAGGGGGCCAGGAAGTCTACTTTTCTGAAGCCGACAAGAAATGCATTACTTTAAAAGAATTGCCTTGAGGCACAATTTTTTAACCAGAATACATAGCAAAAAGGTGAGCGTCAGATGCTTTGTTAAACTAAAACTATAAAAGTCTTTTAATCATAAAAGTCATAGTCAAACCTTTCCACTCCAAGGAAGATTTTTAACCCACGTCTCCCGCAGATTATCTGCAATATCTTCGTCAAACCTGTATTCGTGAAGTGGAGTGTCCAGGTGGGAATGCAAGTAGCGGGAAAATTCTGCAAAAAAGACGTGAAGAAAATTCAGCGATGCAGGCCTATTACGTTTACATTTGTAACAAGAAAACCTCGCACTTTCAAAAGTAATGGCGGGAATGGAACAACGGAGGAATTGGAAATGTAACTGGAGATCAATTTATAAATACAACTTTCACAGCCAATTATTATTAGTAAATACCAGCTTTGAGGGCTCTAGAATTTTCTAAAAGAAGTTTTCACATTAGCATTACCTCGCAAATAAAAAGACTGACTATATTCAGGAACAAATGTTGAGCCTTGATTTGACACCATAACCTGCAACAAAAAGCAAAAACTCTTGCTTACTTTACAAACCCTAAATACAAAAGAAAACATTTGACGATTAAATAAAAAATATCGTTTTCAATTTGCATACTTTTCTAACAACATAGAGTCTATTCACTGCAGAAAAAGCCTTACGGAATAGACACTAGGGAAGGCCACGAAGTCTCCTCCGTAAGGTCGGTCATAAGAACCTTAGAGCTTTTGAGGAACCTGTCACGAAATATTTTCAAATCAATGTTGCTCGGTATACCGATTCATGAGAAAATCCCTTTCTTGAAAACGATGCATTTTCAAGTGATATTTTTCCTACAGATACACCCTTAAGATTGAAACTCTGAGACATTTACAAATTTTCAAAAATAGAAAGGTAAAATCTTAGAAAAGTTGCTAATTTTCGTTAACTTCCAGCTTTTACTCACTTGTGTAGATTCTTTAACACTCTCGTAAAATCTTCCAATGGTAGCAAGCCCAAGTGCTTTCATGTACTGACACCCATACTGACTTGGATCCAACTGGTAACAGGTCTGAAGAAGACATTTCAAACATCATCATCGGATACGCAACATCATCAAATCAACTGGAAATCTCTGGCAAAACTTTCGATCCCCGAGACAACGAAATCCAGGCAAGGGTTGATAAATAGGATCGATAAAAATAACTAATTCTAGGATATAAAGGATTTGCTGATATGTTGAATAACCTTAAGACTTAGAACCTGATGATGTAGCTGACAACGTGCTTGACTGCACTTTGCTAGGTTTTCTGCGATCAAAACAAGTAACTTAGATCAACTTTATAAGATGAGTTCTCATCAGTTACGCTCAAGCAAGCCGTCCAGTTGGAACATAGCGTAAATTTTCTTAATATGATTGGCAGTTGAGTTAAACTACAGAAGAACAAGAAATCGTGATAAATTCCATCAGAATTGATATTAACAGAAAATTTCTGATCTCTACTTACACTATAGTCTTCAATTGCTTCATGCACCCGTCCAGATGAAAAATGGACATGTCCTCTTATCATTAGAGCCTTAAAGTGAACCAATAGCTGGGTGAAAATTTGGAAAAAATCTCCACGCGAGAAATAAATCCTGATTGTATTTAAAAGCAGAAACGTTCCGTTTGAATGCTAGGCTTGAATACTAGTAATCAGTACCAATCAGAATATGGAACGCTTTGTGTTGACCAAAAGAAAACCAAATGTATATTCTATGTTGGCACTATTCTCTAAAATGATGTCACAGAAAAAATAAATTATTAGGAATTAACGAAATACCACAATCAAAACAAACTCCACCCCACATTTATTGAGAACAGTTTCGAAGACTGAACAAGTAGTCAAAGAAGTCGTGTGCTTGATGGCAACTTAGACTTCTATGACATGGACATTCGCTTGTTTCCCCATGAAACTATATGGAACAGTTTGTCAGGATCACAATATTTTCTTTGATCAACAATTTCACTTAACCATTGCAGTCCTTTGGTATCCTTTCCGCAATTTTAACCTTCTCAATTTCATGGCAAGATAAGTCACGGGGACAAATGACCTACCTTGAGGTCCCTCCTATCCAATTTCAGTGCCGAATTTACATACTGTAAAGCGAGTTTGTCGTCACCAAGTTCCCTAAAATAGCAGACGTCCAAATTAGATAACTAGTTTTGCTTAAGTTGGAGATAAGTTCCATCTATAGATTAGATTAGTTACAGATTGGATACAAAATACAATATCAAAATGTGTTGCTGCTTGCTAAATCTCTTTGGAAATGCATCTTGCGCAGCAATTCAATAGCATCAATACTGATAGAAGATTTTCCTCAAAAAATTAGGCTCCTCAGAGAGAAAAGTGTTACTGTCTTGTACTTGCTACTACTACAGAAGATGATTGGCTGGGTTTGCAACCCAAATCGCATTCTATAGCGCGAAATACATCGCTGCAACATTCTCTCTGACAACCCGGGGCTGTGCTGTGACTGGAGCACCATAATGGAATGATGTCTGGTCGATCTTTCGTCGAAACGGAGCTCAACACAACAAAGAAATTATGTTTTGATTGTGGCAAAGTCAGCGCTGCAACTTGAGTTAGCGAGGTTTCCAGGGTTCGTTTTTGAGTAAAACCACAGCTTTAGCTCTGATCAACTTGTATCAAATAGTGATGTTTTTTGAGCCCAAATGAAAAATCCATACCTCACCAAAACATACCTTAATTGCATTGGTTTTGATGGGGGAAAGCACACAGATAAAAAAGTTTTAAAACAAACACGATGTCTGAAAGGATTTCAATACATTGAAAAGATTTTTATGCTAAAGAAAGCAAGAGAGTAGAGATAATTATCTGAAAAACTATATGGTTCGTTCATTAGAAGAGACAATATTTTATGAATTAAGTTAGCCGTAATGGCAGACGGAATTTATGGTTTGAGCTATTTCATACATGAGAGTACCCTTTTAAACTTGACAACACCCAGAGGAAGGAAGGAGAGGCACTCGGGTGTTCATGATGGCGCCTTTTCTCCGATGGGAAAGGTTCAAAGGACATGGGTGAACAATTCGAAATATGAAGGGTTCGAAATATGAAGGGTTCGAAATATGAAGGGTTCGAGTTATCGAAGATTGCGGTTATTGAGGGTTAGAAATATATAAGGGCTCAATTTATCGAAAATTCGATAGAAATCATTTTCGATGAAAATTATGAAATCATAGCAAAGGTTAAACAAGCAAAAGAATATATCGCACGACTTACTTGAAAGCATCTCCAATGGCTTTCAGGGCGTCTGAGTTTTCCGGCTGAATCTCTAGACAATCTTGCAAGGCAGCTATACCATCCTAAAGAAAATTTGTTAGCAACGAGTTAGTTGAACATGCTATTAGTATTACTGCAGCCTTTACAACACTTCATGTTGTTGTGCTGTTAATGGCCATCAATATTGAAGATCACGTACTGCCTTTTTTTGCTGTCTGTTTTATTATCACAGATCTATATAAGCAACACGTAATTGTGAAATTTGCATTCAAACGTAAGGAGTTCTTGACGCGGTATCAAATCAACGCAGCAAACTTATTGTATCTGCATTATTACATTCATATCTGCCTTACTACAACGAACATTTGTTCTTGTTTTGACAAAACCTTTCTTTCAAATATACGACTATGGCAATAACTACTTTCAAAAATTACTGTAACATATAAACGAGAGAGCTGAGAAAAGACATCTGTAAAAAGATATACTAATTAAAGTTAATAATGATCCTGTTAATCTCCTGTATAGCTGCATTGAAGCTTGCACTACCAGAGAAAATATAAGATTGAATCACGCACCTTCAACATTCCTAAAGCAATGAATGATTCACCCAAGCACTGATGTACAACAGGGTGGTTTCCAGCTTCATACTTCAATGCAGTCTTCAGGTACTGCATTGCGTTCCAATAAATCTGTGGAAATTCCAGAAACAAACAGTAAAAATCGGCTCTCCCTTTTCAATTAGTGTATCTTATCAAGAGATTATTGTAAATGTTATTTCGTATTAATGTTCAGCTAGAGATAAATGGTCTTCTTGTCAGGGGATAAGGAAATTCTTCTAAAGGATATTTGTTGCACTAGGTAATTGTCCTTACTGTGATGCAACAGAGAATAATCAAGAGAATAATCAATAAACAAGGGGACACGCATGCTCCGTTAAACACAATGGATGAGTTCGAAAATAAGTAGCAATTAGGTTTAAACAAACAAACAAGCAGTCAACGGAGATACTTTAATTTTATCCTGATTTACAAATGATAAATAGCTTTATGCCTGATGATTTCATTGCTACTGTTTGATTTTAAAATATTTGTTCCAAAGTCGGGTTTCCTAATTCGATCAAAGTCCCCGCGCCGCGCCCGTCCATTCAGTGCCATAGAGATCTCCGTAATCAGTACTTGTACATTGATGAATATCGTCATACTACCGTGCCACGCCAAATAGGAGAGCTACTGCATCTAGAAAACTTTATAGTTAGCCAGTTTTCACTGAAAGCGCTTTTCTCGGCCCACGAAACTAGGAAAGCGTGTAACTTATCAAAAAGAATCTGCAACGTGTATCTTACTTACCTCTTTCAAATCAACATTTCTATTTCAGAGCAATAAAGGGACAGACAGGCAGTTGATAAGGGTCTTTAATCAGGGAAAATTTTCCTCAATTATTCCACCTCTGTACTTAGCCATTCATATTTACAACAGACCCAATCTTACAATTCCAGGAGTCACAGTAGTCTCTTCGCAGTTAGGACTTCATTGAAGAATACCGGCAAAGGCACATAAATTCAAACGAGCTAAGTCCAAAAATTAGAAATGCAGATTCCTTTGCTATATTCTAAAAAGATCCGCTGTCAAAAACCCGCTCCCCTCATATTTTCAATCGGTCTCTGGAATTCATTACCCAATAGGACTGTCTTGTCTTACTCAACTAAGGGTTAGTCTTAGAAAATTAAACAAATTTAAGCATAATTTTAAGGATACTTTATACCTAATGTGCCCTACTAACGATGGCTTTGAGACTTTGGGGCACTTTCTGTTTCCTTGCCCTTCCTTTGAGACTCAGGTAAAAATCAGCACCATATAAATCAAACAGTCACCTAGTTCTCATCACCCTTAAGGGTATTGTTAAAATACCCTAGATGCTTAAAGACATGCGATGATGACAAGCATGCGATAATCGGCCAGGTTAGGTCATCCTTTTACTGAAAATTTAAGAGTCTGCCTTCAAAAGGATGTAGAGGCCTCTTATGATGACTTCTGGATCAAGTTATAGAATGGAGGATTCTTATTGCAATCAAAGCAATTTCGGATGAGTATATCGGTATCAATATAGATCGCGTCTAATACTAGGCTCGGTTCAGCGAAACTATCAGGTTATAAATGCAATGATCAGACTCAGTTCAATACCCAGGATAAGCATTAAAAGTGAATGATGAATTGCAAAGACATCCCACTTACAGCATTTTTGAAAGCAATGATTCCTGCCATTACATGAGCGTGTCCGTCGGGCTGGATATCAATCACAGCTTTCGAAGTTTCAAACGACTTCTTCAGATCACCAGATCGAAACTGAACCTGCATGAGAGATGAGAAAAAATTAAATCTATCAAACAGAAAGATCTTCTTATGGGCTACCATTTGAAGCAAGCATCACGTCTAGAAAGATATTTGATAAACATAAGAAATTTGTGAGCAAATTGAAAAAAATGCAGCATCAACTAATAACATGTCTTGCTTTAATCTAATCAAGCAAGGGAAGTTGAAAACAAAGCAATGATATAATTTACCCAAAAATTCAACTTACTTCTGCCATTGCCTGTAAACATAAAACATGACCAGGTTTCATCTGCAGAGCCCTCTCTATATTTCTCATTGCCTCTTCAGTGCTTTTATTTATCTAAAGATATATCAATGATATTACAGAATCAGTCCAGTACAGATTGCATAATTTGTATAAAAAATATAAGAAAATGAAATCTAGGTGCAATGCAAATAGAGAAATAGATTAACAAAAGAAACTACTTCAAAGGATGTCATTCAGGGACGCCTGCACAAGATTAAGGCAGGAGGGGCAGTGTTGGTGCTGATGGCAAATTGTATAATTTTCCTACTAACATGAAAAGGGGGGTTAACATAATAAAATATTAATGGATATGTGCCACCCATACAGCTGAGCTTTTTACCATAAAAGATTCTTCTAAACATAGAAAAAAGTTGATGAAATTAAATGGGTATTTGGTTTTATGAAAATCATGGCTGTTATAAATGGGCTGGTTGTAAAATTTTGATATTGCCCATTTTGATACCGATTTATCTTCCTGAGGCTCCTGAGTTACTTCTGAGGGAAGAAGACATTTGTTTATCTACTTTTATCTTTGATGCTCTCCTTTCGTAGCCCACCTTGTCACAGATAAACTTGTCAACCTTTGCCTTTTTTGCTGGTGTTATCATCATTTTAATATTTTCTAATAGAAATTGATTTAACGCGATGGCCAAAGTGGACATCAATTATCGATAAGATTCTATAACCTTTTCATAGAAGTCCTATATTACAGAGCACTTCTTGCCCCCTCTGCCCCTCTTCAGAGTGGGCAGTTGCCCCTCTTCAGAGTGGGCAGTTGCCCCTCTTCAGAGTGGGCAGTTGCCCCTCCAGCCCCCAGTGTAGGCACCCCTGATGTCATTGGATTTCCAAATAATTCTTCTGAAATGTGGCTCAATTTTTATTCAAGTTATGTTAAACTAATGATGGTAAATTCAAATTGAAAGATATAAAAATGAAACACTCAATTACATACCATTGTTGCTTTTCTTGCTAATGAAACTGCTTTTCCAAGATGAGCCAACCACAAAATATCACTTGATTCATTCTATCAAGAGAATGTGTCAGAGAAATTTAACTGAAATCTCCACTAATTGTGATATTTTAATGAAAAGCAGGAGCAAACAAAAAAGCAGATATTAAGTTCAATAATTAAATTTGATTGATATAATAAAACAAATATGGTCCAAGGATTGTTATTTTTTCCACTTTTTGTCTTTTATTTCAAACATTGTGTGTTTTACAAAAAATACCCTTTATAAAAAAAAACATCCACCAATCAAATGTCATTTAATAGCTTACCTCTAGAATTTCATCAAAAGTTTCCAGTGCATCAGCATAATTGCACTTTTCTAATTCTTTAAACCCTTTAACTAGAAAATATTCTGTCTTTCAGCAAAAGGTTTGAAGAAACCAAAGAAACTGATAAATAAATTGCTAATTGAGTAATAAAAGCATGTTTTATGTGAAGTTGTCATTTTTCAGTGTGTTAAAAAAAGCTTGATTTTGACAAATAAACCAACACAATTAATTTTCATTTTTATCTTCATTCTTCTAGATGTAGTCTATTCAGAGAAAATATATTTGAACCAGCATGAAGCAACATACAGAAGTCAATGAAATAATTTATAGGAAAATGTAGATTTGATAGAAAACAGACACCTTAATTTACCAATTTCAAAATGAAAAATTATACATGTGATACAAACCAAATTTATTTTCAAGTTCTTTACTAGTAATGAGCCACTTTTGCTTTTGTTCATTAAAAAGAACAGTAGGCTAAAAAGAAAATGATTCATATTAGTTATAAATAAAAGCAATCAAAACAAATTATAGTTAAGAAAATTAATATCATGAAAACTTTATCTGCATTGTCAATATAATATCCTTTCACTAAAAATGTGATCATCAGATTCCTGTTGAAGGACAATAAATGATAACCTTCATCATGATGACTTTTTGTTAAATTTTTAGCATTTTTATTTATGATAATTATTTAGTCAAAATGAATAGATTACTTTGTTTGTAGCTAGTGTAGTTTATTTGGAAATCAGATGAAAGTTGTCGAGACAGCAGAATATTGCAACAAAATCAAAACATGATATATTTCACAAAGCAGATACTTGATTAATTATCATTAGATTTGATGAATATGAAATACTCACAACTCTTTCAACATCCATTTGAATTTCACAACCTAGATTTAAAAAAATTATTACATTAATGAAATCATATTCAGTTGTTGGAAATATTAGACACAAATACCAAAACTGAGATAAAATTAAATTCCAAAAAAAAGATAAGTGATATGTCTTTTGAACATTCTTAAATTTAAGAAAGTCATTTGTAAATGCAGAGTTTTCTCTAAGAACCTCTATGTATTAGTCTCCAATAAAGAAAACATTCATAATCTTCAATTGTGATTAAAGTAATAACCTATTATTTCAAATCAAGTTGTGTCTTGCTTTCTGTGCCAGTGCTCATTGCAAAAAAGACAGATTTCCCTTTAACAAAGTATGAACTATGTGATGCCTATGAAATCACCAGGGCACAAAAGACTACTAAGAATGGCCCCCTTAGAAGGAGAAGGTTTAGTGATGGTTGCATTCACAAACAGCACTTCTTTGTCCCAGATAATTTGCATTTTATGATATTGAGGTCACAGGATAAGTCCTCAAATGTATTTTTTTCTCATTTCTTTGAACCTTCCAAAAAAGAATGCAGTCAGAATTTTCTAATGATGTTGGTGTCATACAAAATATATTAATTTAAGGCGCTTTTACGTGATAAAAATTTCTATAGATGTGAGTGAGGCTGATTTGATCTTTGAGAAAGGTTGGATCATTGTTTTCACATATACAGTTGGAAAAGCCGTTGTTTCCCATCGTCTAAGATCATTAAGATAATCAACAAAGTTAAAGTAGCACAACCGTTTTTTCTCTTGACTACTAATTATAGTCTAGTTTAGATATCAGGCAGAAACAATTACTAATAGATCCGAACGACAAACCAAATCAAGGGTGGCTGTAGAAAAAGAGCAATCAGTAAGAGTGTGTCACCTGAAAATTCAGATTTTCCAATTGGGTTGTTCTCACCAGATTCTGCTTTTTGCAAAAGATGACAAAGTACATATAAGACCAATAAAAAGTGCATTTTCTTCAGCATGTTCGTGCTACGACAGCGACTTCTAGTGACCGCCATTATAGGCCAGTTTATATCAAATCGAGGCGGGGCGCTGGCAGGAGTGACACCCCTTGATTTATGACCAGTTCGAGTTTCTTATTTTTATTTTTTATTAAAAAAAATTGCTATCCAACTCAGAGAAAAAAAAACTGGCTACCATTTTCTCAACTGAACCTATCAATTACGGCCATCGGTACAGTAAAATACAATTATTTAGGGGAATCAGTAAAAATAATTGGTACCTAAATATTAATTTTTAACATATTATGGAAACGCTTCGAGACTTCATTGCATAATTTTCTTTATTTACTCTATTTGTCTTTATTTTCTGAGATTGATCCGGAAACTGAGCTTTCAAATGTGGGGTTAGTTACCAGAAATTTCACATCAAGTTATCAGTTGATTTGCCACGTGTTTTTACACTTTAGAAACACCGTAGCTATTCTTATTGATTTAAAAGCACGCCGAAATTTAATGTCAAAACGAAGCAAAATTGCAAAAAAATTTAAATTGATTTTGATATACTTTCTATTTTGAATAGAAATCATAAGTTTTCGGGCATGAGGTTACTATATAGCTTATATCACCAATTTTTGTGAAAAATGGCTGTAATTTGTTTAATGGCTTGATTTTCCAAGCTTTATTTTCTTTTTTCTAAGCTATAGTAGCCTCATACATACTATTTCTACATATACTATATTCGTTTATATTCCGATTTTGCTTGAAGCCTGTCTTTTTCTGATGCCCTGTGCAGCTGTAGTCGCTGCGGTGGTGTATATGTTGCCATAACAACATAAAATGCGGAAGGGATTGTTTATATCACCTGCAGAATACATTTTATAGACGGCTGTTTTGTTTTCAGACACTGCTATTCTTCTACCGTTTAGAGGACAGAATGGAAAGCATAAATGTTAAGTCATCAAGGTAACCTTTTCAGATTTTTGTTGAAATAATACTGTTCTGACATTCATCAATGTTAGAAGACCCATCAACTTTTATCTTGGGGGCCTAAATACTGTTCAATGGCTATTACGGCTTCATCAATATCCGTTTCTATTGTCTCATTGTGGATAATTGTGTAAAAGCTCTTTACTTACAGCTAGCTGAAGTAAGTTGTGTCAAAATTCACAAATTAGTTTTGCGTTTTTATGAGGCATTAGATTTGCTATCGTTTATTTGTGTAGAAACTGTACTGTAGTGTTATGACTTTAGAAGTAAAGATTCTCATTGACGACCAACGTTCTAACACTGTTATTACATATATATAGAACGTTGGTCGTCAATGAGAATCTTTACTTCTAAAGTCATGCCGAAACTTTATATATCTACTGCAAGATGCAGAGTGAAGCTTTGTTTTATAATGAAGGTATATATATTTGCTACGAGTCAGTAAAAACAAAGGGCAAGAAGTTTCAAAAAAAAGAAAATAATTTCTTTCCTTGACGCTTTCTTAATACAATCGATTATCTCCACAAAAAATATACTTTTAACTTTTTCATGAAAATAATATTAATTAATAATATTGTAATTGATTTTTTCGAAGCTAATTTTCAGTCAAAAAATCGAATCTGCTATATAAATGCTTCATCTGATATCTTTCTAGCATTCCTGTGTTTTCAAGATATCATCCTGTCATACCAAAACGGTACACACCAGCTTTCAAGCATGATATGAAGAACAGAAATCTTATAGTTGAGGTAATTATCATTACTTTTTTAGAAGAGGTTATGTAATGGTCTGGCTTGGTATAGCGAAGACTTGTGCGTGAGTTGAAAGAAATGAAATCTTTTTGTGTTCTTTCGTCCGTAATCGTGTGATTTGTAATCGTGCATATCAATGTAATGGTGTGATTAGCTTCCAGTTACTTACAAACATCGCAATATAGATACTAACGGCGAAAAAGACTAATTACATGATTTACATATTACTAAACGAGGTAAATGTCAATACAAGACAAAATACGATTATTGGAGGTGAAAACCCCTCTCAAATTTGGAGGGAGAGGGTGGAGAATTAAAGTTATCCAAAAAGGGAGCTATGCACTTTGTCAAGGATTGCATATGTGTTCAAAGTATGACTTGATCGAGCGAATTCTTTACGTTTCTCTTTATGCGTTCTCCATGGACAAAAGAAATAATAAGAAATTCGGTTTTTTGTGAGATAGGCTTTTTTAAAAAATGCGTAGAAAATGGGGTGAGTGCTTAAGGCACGCATAGGTCAGCCAGGAAGGCACAAAACACAACTCCCTCTATGTGTCTGGCAGTTAATATATCTCCGATTGGCAGTTTATATGTATATAAATTAGTTTCGTTTCGTCTTATTGAAAATCACACATGCCCTTTTTTAAATAAACACTAGCTATTCTGCTCCTAAGAAGTACAAGAAACAAACCGAAACCCAACAACCAAAGCCAGCCATCCAAGGTCGGGTATTTTAAACACTTTGCCTGAATATAACTGCCATTGAAAAACTTTGTGTTACGACGTTAATAAGTTGAAACCTCATTTTAGAACTGTAAGATTGCTGGACTGCATTATGGACCTGAGGAAACATCACTTTATTTAGAGAAAAGAGGTAAGGACCAGCAAACGCTACTAGTAACAAAACACATTTTATCTATAATTCAGGTTTTTGAACATCATTTGAACAGTCTTATACATTTCAGCTTACCAATATAAACTTGCCGTTTTCTAGTTTCTAAAATTTATGAATACACTTTCTCTCAAATTTTAGAGCGCTTCAGCTGTGCAGAGCCAAGAGAGAGGGTAAAGGCGAAAAGCTTGCAAATACCACGTGATCTGCAGTTGCGACCTTCCCTTTATTCGCCTCTTTCGAAATACCAAAGCAGCCTCTCATTCAGAACATCATCATCTTAGTGAAATTTAAAAAGAACAGTAATCTTTGAACATATTATCTGTTTTCAAAACTTCTCGATTTTCCAGATCATCTTATTTGCTCATATGTACATATAAAGATAAGTTTTCACAGTTGCATTAACAGAAATACTACCTTATTCTAGGTTTAATTGTTATCGATGAACTTCTATAACGGAAAATTGTCTCTATCTTAAGTATTGGTATTTAAACGAACGAAAGCGATCAGTTTCTAGCAAAAAAATAAAAGAACAATTCAGACCTTGAATAAGTTGTCTGGTTTTCGTATTCAGGGCAGACAATCCGTCAAAGCCTGCAGCTAAAAGCAGTTTAGCAGCTTATAACCAACTTCATTAAGGAAAGATTAGGACTTCTGTGTGTAACGGTGTATCACTCTTTAGTTAACGACAGTTTCTGTGTATTTCTAGTGTCTATCTCATTCTAACAAAAAGTGATCACAAATGGTTACCCCCCCCCCCATTATGTCCCTTGACGCCAAAGTGATAATCCACCCCTTCATAGCGGTACAATCATTGATTGTTGGTGTTAGTCTCCTTTCGTTCTTATATATAGGGACACAAGGCTTTTTAGAAAAAAAGAATTTGCGTTAGTATCAAAATTCGAAAAATCAATTTACGTCAACTGAATGCTTTTGTGCAAATCTCAGCATATGTGGGTCTATGTTAATGAAGAAATCGAAACAAAAAGACGAAAACTTTCTGATTTACGAAAGCATGAGACATCAATTTTTAAAATTAAAATATTTTCATTAAAATGCCACTAAATGGCTAAACAACCTTCAAAAACATCATATATCTAGTACATGCTTTGTATCTCAACGTATTTTCGAATGAAATCAGAAATATTTTGAAATCAGAAATATTTTATACCAAACAAAATATTATTTACAAGAACACAAATAAAATCATTTACAAGAATACAGATAAAATCGTACCTATTGGCCTGAAATTAATCGACAGAACCTTGAAATTTGGTACCATTTCAAATCGAGGCCATGAAACATGACATAATTAAACAATGATTAACAGGATATGATGTATTTTGATTACAAAGATCTTTCCTGTGGACTGTTTTTCATACATCAACTACCGTACCTCAAATCATTACACCAGCTGCACAGCCATAACAGAATCTAACAGTTTCAACATTAAGGATATTCCATAAAATTTTTTTCGATTTCTTCATTTTTCAGAGAAGTCAGTGTCTATGCTACAAAAAAGAACATATTTTTCAGAACAGACATTCTACGATTCAACACAAATTGGATGGGGTTGAAATAACAACAGGCCTTACCATCTCTTTGCATCAACAAAGGGGGTCACATTGAAGGGGTAGGGCGGTGAAGAAAAATGGTTTATTGCACAAACCACTGTATCAGCTTAAAGCAAGGGGAAGAAAATTGCAGAAGCGGAAGACAACTGTTTTGATATGGTTTCACAAGTATATATTGATAGAAAGAAACGTTTACATTAATTTAGCAAATTTAGTAAGCTAACAAACCAAAAATTGGTATGGCAGCATCTTACCTTAATCAGTTTTTGGTCTGGATTTACTTGAATTTCGAATAAGGAAACCAGGACCAGCGACTAGAATGGCAGCAAGAAACATTCGAAGTATGACAGATGGTGTCATAATCTGGTTTAAAGACGTAATTTCGGAGAGAATGCAACCTGCCTGGCAACACATAAAGTTATATGGGATAAGACCTGTAAAAGAAAATTCAGAGAAGAAGTAAGCCAATTTGCAGTAGCAACCAATTCCTCTAACAAATAAAATGGGCATAACAAACCACTTCAATGTCAACATCTCAGGGGACTACTATCATCTTCTTAGAGACCCAAAAAACAGTTCATTTGATTGGTCAAAGCAGGCATATTACTTATCTGAAGGGGGGGGGGGGCTCAATATCTAATGTTTCAAAGGATAGGCCAATTATCAATGAGTGCAATGAGTGAATGTTATGTTTCTAAACCTTTCAGACTGGTGGCACAAAATGGATAACAAGTGTAAGGATCAGGGTTGTCAAACAGGGTTTACAAAAAAAAGGTCAGATGGGGAGTCAACTTAGTCTAAAATGCTCATAAAAAGGCTAGATCAAAAAATATATATAACCCAAAAATACATTCCGCATGGGCTGTTTATATTTCTACACAGTCATGTGACTTTTAAATAATATCTTAACTCAAATTAGAAACTTACTTCTGCCTTAAAACAACAATTGTCTGACAGTTCCGATCTATTTTTTATGTTTTACCTATAGGTGATCACATTTTATATTTGGGTGTAGTAAACTACTAATTACTCCATTGATGTAGATATTACTCTTTCTATTTAGAAATTCTGCTGAAAAGGCCAAAAAAGCCAAATTTAAGTAGTAGGCCAAAAACAAATTTTCCGGGTAATTTATCTATGAAAAAGACAAAAATTGGAAAATTTGGCCTGAAAAAGGCCAATCTGCAAAAAGGATAGCATTTGAGCAGATTTAGTACACGTGAACATACCAACAAGAACTGAAGCAAAGAAAAGGTGAACAGGTATGCCAAGTATAGGTGATGACATGTTCAGAAACCAATTCGGTGACATTGGGAATAGTCTTAAGCATAACAGGAAGAAAAATATTCCATCAGTGTTATCATCAACCTGAAATATTAAATGAAAACAATCTGAATTAAAAGTTTTTAAAAAACATCTCTTCAAAATAAAGGAGTTCATACTTCGATAATAAAGTTAATTTGAAAGTGAAATCTGCTGTACAACTCAGGGAAATAGAAGATCCTCTTTGTCAACTAATTGCTGAAAATTGAAGATTTGACAACTAACATGCAATAAGAGAACCCAAAACAGTATCCTACATGTACCTCACATAATTTCAATTCACAATTGAAGACAATATAGACTGAAAAAAGCTAGCGTTCTATTAGGGTTTTACAAGCAAATATGCTAGCAAAGCATTATGAAATTCAAATCCCATTTTTAGGTAAAAAACTGAAAGGCAGAAAAATACTTGCAAAGCTATTTATCATAAAATCTACACCTTTTAAACTATTTTTCTGTGAATTTGTATTTTCATTACCTTTTTTTGGAGATATGTCAACTTGTCTGGAAAAAAGTGTTGTAAAATGGACTTTCCAAAAACTTTTGACCAAGTGTAACATGCAGTGGCTCCAACAGCTGTTAGCAAGCAAACAAGAGGAAATCCAGTCCACATTCCAAATAATGCACCACTTAAAACATTCTACAACAGGAAATATCAGAAAAATATTTTAAAACTATTCTTCTTGTTACAAATATTCAAGGTCCAATTAGATAAAATATGACACTTTGAAAGGGTTTCCATCAAAAATTGAAGCATGATATGTTTTATTCAGATTTAAGTGCTTATTATGACATTGTTCTGCTTGGGGTCTTGGAATAGAGCAGAAGTCTTTCTTTAATTAAGTTGTGTTTGGCATTCATTCGTCATAAGAAAAAAGTCAGTGTAGATAGAGTTTCTGATCAAAAGCTTGTTTTGTCTTCCATGGACTTCAAATCGCAGATCTATGTTATAATAAATGTAAGAATATCATTATTAGAATTTCTAATTAAATTCTAATATTCCATCTTGATGATCTAAGAAAATGTAATGAATGAGTTTTATGTCTAAGAATGACAAGGCAGGTGATTTGCTATTGCAAGCAAGTAATGAAAAGAAAATTACATATGCTATGTTCTGGCATATGCTACACTTATCTTAAGCCTAATGGAATTGTAAGGTTCCCTTTAAATGGAACATATATCAAACAGTCATATTTAATTAAAAGAAACAAACATAATACTGAGTGGAACAAAAAACTGAAAACATGTACCAGAAAGAATGATCCAGGAATTGCAAAGGCCTGTTTATATAAATAAGCACAGCAGAACATCAACATTATCGGCCAAAAATTGGCATCCTTGTAATATTTCATAAGGCTTGCTAGCTCTTTGAGTTCATTCAAATTGCTTGGATAACGTAACTGTGTTGCCCTGGTAGAAAAAAGGAAAGTATTAGTTGATAAATATATACAATCAATTGTAGCATAGATTTTTGAATATCAAATGATTAAATTTAACTACAATAAACCCTTGAATTAAAGGATTCAGATTGGTGTGGGGGCTTATGAAAATCATCTCCAAATTGCCAAAAGAGCACATTTTGTAGTTAAATTCAATTGGAACTTTTATCACAGCACAAAAGTATAAATCACAGCACAGAGATATATTTTAGTTGAAAATATTGTTTTGTGTAATGTTTTATAAATCATAGTGTATGTTTGATTAATCATGGCGTATCAAAGTTGCAAAGTTGCCAATACAACTATACAAAATTGCCAATTCAATAATATAGGGTACTTTTCAGCAGAGATATCTGAATATTCTATAACAAATGAAATTCCTTTTTAACAGGGATATTCACAGCTTCATATATAATGCAATCAGTGCCATCAGAACAAAATTCATATTGGTGAGGCTGCCCATTGTATTGCTTAATGTTTTAAGGAAATATAATACAGTTTGATAATTGTTGGAGGGGCTGGAGCACCGTTTGTGAAAACTCTTATACTTAACTGCAAAGAAGAAAATGCAAATATTATGACTGCTTGTTTGTCAGAAGAGTAGATTCTAGATTTTTCAAGTTGCCCAAGAGTTGGTTATATGATAGCAAGAAAATCTCATAGCTCCTTGTTTTTCCTGCACTTATAGAAAACAACATAGTACAAAACTCCTTAAAATTATATGCACAAATTCATTTTATATATACAATTTACAATTTATTCACTTTATATATAGCTATATAATTAAAGTTATAGCCAATAAAATCTAAATTATTTTGAAACTTGTTCCGACCTTAGTAGCTTATGTCATAGGGAGGTCAGCTTATGGGTTCTAGCAAAACTCTCCAGAGTATACTAAAAATATTGAATAAAATCTTTTCCATTCAATTCTATGTTGACCTTCACATTATCCAACACCCATCACATGCTTAATTTTTATACCATAACCTTTGATGGTTTTTAGGAGTAAATTATTATTTCATAATGTTTTATGCTCTATTTATCATTTCATATTATTTCATGCTTGTTATGTATGTTTACATCATGCTTTATGTCATATTCTCTATTATGTTTGATATGCTATATGATGATATGCTATATGTTGTTATGTTAATTTTTGTTGAGATCAAATGTGATATTAGCAACGCTGTTTTATATTTCTCATTATAAATAAAAAGAGATCAGGTTACACACTTCATTGACAAAAAGATATTATTTAAGTTTTTTGAAATAAAAAACACCACCTTGTCACATCCTCCAGAAAGAAATTTGCAGAGACTTCCTTGGCAACAAGGTACAGAAGTAAGGAAGAAATTCCAAAAGTAGAGAGCAGAGCTATAATTGCTGATATAGGTTTCATTTCTAATTCCAATAAGCCAAGTCCAACTGACTTTGCGACTCAAAGATAGCTAAACCCGTTCCGCGAGATAGCTAATTATGACGAGGTCATGATTCCAAATTAGCTTCTTCTTTTTGGATAGGTAATATTTTTTTCTACTCAGCTTCAAAAAGACCACTTTATATTAGATTTTCTCAGCACATTAAGAGACCAAGAGCCTCAGACTGTCGCCATTTAAAGTTTGCCTCGTTCTCATTCCCATAAACGCATGTTCAACGAGGTTCAGCGAGGTTGATAAACATGGACGAAATTTCTTGGCGTATATGTGTTTGGGGTGTTTGAAACAGTTGTACATGTATGAAATGATGAGTGGCACGAACAAAGAAGTCCGCAATGAAAACTTTTTTTGTAAACTCTGCAGTCTGGAATATACAAGCCAAAATGTAAGCAAAGTCTACCTTCATTTTCACCTTTTTAAAAAGCTGATGACGATACTGCAAACAAAAATCGTTTAAAATGCAAAAAATTAGCTAAACTTAGTTACTATACTGTCAGTTATTGAAGTAAGATTATAGGTATTAGAAAATCGAACCTCGTGGAAAGGATGTATTATAAATCTGCGCATGAATCAGGCAGCGGATCTAGACAGGGTTGACAGGTTTAAAAAAACCGGCCAGATTTCTAGAAATTATTTATTTTATATTAGAGTAAATATAGAATGAAGAATGTTTATTAATATGATTATTATTATCACCTCCCTTAACCTTATAAACATTTATCATTATCATTATGGATATTTCATCACTCCCTCTGGCACGTAATTTGCATTTTTCAGTTATTCGACATTTACCAACAAAATAACATCTTGATTGCACAAACAATATGACTTTTTGTGAAGTTTTTGTGCTGTTTGTGTCACAGCGCTCGCTCAGGCACGGATCCAGCTCGAATTCTGACCTATGCAAAGGTTGTCAGAAAGAGAAGCCACGCCTTTTTGTGTTGGAAACGCCCATATTATTCTGAATAAAATCAGTATCACTCATATGGAAAAGGGAGGGGGTTCCAAAAAGGAAACCTAGGGAAACTACTCGCAAAAAGTATAAGACTCAATATTTTCTTGCAACTTGAAGGAAAAAGCCTCTTAGTTGCCTGACTCCGGTAGGATTCAAACTAGGGCCACCCACCAGTCTTCAGACCACAACACTGACCTTAATTTCTGTTTCATTGGTTGCAACAAACAATTGCAGAGGACCACTGTAAATAATTGCATAGGTCAACTCTGATTCCTATTAGTTGGTTACCTCTGCAGAGGCAAGCTCAGCTTCTGATTTGATAAATCAAACATCACCTTAGCCTGCGTTGCAGACCATATTCTGAAGGAGAATTATTCACCTATGCTTGTGCCAAAGATTGCAGAGGTGAAGTACACGCTGATTACAAGACCCTTGCATAGGTCAAACAAGTGGTGATTGGCTCTCGAGGGACAAGCTTCTGATTTCAGAAAATACAGACCAGATAAATGAATTGAACTGCCACTCCACTGCTCTGTGCAGAGGCTGAATATAGTCAGCAAAATATATGCTCTGTCTTCCGCATGTTATTGGTATCAATGGGGCAGATCTAGGACAGAGGTTGCTAAAGAATTCGCCAAAGGAACTATTGATTAAAAATTTTGATAGTTATCATTTTATTTAGTTGTTGTTAAAAACTGATGCTTCTGCATAGGTTGCTGCAGGACTGAAAAGGAATGTTTTGCAGAGTCTAAATCATATGCCACAACGAGTTGTCTCCACCCACCCAGGGAATGTAAAATCATCAATTGTTATTGGTTCATCCTTCAGCAATCATGACATAGTTGCAATAGTCAGGAAAATTAATTGTTGACGAACAAAGCCAAGGGAAATTGTTTCCAGAAATTTTTGCAAATACTGCCTTGAGACCTTTCAGAGGGACCTAAAATCAGTCTTTGGGATGATGTAATGATGCAAGATGAGGTGAACAAATGCTGGAAGATTTTCAAAGACTGCTTCTTGAGAGTTTTAGATCAACATGCTTATACAAAAAGAAACGAAATGCCATCACAACAATGATAAGACCAAAAAGGCAGAGTACCATAAAACAATGGAAAACAATAAAGAAAGGCTTACCTGATAGCAAAGCGTGCCAGCAAAGGTCTAGCTCATTCAAAATAAACTCTACTTTGACAAAGGATAAAAATGAAATTTCAAAATGGTTTTAATAGTTACTTTACCAGCATAGCTGTAAAACTTCTAGTTGCCTTGCCAACTATCAAACATAAAGTAAATCCCAATAACAAAAGATTCCAATTCGAGCCAGTACTAAAGGCGAAGTTATGAAAGTGATGGTGTCCTTAAAATGTTTGATACCTTCTGTAATAGATAACATCTCCCAGGTATCGTGAAGGATGCAGCAAAGGAAATTATCCACCCTCTCTTCCACATAATAAATCTTTCTTTGGCAACATCAACGGTCCCACAAGAATGGAAGTTAGCGCGATGTGCTCCCATATTTAAAGGTGGAGATGCAAAGGAATTTGACAACTACAGACCAGTCTCGGTGCTCTCTGTTTTCTCCAAAGTCCTAGAAGGTGCTGTCTACAATCAGCTTTTTGAGTACCTAGTAGAGTAACAGATTTCTTTCATCTCAACAGTTTGGATATAGAAAAAACTGATCAACATCTTTCACAGTTGTCTACCTTACTGATATTGTGAGGAAAAACATGGACAAGGGTCAACTTACAGGTGCCCTGTTTATAGACCTAGAAAAAGCGTTTGACACTGTAGACCACTGCAGTCTTGTTTTGAAGCTTCAATCCTTGCCAAAAGTCTTGGTACACCAAGCTAAAATTTCGCATAACTTCAGTAGCATCCCCCTCTCCCCCTTGAAACAATGTTTAATAACAAAAGTTTCAAAGCTTGAAATTCGTCCAATGTCACTTTATCAGCTAGGGTAAGTAATAGTCTTTTCAACCAACATTGTTTTTGGGGGGAGGGGGATATTTCTGTATCTTACAGCCAGAAACCTTTATTTCTTCAAAATCTTTCATTGGTCGCAGGGTGTTCCAAGGACTTTTATCAAGGACTGTTCCTCTCTATGGAATTGAGAAGGCAGAGCAAAGATGGGTTCAAAATTATCTTGCACAGAGATCACAAATTACCTGTTTTGAAGGATTACTATCGAGAGAAGAAAAGGTCATATATGGAGTTTCCCAGGGCTCAATACTAGGTCCTCTGCTGCTCCTCATTCATATTAACGTGGACACCTATATATTGAACATTGCAAAACCGTAATGTATGCTGACAACACAGTTGCCTTGTTTTTGGACAAGTCACATGTTGAGATAGAAAGGGCAATCAACCTTGATTCTATTCTCTTAAATACCGTAAATCCTCGGGGTTAAAAAAATTATATTTTTGGATAGGGGCTTATTTGTGAAAATATTGTAGACATTAAGGAGACATTATTAAAAGACCTCGTTTATTTTAGTAGGGATTTCTTATGAGCATTTGATTAATTACTACCAAAAGTGTGAATTTGTTGTGGGAATTCATTAAAACACCATATGCAACCTCAGATAGCAAAAATCATCAAATTGAGGGGTCAAATTCGAGAATTTAGGGTAGCAGTGGGGGCTTATTCGGGGGGGGGGCAATTCGAGGAATTACAGTACTCGGCTCTACAATAATGGTCTAATCTCAAATTCGAATCGGGGAGAAACCGAATTCATGATGTTTGGCACCGTAGCAAGAAAGAAGAGAATTGAGGGCGAAACGATCATACAAATCAATGCAAATAATGCCCATAAACAATACTGATAATGACAAATAGCTGGGTATTCATCTAGATCAATCATTATCAATGAGCAACCATATTCACAAAGTCTGCAAAAAAGCGTCAAGTAGACTAGGCCTGTTGAGACGTATTCGACCCATACTTACCATCCATGCTGCCCTCAGCCTGTATCAAGCAATGGTACAACCAGTCATGACACACTGTAGTACAGCGTTCTTGTTCATGTCGGAAACAAACAGAAAGAAATTCGAACCACTAGAAACGAGCTAAAAAGATCATTTTTGCAGCACATTATCAACAAGGAGGTCGTATGTTTCGCTCGTTCGCCAATATTCATTAAATAAATTTTCGAAAAGTTACCTGTTACCTAAACCATGCGAAATATCTGTCAACAAACTTTCGTATTTTGTGAATAGATAAAGCTTTCTCTGAACCCTCAACTTTAACAAGGGGGACTGAGCCTCCAAAGCCCCTTCAAGACACCCCTAAATCCCTTTTGTTGGCAAAAGAAAATTTGCTTTCAAAATCTGCTACACAAACTGTGCTGATTGATATAAGACGGTCGCAATGGACATTCTTATCATAGCGAAGAGAGGAGCTAAGGATGTGCTGGACTATCCCAGGGGCACAATATGGTTCTTAATAGAATTCATTCAAATATAACCCGGTCATAAATTTCTCTGGATCCGCACCTGTGAATGCTGCTGTCAAAAAACAGTAAATTTATTTGTAAGGATTACTCATGATTGCTCAAATGCTCAAAGTGAAACTATTTTTTGTGCTGGAATCAACCATTTTTAGAAACGAATTTTTTGAACTGATTTCATAATTTTTTTCTTTTCTTATTCATCCATCCATTTTGACGATTCAAAATAATCTGGAAAGCAAAAGAAAATCTGCCCATTGAAATAAGAAATTATTGGTCTGAATTTCTTATTTAAATATGTAAAGCTACATTCTCAAGAATATTTATAAATATTGTCTAAAGGCATCCAAAAAAGCACTTCAAATGTTTTACATAAATTTACTTCAAAATCCATCTAGCTTGTGGCCTGTTACGACATTTGGCTTGCTGCAAACACCCTGATAGGGACGCTTCATTCTAGATAACAGCCTTATTTGAAAAAATCATTTTTGCTAATGTTTTGCGATAATTTTTAGGATTTAGAGGAGCATTCTTGGTCACTTCTTCATCACAAAAAGCTAGACAAGGAGAATGGCAGGTAATTGGGACTTAGCTCAACTTAGAAGATCTGACATGTCTTTTTTCACTTAATATTTAGTTGATACTATCAATCGTAATAATGCTTTAATTAATATATTTACAAACACTGAACTAATGATTTTGAATACTGTTGCCAATTTGAACAAACCTTTAAAATTGCAAATTGAAAACTAATTTTCAAAATGGGTTGTGTTGATGAATCTAGTAGAAGACTGGATGGCAAAACATGACAATATATCTGTTTTAGGGGCTATCTTTATTGATCTGTCCAATGCATTTGACTGCATTCCAGATTTAACCTAATCAAAGCATAAATGTTCTTTAAATTGTGTATTTTCGTTCTATTATTGTACTTTTTTAACGATGTAAAATTCGCATCAAAATGATCAAGTTTCCACATTTAGCAAAGTAAAATGCAAATTAAGCGACGTTGTAGAAGGGGTTGAGGGAGATGTGACCATCAAAGCGTTGAGAAGTTTAATGATAATATTGTAAGAAACAAGTTTCTGCTAGTCTTTATGATGTGTCGTTTATGTCACGTTTTCATAAACCATGAAAGTGCAGAAATAATTTGAAATACTCTGTAATTTTAAAACAGAGCTTAAACTGAACTTTCTTTCAACCATTGTGCTGTGAATCTATCTAAATTTTTTGGAACCCTTGAGGTGGATACACTTTTGTAAATACGCTAATTTTTAGTTTCAAAAAGTTTTTAATTCGTTGTCTTTTCATTTCATACAGGGACTTTACCCACAAGTGTAGCCTTTGCAACGAAGATTTTTCTGGTCTTCTCGCATATACAAAACATATTCACAGCGATAAACATTTAAAGAAACTACATCAATGGAAAGAAAAAAATGCCCCAGCAAATGAAGTGCAAACATTCAGGGAGGAGAATGGCTTTCATACACCACAAAGGTCCATCTACGATAATCGGCCAAGATTTAGCTGGTCCAAACAACAGCAAATGTCTAACGGAAGACCTCGCTTTCACCAGAAATTTGGAGAACAGAGGTTTGATTTCGTTCCCTGGAGGCCAAGAGCCCCCTTTCCACGGCACCGTATGACTTGGATGGCACCTTTAATGCCACCGAGACGGAATGAAGCAGCACCCAGGTATTACGGTCCACGTTCATCACCTCCCAATTCATTATTTACACCTCAAAACCGGTTGCCTTATAACGAAAATATTCTCGAAAATAGATCATCCATTCGTAGTCCAAATGTTTCTGAAAATTCTTCTTTTTTTGAAGGAAGAAACAAAGAGCAAAGTAGGAATAGCTCTAATTTTCCCGGTTCACCCGACGAATTTTCAACACACCAGTCGTTTCATGAAATTATCGGTTATGAAGGAAACGGGTATACAGATTTCAATAAGAAGTTTAAAGGTTTTGAAGCAACAAGGTTGATGAGACAGAAAATGGAAAAACTTAGGCAAAGAAACTCGAGGCAAAGCAATTTAAGCAACAAGCAATCCACTGCACCTTCGAACGGTCAGTTGCAAAGGGACAGTTTATCGAAAGTAGGCATAGACGAACGGAGTAATATTGGCGACCTAAATATTGAATGCTCTGGTTCTTTTCAAATTATATCGAGTAAAAATGTAGATGGCGCGATATCCAATGCAAGAATAAAAGAGAAGGAAGATAATAATCATAACAAAGAGGGAAAGATTGATGTAAAGAGTCCTGAAAGTGGAGCTGCTACTGATTGTCCATTTGTGGGAAGTAATGAAGAAGAGACATTGGCATCCTATGTAGCTGAAAGTCTTGGCTGCCTTAAAGCTAGCAGCACAATAAATAGCACCTATTATGATCAATCCACAGTGGATGTTGTTGAAGTATGTGACTCAGACAGAGGAAATATTAGCACAACAACAGATGACAAAATTGTAGATTGTGAAACTTCTGTAGAGAAAGGTAGCCATCAGCCAGATATCAATGATGCAGTCTTGGCGAAGAATGCCATAAAAAGAATGCCAGAAGCAGTCAGAAAACCTTTTTCTGGCACTCAGGGGGCCATTAAGGTTCAAGGGCAGCTACAGTTAGCTAAAAACATTGTAGAGGGTCATGAACATACCCCAAGGATTTATATTTTAGAGAAGAATGGCATTAGTGAAAAGAGATTAACGAATGCTGCTGCTACTCACGCTAGGAAGCAAGCCAATGCGACACATCAGCAGCTGCGTGTTTCTAATGCGAGAGAAGAATCGCTACGTAAGAAAACATTCTCTGGAGGATTAGAACAAGCAAAAAGTAGCATGGTAAAGGAACCTGTTTTATCCTCTGTATCTGATGGAAATTGTAACAATGGGAAAGCAACAGAGACAAGCTCGAGGGAAAAGCAAATGTCTCCCCATAACAGCACTGTTTTGATAGTAGACGCCGATGGTTATAAATTTGCAGAAGAAAGTAACTCTTCGAAAGAAGTAACAGGGGAAGTAAGTAACATTGCTATGATTAGCTTTATGCCTCTGGAATAACACATGGGGCTTTAACTATGCATTTGGATCGAAAAAAAGAACCTCCAAAGCTTACTCGTTATGGTCTCTGAAAATGAATTTTTCGTTTTTGTTGTAGTATGCTGTTGAAGTAATTTGTGATTTTTTGAAAATGTATTTGATCTACAGAAAACAATTAAAACTTTTCTCCTGACAGGTATTTTTCTAGAAGGAACCTTTTTTAGCTTCATTTCAACTCCGCACTATTACAGCATCTTTACATATTTGTGTTGAAAATGGCGATTGTTTGAGAGAGAAAATCTGAAATCAAGCTGAAGTTCATCGATTACTAATTGGCTTGTGTCTCAATCTTCCTGGCTTCCTTGATGTAAGATATTATTCGCTGCTTTTGTTTTTCAGAATAAGGATTCTTCAGCAGCAAACAAAGAGGGTGAACTTTCAGAAAGCAGCGTCTCCTTGGAGCCCAGTATAGTTTCACTAGACGAGTCTTTAAAGGAGGCGAATACGTCAAAGCAATGCGAATTTCGCTATCAAGATGGACGGCGATGTCCAACTTCAGCTGTTCATAAGTATGTTCAAGTTGTGCCTGTTAATTATCTGCCGCATGGGGCCCTTGATAATTTTTTTGTATTGTGTACTTTTCGGCTATACTGTGCTAAAAAGCTTACGAAGGCCATCTCCAAGGCAGTTTGATAAGTATGCTATATATCCTATGCAAAATCATTTCTCGAATACACCAATTCGACTTACGGCCTCGTTTTGAAAATTTCTCCTAACCTAATAATACGACTTTCTAAAGCTCAGATTTGGTTTTATCACAATAATTTTAGGCCGGTTACAATTTTTCATATTGTTTGTGCTTGTATTTTAGATTTTACGGAGAAATGAATTTTGAAAACTTGTAAGGGATTTGACCGCAAAAAATCATTCGGAGGGAAACTTTACACCCCTAGTCGCCAATCACGGTCAAATCCCTTATAAAATTTTCATCTTTTTGTCGTCATAAAATCAATATCGTGAGCAATACAATAATGAAAACTTCAAAGTATACTAAAATCATTGCTCGCTATCCGAATCTGAGGTCAAAAATTTTGTGCAAAATAATTTGAAAATTTTTTCAAAATGAGGCCGTAAGTCGAATTGGTCTATTCTGCGGTTTCTAAAACCATGCTATAAAGTATTATATCAATGGTAATTGTTGGTCACTCTAGTTGTTGTTGCGGTAGTTGAATAGAAACTAATCTCTTGATGTGTCACATGTGACCTATATAAATACCTTCTCTAATGAGGCTGTATAACATTTACTTACAAGACGTATAAGATATTTTTGAAATATACTGATTGTCTATGACAACTTCATTCGGCCTAACAGAATATACTTTACCTCCTTTTGTAGAAGAAATATTTATGAAAACCGACAAATATTGCAGCTAAAATATACACACTTAATGATTTGATTTTACAGTTCTTTGTGTAGCAATCCTGAAAAAAGTATTTGTTTAATCTTTGTCAAATTTCTGTAGGTTCTGTGCATATATTTGTTTAATCTTTGTCAAATTTCTGTAGGTTCTGTGCATATCACGAGAAAGTTGTGCGAGATGTGTTCATTCATTATACAAAAGTAACTGCCCAGCAAAAGTCAAATGCAGAGTCAGGCGAGTCCCCTGTTTCTGAGTTATCAACATCTGAACAAGCTTTTAGTGGGGAATCTTCTTCGAAAACCTCATTGAAAAGCAAAAGTGTTGCCGTAACGGTTTCCGAGAACTCTACGACTTCATCGCTTTCGGGTGTCGAAACACATCAAGCAGAAAATGAAGAACATTCATCTCCGCTTGTTGAAATAATCAGCGATGCAGAGGGGGATGGCGATCATCTTAGCCTTCATTCAAGATTCAAATATTTGCACAAGGCGACGAAAAATCCACTGAGTGGTCTTGAGCTGTCTAGGGCTAACCTTCCGCCCAGAGTGAGAAAATTACTTAGCAAAAAATTTGGTAGCGAAAGAAAAGGAGACGAGGACAGTGCTACGGTAAAAGGGGGAAATGAAAAGCAAGTAGCTGATTGTAATAAAGTCAAATCAGCAATCGAATCTGAACAAGCTGTAAATATTGATTCACAGCGTGAAGGTCTTGTAACCAATCAATGTCGCATTAACCCAACAGCAGAAGCACTAGACTGTAGCGTATCAGCTGATTGTGTGACTACATCCAATGTGATATCATTTGGAAAATTCACCGGTGTAACTGATTCCTTGTGCAAATTTTCGATCTGCAACACGACCAGTGCTGTCTCTTCTTGCGACCCGCTGAAAATACACCATATAAAATGTCCGCAGTCTTCACCCATCTCTTTTTCTAACAAGTCAGATTCAAGACCCCTTTTATTATCAGCAAAACAGAACTCGATTGAGAAGACAGAACAGATTAATTCGCATCCAAGCAATACAAATTCTGATATTTGTGTATCATCAGAAGTAGGGGCTAGCTTAACGAAACAGTTTTCGAAAGAGAAAAATGGAACAGTAGAAGTTTCTCAGAGTATTACAGTGGTATCAACCTACTCCAATCTTGCAGTATCGGATAACTTCGTTTCCGAAGGTAATGTTTCGATAAGACATGACCATTCGATTGTATCTGAAAAAGATTTAGGCATTGATTCGCTATATAGTCTTAAGCCTTTACCGGAAACCATAGTATTTTCTGTAAGCATACCGAAAAATGAAGAAGCAAAAGGTCTTCCTAATCAAGCAGCGATTCAGTTTCAACCAGAAAAGAAAAATAAGCTTTCAAGGGTTTCGCGTTTAAGCCCAACTAGCCAGTTAAAGAAGGTGCCTATTGTAAACACAGGGGTGCAAACTAGTCTTGTTAATACCATAACAAATGTGTTGTCGCATCCCCCGTTATCTTCGTCCGGGTCATCAGAAAAAAAGGGTGAAAGCTTTAAAAAAGTTGAATTAGTGAAAACAAATAACGGGAAAGGAGTTTTTAAAGAGTGTGGTTCAGGTCGTATTTTAGAGGTTTCAATTTCTGATCCAAGAAAGCCAGAGAAAGTCTCGGGTTCCATTACGGATGAAAGCTCCAAAATCCAAGAAACGACCTTGCTTGCCACAGGGGCAAAAAAACCTCTTCGAATACAGTCAAAACAGCGCAATTTGCTACGTTCGTTTTTCAACAACCTTCAGAAGAGGAAAGACGGTGACAAAAAAACAGAGGAAAACATTTTACGTGGTAGAAGTTATGCTGATGATATCACTGAGGATGATTCGAGTAACAACCGAAATCAAGTCGGTAAAGATAGTCACCTTAGCAACAGTGACATTCTGCCAGATTTTACAGATGTCCGGACTATAAGTAGCTCCAAACAGTGTGGAAGTGAAGTTTCAAAGGGCTTTTCAAATGATGCTAAGGCTGTATCGAACCCTGCTGTCAAAACGGTTGCTCATGCTTCTCAAGATATAGAAGAGAATACCTCGAGAAGTGAAAAAAATATAAGAAGTCCAGTGATCATGGAAGAAGGTGATTTGGATAGCATGTGGCCAGACATGAAGGGCCAAGAAGCCAGCAGGCATAAGAAGGATGACAAGACTGTACGGAAGTGCAAGCGGACAAAGACGGAAAAGGGTAAGTAGTTTTTAAATTCAGTAAGGAACCAGTGAATTTAAGCTTTTCGCTCAATCGATGAGGCACCATTGTCATTATCTGTTGCCACTTGAAGTGTTTGTTTTGATAGGACTCTGAGCGTGCAGGCCGACAATGGCATACTGATTCCGACTACATTAGATAAAAAAATTTTCGCCATTACAGCCTTTCGGACAAATCTTTGTCCGAAAATTTTTTTGTACGAAAAGTAAGAGTTATCCGAATGCTTATCACGCCGAATTTTTGTATGGACCACGCATGCGCAATGTATATTGACTAAAGCAGGGGCTAAAATCTTTAAGCATGAGTGCCTTCAAAATTTTTGAAAACATTCGTCCTTTCAAGGTGAACCACGCATCGCCAATTCAAAAACATCATCGTTCTCATCGTCTTACTCCAACGCATCTGACTCAACAGTATCGATGCCTTTGAGAAATGAATGATCATCACTCTAGCCAGAAGCAGGCCCGATGCCGAAATGGAGAAAAATACTTATGTGGGGTTTATTTCACATGTTAGAACTTGTGGCTTTTTATTAGCTCGAAATTTTAAAAATATGTCCGAAAATATTTTCGCTGGAGTTAATTGTTTGAAATTTTATCCGCTAAGAATTTTCTGTACTTAATGTATTTGTAGAATCCTATCTTCAATCTGTATCTTTTTTTGGCATTTGCCTAAAAATTTTCTGATTTTAACGTATCGGGACGTTTTGTTATATTATTTTTTAGTGCCTCTTCTATTTTCCTGGACCATTTTAAATTTTTGTTTTATAAAAATCCATCTTTGCTTGTCTTAAGAAAATATTACCAAGATAAAGGTATTTTTCTGTTGTGAACTTTTTACTTGTCATTGTCATTACAGAGCAAGCATTACAAATAGAGAAGTATTTCAAAGTTAATAAGGAGAGATTGAAGATCCAGAAAGCGCTCTCGGTAACTAGAAACAGGGTTAAAACTTTAACACAGGAAATGGAGTCTTTGAAGAAGGTTTTGTCGATGCTGGCCGTAAGGGAAAAGATGCTAGATGCTAAACTTGGTACAGTTTCATGCCAGAAAGAAACCTGTGAAAAGTTGTTAAAAAGAGCTGGTGTTGATATAGAAGCGCTACAAGAAGATCGGGATATTCTAGTTACAAACAAAAGAGAAAGAGATAGAAATATGAATATTGTACTAGCAACAAAATGTATTCAGCCGAAGGAAAGAGATCGTGAGAGACAGAGTTGTAGTTCCGCTGCTTTGCTGGGTGAAAACAATGAAAGTTCAGAAACATCTGGAGATTTAAATGTCTTCAGCCCCTTGCGAAAAGATGTTGACCGTGCAAAAACAAGAGTGGTCTCTTTAGATTCGAGTCGGGGCCCGCGTGAAACAGAAATTGAATGCGACCAAAAGGACACGTCGACACTGACAAAATATAAACACGTGGATCAGTGTGAGCAAATAAGCAACAAAAACGTTACTGGAACGGAGGATAAAACGCAACCTGAAAATGCTTCTACGCGACATAATCCAAATAAAAAAACTTTGGTGAAATCTGCTTTTAAACCTGGACGAAAAGTTACTCTAGAAGAAAACAGAAATCCACATTTGTCACGTTTACAACGTGAAGAGTTGAGGGAGAGGCATACAAACACCCCTACATCAAATGGGTCATCAAACAGGTATCAAGCGTTTAAACCATATGTTTCTGTAATAGACAATATTAAGCTCAATTTGACGGGAAAAAATGATGATTCGTCTGCACCTAATATGTCCATACAGCCTAAAAGCATGCAGAGGGAACCGAGCACTGGACTTGAATCTCTGGACATGACATCGAGGTCAGGCATTGATGCGAGGTTTGGAAATAATGATGGTTGCAAAGATTCGAAGAGCTTATCCAACCAGCAAAAGGAATGTCGAACAGATATTTGCTTGTCTGAAACCGAAAAAAATTTAAAATGTCATAATGTTTTACAGAGCAGAAAACGAAAGCGGAGTTTAAATAAACACGATATTGCAGAAGTTTACCCAGAAAAAATAAAGAAAAAAGAAAATATTGTAATTATTGAAACACCTTCGTCATCGGAGCCCAAGGACGACTCAAGTTTGACAGAAAGCAAATTAAAAATTTCACCCCCTTGTGAAAATCTGGATCTTTCAGTTATGAAAAAGTCCTTGAAAAATGCCAGGCTAAACTCTATCGACGGACGAAAAAGAGCCACAGTTAGTCCTTCCTATTATGGTGAGTCTCAATTTTCATCTTTAATTTCAACTAGTTAATTAAGTTATGAGAATTTGCCGAGCAATTCTAGCCGTCCTAGGGATCCCTTTTTGTACTCTGATGTGCAAAGCAGAAAGAAGTTAAGATTGGCAGCTACTTGTGTTGCTACATTTTGATGAACATTGTTTGCGTAAAGCGTTGCCATTATGTATAAATGCGAAGATTTGCAAGAACACACTTTGTAATTGTTTTGTTGTTGATGCCGATCACTTAAGTGATTTCATCCGTTGTGGCCGTGTTGCCTCTTTCATAGCAGCCTTTCATTTCATATAGGGATCTTGTTGTGAATTCTTCGAGAATCTTACTGATCCAGTGTGATTATCGCTGCCCCATCATAATCTTTGCACATTACTTTTAGCATCCATAGGGCAGGCAGGACAAGACGCGAAGGTGTTCACCCGTCATAGCTCAGCAGTTACTGACCTCAAGGTACGTTAGTATCCGCTGACGATAACTGGTGTGGACATTTTTTAGATAGTTAGAGAGAAAATATTTGTGACTGTTTTTACGTAATAAATTTATGTGGCAGAGGCTAGTAGCCATGGTTTCTTGGTGTAAAAATGACTTTAATCAGTTACGTTGAGAGAATCACGAAATAATAAAGGCCAACAAGAAACAATCAGCATAGAAGATGTTATTATAATTGAAGATTTCAATGCCATTTTATCGTTATATAAAGTTTTCAGGTCCAGGGGGCTTCATATTTTCCCTTGCTACGTGTATTGAACCACTTTTAAGATAATCATATTTCTGAAAGCATAGCTAATACCAGAATAGGAAGCACATCATATTTCATTATTTTATTTTGCAGTTATGCAAGGGCTTCCTTTACAGCAGCGGTCATTCGGTTAAGATGCATGACACGAAAGTGAGTAGAATTGCAAGATATGACGTCATCATATTTGATAGTCAGCCGATGATTTTCAGTCGTTTTTATAATTTTTTGCATTGCGGTTGGGAAAGAGAATCGTTGTGTCTGGTCAGATTAAGCTATTTATTATGCAACTGTTCTTATTTCGTATATCTTCTTTGCATTTCGTTTTGTAACTAGCAAACTTTGTGTTATTGGAAAAGCATTTTCCTGAAACCGATTTGTTTTTTGTAGTCTGCACTATGTCTCAGCTCTCGCATTGATACTAGAAAAGAGATCAATTGCCTAGAGGTATTACCAATATATTTTGATTCTGTGTATAACTATAAACCTATTTTAACTGTTTTTATACTTTCAATTTTTTGTTATTATAAATGAGTTTAAATCTTCTAGGAAACTTTTATTTCCCAAAAATGGTGGCGTTTTCCACCTGGCGAACTATAAGCTAGTATGTTATTGCTACCAGGTTGATTATCGCTCCTCGTCAGGCCCGTGTAAGCTGACTAGCATGGCCATCGCCTTTAGCAGCTGCCTCGTTGTGACTCAGAAATTTGTGTTTTTGATGACGTAAACCGGAATTACGGCGAGCTCGAAATTTCACTTTTCAAAGTAGCAACTATTGACTTCAATGATGTACATAGCTGCGGAGCGAAATCCCCTGAAGCACACCCAGTGTCTCATCCCCCCTTTAAAAGTTGGAGCATATTTATTTGAATAAGAAAATCACCAACATTAAAGGGGGTCGGAGTGAGAAATCTCAACATTTTCCGTCCATTATTGTAGATCTAGCCACGATTAAGTAATGTAATTATAACAAGAAATTTTAAATTCTGTTTTTTTTTCAAGTTATATTCACGCAGAAATCGAACAATGCTTTTAATTGGATGCAAAGATGGGCGTCTCTTATTTTATGACCTTTGCGTAAGTATTAATCGTGTTGCAATTTTTCGCGTAAATTGTCATATTAATTTTGTCCATTGACAAATTATTCTCTTAAGAAGCGCGCATTTGTCGGTTGTCGGTAGAGAGCTGATAATCTTTATCAACTTATAACCAGGAATTTAAATAAAATTGTGCTACAAAGAAAGCGAATTTATTAAAGATGTTTCGAGCAACGGGCTATGTTCGAAACGTCGTTAATATGTTCGCTATTTTTTCCTAGTACAATTTTACTTAAATTCGTAGTTATATTCTATTATATTGTACAGCATGCAAGCTAGTATATTTGTCCACTTATGTTTATATATTTTGCTGTTTGATCCAACCGTGGACGGCGTAATCAAGGTAAAATTGGAGAATTGTGCACTGCAAGGGTAAAAAATGTATACGTGTCAACAAGAAAGGATTTCACACATTTATGTTTTGTAAATCCAAAATTATTGGAGCTGCTTTGGTTTTATTTTGAGTTTTTCTCATCTTTTTCTGGGTAACAAGTATTTTTACTGTATGCCTTTAAAAAACTGTCGAGACTGTTTTTCGTACTCGATAGTTGAACTTTAGAAAGTGCGAGGCATATTTTGAGAGGCAATTCGTTCGTATCTTCATAGGTCTTGCATCAATGGATACACCAGATTAAATATGGTCGAAGTGTTGTTGCTTTGCATACCGCCTTTGACAAACTGTTCGTTGGTTTGAGCAATGGAGTTATTTGTCGCATCAATCTGCAGGTATTCCATTCCTCTAAAAATTTACTTTTTTTATTTGTTTAATTTATGAGAGTTAATACGCAGAAGAAAACAGCTTGTTTTAGGTTCACCAAAAAAGTATTGCTTGTCTTGTGTTATTTGCTCAATAAACCCATACAGAAAAAAGTAAAATTGTCAATAAAATTTGAGCCTGGCTATTATTCTTTATTAATACTTAATGTTAATTAATTTTGTGCCTCGATATTCTTATAACGTTTATGCATATAAAGTGTCAATTACCCTGATGTATACTCAAGTTTTTAAACATATAGAACTATATTTTGAATGAGACATAAAATGCTGTAAATTATAAAATCCTCGGCATTATAAAAAAGGCCTGTTCATGATTCTATGTTCTTGTCAAGTCAAGTATGGTTTTCTTAGGCTTTTTAGGTAAAATACTCATTAAAAGAACCCTACAGATTTTCAATAAAAGCACACGTTTCAACTACTTTTTGAACCAAATACTGCAATTGAAACTGCATAAATCAAATACACGCGAATGCATTTCTATCAACATTTTAGAAGTACCTTGATTCCCCTTAACTGAGGCACACTTTGGAAAGCCTCTTTTCATTTCATTCCATTTTTTGCTTTTTAGGCAGGGTAGCCCTTCAGTCTTTTCTTCCCCTTTAACGTTAATTTGTACCCTAGCCAATTTCCGCTGCGTGCCTGTGTTCTTTTCATTTAATCGAATGAGGTATTCTAATATTTCTATAAGATTTATTGCAAAGAACGGATTTTGACCATTACAATCCACGTAATTTGAATGTAAATATGAATTTTCAAGTAATTCCTAAATTGCAGACGTTGCGCCAAGAAGACGAAACAGAATGTCTAAAGACGGGACCAGTTAATCAAATAAAATCTGCCACAAATACTTTTACTACAAAAGAGATGCTCATTGCGTTAATTCGATATGAAATCTGCCTTTTCAACACACAAGTACGTCTTAAATCGCTATTCATTTATTATTTTTCACCATGCATTTCTAATTTTTCGATACCCATAATCATAATTCACCATCTTTTTACTATTTCTTAGGTTTCCTTTGGTTTCTTTGCTTCTTGATTGTAATGTAACAAGATAAGCTTGAAATATCTTTCGTGCATAAAGCAGGAAAGGAGATTCATAAAGCATAAAATCTTTATGAGAAACAGTAAAATCTATTCATTGTCGTTTATTTCAAGTCAATGTTTTAAGGACTGCTTGTTTGTCTTGTTTTGGTAATTCTGTCCTGAAAACTGTCAAATGTTCAGTGATTATTTTCCTCTGCGGTTTTTCTGCCAACTGTTTGATAATTCGCGTTTTTCTGCAGGATAAGCTCAGCTTGCTTAAAAGATTCAAGGAAGAGCTGCCAGGGAAGATATCCTGTATTGAGGTGAAAATTTTGTCGCAATTAAAACGATACCTCAAAAGACTTGATATTCAACCAAATATCACTAAGAATCCTGGGAGTTTTGTTGTTATTGTTTTGACTGGCATTCTCAATCAAGGCCTGGTATCGGACGACAATAAGTAGTTATCTCGTAGACCATACTTTTCACCCTCAAATTGACAATGGAAAAGCATTTCTTCTCTACTTGTCACACACGCCAAACTTCCAATCATTCCACATTCTCCTGATCTTCTCCGAGCGTATAGAAAAGGTTTGTTCTTCGCGAAATATTGGCCTCTTCCAGCAGAAGCAGCACTATAACCACCCAACAGCCTTAGATACAAATTTTTAACTCTTATCTAATTGTATTATTATCGTTACCTTTACTGCATCAATAGTTCCTGTCAGTGTTGCCATTGTCAGTTATTAGTTTAATATTATTACCCTAGGTATTTAATCAAAAGATATACGCTGGAAATAGCCAGGGGATTGTTCATATGTACAAAACGGAGGTAAGGTCTTCGATGAATGAAATGAACGTCTAATTTAATAATTTTGTAAATTGTAGATAGTCTTTACAACATGGAAGAACGCGTTTGTCTCGGAGAGGCATTCACCGTTTATTCTCTCGTGCATACAATACATGAAGTATTTTCGCAACATAATGATAAGTATGAATTACTACAAACGCCATCAGAAAAATCACATCCATTTCAACACATTGTTCAGTCGTAAAACTTGGTTCAGTGAAATTTGTTCAGAATTGAAAATTTTGGCTCAACAATATTAGGTCAGTAGTATGTTCAAGTGATTTGTCAACCAAACTGAAAAAAACTTTGCCAAAAAGCGCATGCGCAGTTAAATAATTCGCAACATTTGTACTATGATTTGTAGTTGGAAAGCATGTAAAAAATAAAGAGCCTCTCATCAGAATGCTAAAAAAAAGGTAAGAAAAAGTTTCAGTGGAGTCCAGAGTCAGTAGGTGGTTTTTGATCTCGTTAGCCCACTCAGCACTGAACATATTGTAAGTTATACCATTGGTATGCGAACAGACTTCTTTGTTTGGCAGGATATTTGCAATCGTGAAGTCTTTTGTCAGCAAAGTAAATCGAAGGCAATAACTGCAATTAAAGCGGACGGTGATTTGCTTGTTACTGCTTCTGCAGATCTTCTCATCCGCTGTTATGATATCAGTGTGAGTTTGCTACTTCTTTCATTCTGTTTCTTTTGTTTGTGCGTATTGATTAATTGTCTTCCAATTCTATAGAAGAGTCAATCAGGGGATACACAGAACGTAGCGTCTCATTTTCGTTGAATTAAGAATAATTTGTAAGCTTATAATCAGGGGCGGACACTTTGTCAAATATTGGGGGCAAGCCTATTGTTTTAATAAGATGACGTCACATTTCCCATTGTTTTAGAACAAAAGACCATTGTTCTCTAAAGTATTGGGGGGCGATCGCCCCCCCCCCTCCTCGCCCCCCCCCCAAGTGTCCGCCACTGCTTATAATTAAATGTATTGTAATAGAGGAGAGAGAGAAAGATCTATGTTTCCCTTGAAAAAGAAGGCAATGCTCACAATGGTAGGTCGAGATTCGACACTTGTGGATTAAATTTTTGTTGGCCAGATGTTCTGAAATGTTATCTTGATTCGGATTTGAATCGGCACTAGACAGGAACATAGAATTTTTTCGATATTTGTAGACGACGTGAACAAAGAAAGCTCTTATCGATGGGATACCGTAAACACATGATGGCAAGACCTTTTAACGCAAAGCTCTGTGACAGCATTACCTTATGACGCAGTGACTCTTAGATCTAAACCTGGTGATGCAATCAGAATGTAGCCGAGTTGTCTTGTTTGTAAATTGTTTATAATTTAAAAAAATTGTTTTTAGAATGGTAACTTGATGGTAGTATTTGGAGGACATAAGAACAAAATACAGGTTCTGGAGTTGGAAATGGGCGTTCAAAGCACGGTGTGTTGTCAGCTTATACTTTCCTTGCCTCGCTTGGTTAGAAAGAAATGGTGCTATATTTACGAGAGCCTAGAAATATACTTAAAAGTTTAACAAACCTGTAATTATTGAAATGAAAATCAAGAGTTTTGTTGGAAATATTTACATCATTTGTAGTTGCACCATGCAATGAATATCACTGAATGGCAGTCAATTGAATAAATTTATAATTTGGTTTTTAGATATTAAAACAGCACAGCTGAATTCTGAGTGTAAGGTGCAGTGACAAATTTCTGCAACATATCATTAGCTATGGAGTGCAAAATGTAAACATAATCTTATGACAATCAAGGTCTGAAACTAAAGCTCTGGGTTTCTTTTCGAGAATCCAGTTTCTTGCTAAACCGGAGTTTAAATTCCCTTTGGAGCAAATTCAATAATTTCTGGTCTTTGTCATACAGTATTATAAGTATACTATTTACAATCTCATTTGTTGTAACGTTGATCTTATGAATTTCGTAGGTATATAGCGGATGTCTTAGTGGCGAGATCCGATCAAATAACGTAATCCAGGGAATATTGCATCGTTGTCAGGTATGTTGGCTTCAGACATATCACTGCTGCAAATGTTTATTGCCACATTTTAACCACCAGCTCTGAATTCCCTTATGTGAATCCAATGATTTTCAAAATTGTAATTTTTCAGAGCTATTGTATTATAGCTGCATTAAGGTTTTCGATTACCAAGAGACAATGTGCAAAAGGATTATAGATATAGAGTACAACTGCGATTGCTATTCTTTTTCGAAAGATTCCAGGAAACCAAAATAAAAACCAAATATTTAGAGAACTAAATCCCCTTTACAACAGGCTATTTTAACCGTTTTTGTAACAGTCTGCTAGTTCTTCAAATCAAATGCTGCCTTTGTTGAAAATAATGGTTTATCTCCTTTTTCACTTTAGTGGGAAAGCTGCACATTACCTTTTTGCTTCTCAAGCCAGTTGAAGGAGCACATCCTAAGTGAGCACTTGAGATCATAAACCTTTCTAAATTATAAAACCTTTAGAAACTATCAAGATGCCAGTACTCTGTTTTGTTTACGCTATTTCTATTCAGCCTGAATCGACTTTGATATATTGATGATGTCAGCCCACTGTCTCGAACGTTTTGCTGAAATCTGTATATGTGACGTAATTTTGTTGATGGCGCTTGTCTCTGAAACAACGTTCAGTTAGAAACAAATCAGCTTTCGTTGTTTTTTCATGGCCTAGCAAGAGATACTGCACTTAAATAAAAAAGAACAGATCATGTATTATAGTGATTTTCCGTTATCATTTCGTGGTAACATATAACCTAATCAGATACCTCCACTCGGTTTTCGATAAACGTAGCTGCTTGGAGACTAATTTCTTATGAGAGTTTGCATTTCAGATAATAGTTGATAGAAGTTTATGTTTTAAACATGGTACCAGGAAATAATGTTGGCACTAATGGAGGTTTGCTGTCTGCTTTTCGTAATCTTCTCAATATGAGGATCCTTTTTCAAATTTGACACTTCCTTCGCACCAAGTTCATATTTCCTTATGCTGCTCCCCATGCAGAAGTTGTCTGGTTTTATTGATACAGAAATTCAAATCATTTATACAGGTAGTCATATAAGGCCAAGTACTGTAAAGTTTCCATGCAAGTGGCAAGGCTGTCAACATATATTTCCAAAATGCGTTGCCATTAAGGTAAAATCTTGCTTTTTACCTCTATCTTTGTATTTTATGGTAGTGTTTTTAGGATTGCTGTTAATTCGAACGGCTATTCCACACTCAAAGGTTGGTTGTAACTATGAAACGTTCCTTTATGGTGCAGCTTTATAATTCAAGTCGAGACTACCAGTTCAGAAAATCTTTTATTAACTGATAGGCATAGATAACAAAGAAAGCTCACTATTGAGATTGTTATTTAATCGCCAATGTTAGTAGAACTGAAGCGACCGCTATTTTGCTTGAATTTACTCTAGCATTCACACGAAGGTGATTTCAATCTTCCAAAACGTCAAGAAAGTTGAAGAGAAATTAGTAATTCAATATAATTTCGAATGTCACCTCTACTCGTAAACTCAAACTGCACGCAAATACTCACTTTGGTTGTAGAATGTAAGCGAATATAAGCGAATTTCATACTAGCGGGTAAGTCTCAGAATGTAAACAATTTGCGAAACCTCGTAAGTTGGTGCTGCTTTTTAACATGAAGACACCTTAAGATTCGAAAACTAAATTCAAATTTTCAACTTCCTTTAGGATTTCGATCTTGACGAGAAACACATTGAAAAACATGTTCAACTATCTTAAGACGACGAATCATTCAAAATTTCTGCTGGAAAAATCGGACCAAATTGCAGATCGAAACCGCACCTAACTGACACGGGGAAGGGATGGCAACAAACTTCCTTGTAGTGAAAATGGAAGGAATAAATCAATTTTGCAAATAATGTACTCAATAATATTGACTTTTTTGTGTACAGTGACTTTGTATGAATTTCATTGAGATTTTATGTATTCATATTTAAGAGACTTTTATTCATATTCAATCTTCATTGTTGTTGTTATTGTTGTTGTTATTGTTTTTGTTAACGTAATCACTATTATTCTTACATCTTTTATACTGAAAAGAGAACGTTAAAAACAATTTTTTTACCTGCAGTTTGAATATGCACAATCAAAGACTTATTACGATAACTTTTTTACGTTAAGAAACATCAATTGATTATTTATAAAAAATGTGAAGTAAAGAGATCGATCAAATATATGTGAAAGTACCATTTTCAATTTCTTTGCATACTAGATATCAGAAAATTAAAATTGTATTTACTATGTATTTTTAACGAAATTAAAAGACTTTTAAAATCATATTTTCATAGAGACTATGAAAAACTTTATAGACTAAAGCTCAAATTAACTTTTTCCAAAGTTCTTGTTATGTGGCTTGCAAATAAGAAATTTTTTTAAGATGTCAACTTTACGTCTTCCTGATTTTCATCTCAGAGAAGTTTATATCCCCAATTTTACTTTTCCAATGTCTCCAGGACATATATCTCCCCGAGGATGTTTGGCGTGTTGGAAATAACCCATTTAATGCTGCATAAAAGCAAGAATTATGCCACCAAGCTCCTCCATAGGAGACTGCGCAATTTCTTGAGTATTTGTCATTGTCTCGATCCTTCGTTGAAAATTGCATTCTGTTGTGATAGCTCAAGCTATCTTTAATATTACCACTGTAACCTGAAATCGCCAGCCGATAATTTTCAGTTTCACCAAATACTTCAAAGCTCTTGTACTTGGCAAAACCTTTTTCCCCTCCCACGTTTTCGAGGTTTATCATGAGCTGAACCCCACCTGACGTCAATGCATGTATCTTGTCAAGTCCTAGCCAAAAGTTACTTCTGAGATCTCCAAAACCCTTCTTGTAATCGACCCATCCTCGGTCAAAAGACGTACTTCCGTCCTTGCGTCTTTGCAAGACCGTCCATCCACCACCATCGGTATCCATATCGCAAAAGACATCGTATAGATCGACGCCGTTTATTGAAACTTTGTATACTCCGCTTGCTTTTGACCCGGCCAGCTTTAGTTCTTGGCAATCTTTAGGCTTGCTCTCTACAAAAAATTGGTTGTTAGAAAATGATATTGAAATAAAAACGTTTCAAGCGTTTTTGCAAAGTGAAAATTTTGTGTGCAAAATCAGAACGGAATAAAAATAAATGCTAACCTAATTTTAACGCTAGGAAGGTGTGTGAACTCTGATATTGAACATGATATGGAAGGAACTAAGACTACCCTTTAGTTCAAATTCTTAACAGGTCTGGAAGTTACTAAATCGAATAGTTCGCGGGTACGGGTACTGTCCGTATCGTGGCACACGCTCACATTTTCCCGCCCTGTATTTTCTCGAATCCTATCCTGCACTTACTCTTTTATACTTACTTTGCACGAAAACCAGGCTCTGCCCTGTGAATCTATTTATGCTGTTTTGTGCCAGACACTGGTACAATCCACTAGCCTCTGCCTTTATTTCTGATATCATCAATCTTCCATCTGGATCGACTTTAGCTGAACTAGGCATCGGGCCTCCGATCCTTTCCCACCTTATTTTTGGTTGAGGGTGGCCGTGAACCTTGCAGGAGATCTGGACTGACAAGCCGCTATATGTCGAGAGTCTTTCTGGTGTTACTTTTACTTGACCCAAAACTGAAAAACGAAAATGGCGAATTGAAAGAAATAATACAAGCTCTTCATTCTAATTTCATTTTCAACGTTTGGCTAAGAAAATTAGAAACTCTAACGGGCAGTATATATTGCACAGGGCCCAATATATATCATAGGTTTAACACTGCAAATTGTATTTTAAATATAACATGTAATGCCCAAGAACAAAGGGACTGTTTTTCAGTAAATACGCTTGTTTGTAGGTTGATAAAAATAACAGAGAGCGGAGGGCGAATCGAATGTCTTGAGAACGAGTCAGATAGTCACGGTCATGTTGCAGTGCAAACTGATGTAGGCAAAAGTGGGAACACAAACGCTTACCTCAGTCTCCTTTTGAAAGAGATCTCCAATCCCTGTCGTGCTGAAACTCATCTGCTACCAAATATTATTGGGAATTATGCTGTATACACATGGCTAGAACCGCTAAATGTTTTCCAGTTTTTATGAGGAATAATCTGTTCCCACGGATGATAAGTTCCAAATGTCTTGTACAATGACGTTTTTTAAGACAATGTTGTTCCTCTACGTTCGATCTCAATATGTTTTCATCGAAGGATTGATAAATGTAACAGTTTTCAGGAGAATTAAAGATTTGATGTAAAACTTTGTTGCCAGAGCACATCCCCCCCCCCCCCCGTATGCAAAGATTCCAGGTACCTCTCCCTGTTAGGTTAAGACGTATCCTGGGTACCAGACTCACTGTATGACTCCATTGAGATGGAAGTACTATATATACTGAAAATCTTACTGTAATGAAACTGGAGACGCTGGTCAAAAAACCGATTTTCATTCTTTAATGCATAACCTCCCTTCTAAGGATTCACACAACGATTATAGAGTTTAACTTACAATGAACCTCTAGATTCGCCTGTGCACTTGTGTTGCCAAGAATGTTTTCAGCGATGCACGTGTATATTCCACTGTGTTCTGGCTGGGCACTTTCTATCATGATTCCCATGCCATTGATGTTTTTCACTCTCCTTTTGGCATCGCCCAAATCCTTCTTTGGGAAGCTCCATCTGACATCTGGCTGCGGATTGCCTTCTGCAATGCAAGAGAACGTCACAGCTGACCCTTGCCTCGCGGTTGTGTTTACTGGCTTTACAGTTATCCTCGGTTTCTCTATTGATAAGCCCGGTGGCCCCCTTGGACCAATGTCGCCCTTTTCACCTTTATCGCCATCTTGACCTTGAATGCCTCGCCTCCCAGGAGGCCCAATCAACCCACGATCCCCTTTAGGACCCCGTGGTCCAGGTTTACCCCGTGGTCCTCGATCCCCAATTGTGCAAACAGCTGTTCTGTTGCATGCTCTGTTCTGCTGCTGATAGGGCGAATTATGTCTTTTGAGTTCATCAAGCCATTGCTTTACCACAAATTGAAGCTGATACATTTGCCCATTTGCATGCCGTTTCAAACGTGCGTGACTCTTGAGAGGCGATTCTGTTAGAAACATACATGTTTTAATATTTTGAAAACTACTTAAGTTAAGTAATTGTTTAAATATTTGGATCAATAAAGCCAAGTATTGTTTACCAGGTTAAAAACAGGTTTTCTTGACTGTCATCAAATGCTGCAACAACTGCTCAAGGATTCTTTTTTATATCGAGAAAGGAAATTTAAAGCAAAAATCAGTCAAAGTCAAAGTGCAAATTGCAATTGATGCACCGTAGATCCTCGAATAAACCCCCTTGCGTTTAAAATAGGTAATTTTTAGATGGGGGCTTATTCGAGGGAAGGGGGGCTAACAAAAATAATCTTAGAGTTACCATGCAAATAGCCCGTTATGAACTTATTTCAAAATTTTCAAGTACACTCCATTAACTATTTTACCTGAAGAGCCTTTCGATAATATAAAACAAAAGTAAAATCAAAACACAAAAAGGTGTTAAGTCAAAAATATTAATGTGTTCATTGTCTTTGGTGGTCTCTTCGTCAGTTTCTCCATAATTAAACATTATCCATTCGTCCCTGAATGTGTTATAATTATGGATTTAATAAAGCTATTTTCTGTTCTTTTTTTCTGAACTTTTTATCAATTCTCATTCCACGGTTGGGGCTTACTTGAGGGGAGGGGGGTTATATGGGGGGGGCAATTCCAGGATTTGAGGTTCACTAATTTTCTAAACGAAACACACTGTTAGGAACGAGTACTAGACAGACAGAAATATTAAGGATTGTCCTGAACATAAAATACAAGCAACATAGAATGGGTGAGATGAAAAAATAATGACAAAATTGCACCAAAAGGGAATATCGCACGCCCGTAGCTAAGAGGTGGCATGGGGCAATTCTACCCTGGATCAAGAGCATACCAGCTGTTTGCAACCCCGAGAATTGTCTCTAAACTTTTTAATGGCGTTTTCGTAATTTTCATTGGATTGTCATGACAATTTGAGTCAATCAAATATTGGCGGAAGGAAAATTGTTTATTTGGGTCTATTATTATTCATTTAGGACTTAAGATGGTGCCTGGCGCTCAGAAAACTTTTGCTGCTAAGCAAAAACTTGAAATGAAACATTGCTGAAACGTCTCCCTGCAACAGGACTGGAGAGTTTGCCACCCCTACCCCACAGGCCTGGATACGGGCTTGATTTGTCGGCCCTTTTGAAAAACTTAAAAGAAGAGCTGAACATGTTCGTTGTAGGCGGAAATACTCACCATCACGGCAACAGCGGATCAGTTCAAAATTCTACTCCATACGGCAGTAGTCAAGGCGCTACGGGGATTCACACTGGAAATTTTTGCGGGCAATTTAGAATTCCAGTGGTCTGAGACCTCCAAGTTACCTCAGTGGGTCATCCAGCTAAAGTTTTGCTAGCGCTGTTTTAGGCCTATATCCATTTGAGGGCGCCATTTTCTTATGCGTAAGACTTCTCGAACAGGTCCTGGTGATTCTAAAAAACGCTCTATTTTTCCAGCTGATTCAAAACAAGCCTTGTTTAAATCATTTCTTGAAATATCTGCAGAAAGTGTTAAGGGATTTGCCCTATTCTAAAGGAGTGGTTATATGGATGAGTTCTCGAAAGATATGTCACGGATAAATCTTCTCAACTCGTATTTCTTCAGCGTTTCTAACGTTGTCAGATGATCTTTTTAATTGGAAGTTCTTAGAGGCTTGATGGCAAATGAAAGTGAAACAGGGGATAAAGGGGTCATTAAAGAAGGGGTTGGGTGGGGTCGAATCAGGCGTGAAGAGCTGGGGCCCCCTTGTAAATCGTGCTGTATACCTTGGGCTGAGCCCCCTTTTAAATGCCAAAATGCAGCATTTTTCTACTTTTGCAATAGTTTCTGCAAAATGAAAATTTTTATTATTCTTTTGAAATCTTTTTACATAATCTAAATATCTTTGGTTATTAAACAAATTTGTCGAATTTGGTAAATCTCACTTGAGTTGATAGTCTTTCAAAAATATATCCTCATGTGTAACTGGCGCATTTTAAATTACATATATATATATAAGCAATTTACATTGTAAAATATATCTTCTGTGTGGTCTTTTAACTAAACAGAAACCCGATGCTATTTCAAAAGGAAAATGCAACAGCGTGAACAGCTCTGCCTATACGGTATCGAGCATAATATGACAGACCAGTAAAGAGTTACTTTCATTACTTTTAGAATTTAACTTTTATTAGGGACTAGTGGTAAAAGGTTTCACCCGGAATGATTTTTGCGGACAAGTCTCTACGATACAATAGCAAAGGTGAAAATTGTTGACCGATAAAATGCATGCTGGTAAATTCTAATTTGAGGTCAAAAAATCGTGCATTGCGTGTAGCAAGAAAACAGGGGAAAAGCTGATGGGGAAACTTCATGCACAAAAGCTCGACACTTTTTGGGCGAGAAAGCACACTCGAGGCAAACTTGTTGCAGTAGTAAGGAAGGGTGTCTTTTCTCACTTGTTGCATCTTACCATTTACTCTCTGTGCCACTACTTTTGGTGTGGTTTGGGGCATTTACAGAACGGGGCAGTAAATTCAATTGATATATTTGAGCATCAATATAACCTCGTTTTAAATCAGAATTTGAGGGCCGACTATTGTATTTTTAAAAACATCAAATAAACGGTGCCTTTCAAGGCATTTAATTTTCTGTTGCCATCTGTTACCATGAAAGGCACTTCTGTAATCGTTAGCCTTAAGCATGCAGTGCAGTCATTGGAGCTGTAATGGATTCCAAAAGGTTATCGTGTATCGCCTTTGCATCAAAAATTTGAGTTGTTATTTCGATACCAATTCGCACGTACACAGTGACCTGTCATGTCGCTGTCACTTTTTAAAAACTGGCATGTTGATGTCCAATGATTTCTGCATGTTACCGGCGTTGGTTGTCGACAGGGAATTTTTAACAACAATCGAGCAAAGTGCCTAACCCAATGAGGTAGTTTTTGCTCTTGATTTTAGTACTTTCAGCCTTGCTGAATATTTTAAGCCTTGGATACATTTTTTGAAACACAATTGAAATCACGTGATCGATGACGTCATTTTCCCTGGTCATTAAAATTTTTAATTCTCTTTTTTGAAAGATCGCTCCAGCCATTTTAGACATTTTAGAAATTGACTGAAGGGAGGGGGGGCTAAACACCCAGACAGTGGCGTCGCCAGCTCGAAAAAACTGGGGTGGACAAAAACAAATTTTCTCAGCCACGAACTTCATACTTTTGAAAAATCCTTTTTTAGTTTTTTCATCCGTTTTGAAATTTTTGGACAAGCAACTTTATCAAGCAGCATTTTTCGTAACGGTGTGCGAAAATCGAAATCGATCTGATCGACCCGACTCCCCCCTCCCCTCAAAGGTTTTTCAATGGATTTCGAGAAAATAGAAAATCGACTTCTGGGAAAACTGGGGTGTCCACCCCAGTCCACCCCGTGGCGACGCGACTGCCCCCGGAGCCACCCCACTTCCGCGGTCCCTGGTCAAAAGTACTTGAAACACAAAGCAATTTGCGTTGCTTTCTAATGTTTTTCAATTCTTTTCCCGAAAAATCCTTTTTTATTACCCCTTTCGCCCTAAAAAATGTTGATAATTTAGAAAAAATATCACGGAAGTCGTAGAAAAAAGCGTACACATCCTATATGTCGCTTTGTAGCAAACCAACATTGTTCAAAGAGGGGAAGGGGATTGGCTGAATTTGCCCTTGAAAACTGACTTTAGTGTACCAAGACAGGACCAAGACGTTTGGGAGGCAGAGGGCTGGCATTGTACAAGCAACTACAAGCAAATTTTAATTTGCGCCAGCGCCCCAGTCCACAAATGGTTTTGTGGACTGGGGCACAGACTACACTATCATATTACCTTGTTGTTTGTCATCACACAAGAAATGTGAAGCAAATTGTACACATTGTACTCATAATTATGAGTATGTGTGTCTTTAATTATGATAAAGGTAACAAGTTACCTAAATAGAATTAAGAATGCAAATGACATAGGTAGAAAACGAACAAAGAAGGATAGTACAAATATAATGCAAGGAAGGAAAATGAACATATGGAATTCAATGGCCTAAATGATGCAAAACGACGCTGGAATAAAATTACCTTTGAAAATTTCTTTGACCATCCCGAAGACTTTCTCAGCTGTCATGTCGTTACTTTCTTCCCGACGAGTTTTCAGCATTAAATTAAGCTTGTCTTCCATCACCGTTAAACGTTTTTCCTGGAATACAATAATTCCTGCTTCCCACACAATCGCAACTAAGAACATAACAAGCAACATTCGTGCTGTTCGATCACAACATTTGTGTCTGTTAGAAGAGTACATGGAAAGTGTCCCTTGTCTGCTTCCATCTTTCTCCGCCATTTTTAGACTGTTCTGTTTTTCGAAAGTCTGCTGTGTTTTTGAAGGCGACAGTCCAGTCCAGTATGAAATACTGATGGTAGAAATTTCAAATAAGAGGTTCGGAAGTTTTTGTGTTCAACATCCGGTTTCGAGTATCTAGGTTTCGCTGTCTAGTATCGGGGGCCCGAGATAAGTGATTCAGCTGCAGAACCAACAAAAGCATTCACGTGTTTTTGTCATTTCAATCTTTATTCTAGCTTTTGTTTTTCCATTTTATAAAAAGTTGATTTTTATTAAAAAAACTTTTACCATGTAACTCTTAATTCAATATAGGAAATGAAATAAATAAATTTGTATTTAATATATCAAAGAATAAGAATAAAGTTTTTTCTAAGGCAGCCTTTCCACTTGCCTGGGTTTAACCCATTTGAAAAACGGATACATTTTAACCCGTTTTGGTTTCAACCCTAAATGTAAAGGAACAAAGTTTTACTTCATTTTTGTCATTTATTGTCATTTAACCCAAATGTAGTCGCTTTTTTCCAGGTTTTTTTCTCTGATTTAGTAATATAAAAAAAGAATGAACTATTTGAAGGTGGCTTTTAAGGTTACGGTAAACGTTTTTGACACGATATTTGGTTTTCTCTCCCTGAAAGCAAAACAATTAACGAAATCAGATTAAACTATACATCATTCGATGCACAAGAATTTGGCGATTTCAACCATATCAAAATAATTAACAAATATTGTAAAATGATACTTTCCAGGCAAATTTATTGCTCAAATGATTGTACCACCTTCAAATTTATACTTTTTTACATTATACTTATTTTGTACATTTTTTTCATTTTTTATAATATTTATACAGGTTAAAGGTTCATACATATGTTTTTCAACCTGACCTGTTTAAAAGAATAAAATAAGAGCTAATAACTATGTTAAAATACTAGTAACAAAAGAAATTTATCAATCAAACCTAATTTATAATATCTAATAATACTAAGGCTATAAAAAGTGAACGTAAAGATGAAATAAAAGTTGTCCCCGACTATAGTTGTTCTTCGAAGGTTTTGAGGGAGGGGGCCAATTTGGTAGCCCTTTCTAGATTATTCCACAGTTTTGGACCGCGATAAGAAAAAGCCTTTTGGCCATTTATTGTTTTTAGCAGCGGTATCTTAAGATCAGTTTCTGATGAACGCAGAAACCGTTCTCTATCATCCGAACATTTTTCGAATAATTTTCTCAAATAGTCTGGTGCAAGCATATTTAGAGATTTGTAAGTTAGCGTGGCTGTCTCCTTTCTTACAAGATTTCTGATGGTTAACCAGCCAAGATTCTGAATTATCGGAGCAGCAGACGCATCGTATGGGCTGCTAGTTACAATTCTGGCAGCTCTATTTTGGATTTTTTGCAACACGTCAAGCTTTGATTCATTACAGCAGCCCCAAACGGAACAACAGTAGCTCAAATGGGGCTCAACAATTCCTCTATACATTTTGTTGAGGATGTCAGATGGAAGATATTTCTTATAATACTTAATAAGTCCAAGGGCTCGATTAGCCTTGGTCTTGATAGTATCGATATGCTTGTCCCAGTTGAGCTTACTGTCTATCTGAACACCTAAGTATCTTGTGTTGGTGATCATTTCAATGTTCTGATCACCTATTGAAAAAGAAAAAGATGGTGGAGCATCAGGCTGGCTTTCGATCTTACGGATGTTTGGACTAGAGCCTATAACAAGTGACTGCGTTTTCACTACGTTCAAGGAAAGTTTATTTGCATGCAGCCAATCTTGTAGTTTCAAAAGATCTAAGTTTAGGTCATTTTGAAGGTCACCAATACTTTTTGAAGAGAGGGAAATGGCCGTGTCATCAGCATACATGCTGACATGAGATTTTTGCAAGGAAAAAGGCAAATCATTGATGTAAATCAGGAACAAGAGTGGACCAAGACAAGAGCCTTGGGGAACTCCACAATTTATTCCCCTCACATCAGAGGAGGTGCCATCCACCCTGCAGAATTGTTTACGATTTTCCAAATATGATGTGAACCAGTCATGTTCCAGGCCGGTCACTCCGTACATATTCATTTTTTCCAGTAGGATTTTATGATCGACCGTGTCGAAAGCCTTCTTCAAGTCAATAAAGACTAGACCAGTGTATTTTCCTTTATCTATATTCAGGTACCAATCATTGGTGCTAGCTAGAAGGGCTGTGGCTACCGAGTGTAAGAGTCGAAAATCCGACTGATGCTCATATAGTGATTTATTCGCATCCAGGTATCCATAAAACTGATTGAAAATTAATTTCTCAAATAGCCTAGATATGAAAGGAAGAACTGATATTGGTCTATAGTTCGATCTGTCATCCTTTGCGCCACTCTTGAAGATGGGTGCAATACGCGCTATTTTCCAGTCCTCCGGAAATTTTCCTGCAAACAATGATTTATTGAAGAGATCACACAAGGACCCACCAACAACTGGCAAAGCAATCTTCAAATAAAAGCTCGCAATGCCATCGTGACCGGAACCATGCGATGTCTTCATCTTATTCAAGGTTGATGATAATTTATCTGCCATGATGGCCGAAAAAGAAAAACTTAATGGAGGAGTTTCAAACGGGTATTCACCAGACAAGAGTGGATTGGCTTTCTTTGGAATTTTCTCACCACCACGCAGCTTTCTAACACAATATACAAGATAATGGTCACTAAGACTAATCTTAAGCACTCCACTCTCTGCAATATTGTTACAGTTTGTGGTAGCTATATGATCAATCAAAGTTGAACTATCTAGCGTGACCCTAGTGGGCTCTTTAATAATCTGCTTCATATCAAAAAGGTCGTACAGCTCACGTAACTGCATAATATGGCTCGGAGTATTGTCTCTATAACAGAAATCACAGTTAGTATCTCCTAGAATAATAATTCTTTTCCCCTCTCCATCAAGAAAGCTCAGGTTTTCATGAAGGCTGTCAAAGCAAGAATTAGGCTCACCGGGTGGTCTATACCAAGCTATGACAATGAACGGATTTTAATTCGGGTGCTCTACCTCTATGCAAATCAACTCAAGCGATTTATTAGGAAGATCTTCCCGGGGTTTAAACCTGACTGTATTTCTGATATAGAGAGCAACACCACCACCTCGCCTACTCCTATCATATCTACAAAGAGAAAAATCATCTAATGAGATAAGCCTGTCGTCAACTTTGTGATCGATTTTGGTTTCATTTATGGCCAAAATATCAATGTTTTCATTTTTTACAAGCGACCGTATTTCATCAATCTTCATAATGAGGCTATTTACATTTAATGATGCCATGGTCACACCCTTTCTTCGCCTCAAAGGGCAAATAACAGGCCCTTGAACGGCATTTGCATCGACACTACTAGAATTGTTAACAGGCTCTGAGTTTGAAATGGAATTAGCATTTATAACGAAATTAGGGACCAGACCCTCCCCGTCATTACACGAATAAAACTCATTGCTATAAAGATATTGTTCGAAGTTTTTCTATGATGTTCTTGGCAAGTTGTCTGTTGCCTTCGAAATTTAGATGTAACCCTCTCTTACCCAGATGAGTACTTGTGATGTTTTGTTGGCGCAGAATGTCCATGTTCATCATTTTCAAAGCACGGTTGAATTCACTAACTTTTCCATTAAGGAACTTTTTATCTTCACGCCTTACAATTTCAGAGACGATGATATTATAGTCTGGAATGGATGCAAGTATCCAATCACAGAGGGATTTGATGCTTTTCGTCATTTCAGCGGCTGACAGGTTCACCAAATCATTTGTTCCAACCATTAGGATGATTTTCGCGGGCTTCTTTTTGATCAACGGTTTCAAATAGTCATACAAATCAGCGATCGTAGAACCTTTGAAGCATCGCACCTTTGTGTGGTATCGCTGACTTAGGGTGTTTTCGTGAATGTTTGACAACATACTATCTCCTGCGATAAGATACCCTTGCGTTTAAGGTAAAACAATCTGATATATCAGCAGAAAGCGCAGATCCTTAGCTACCAATGTGTGTCTCAGAATTTTCAAATTCTTCCTCCCCTTGAAACTATACCCTGTCAAAAATTGGCAAACAATTTTTCTTCCCTCTCATAGCTGTATTTGGCTATAAAAGACGGACCAGGGCAAATACAAAAATTTTGAGACACCCTTTGGTTACCCTACATCTGTCCTGGCCGTGTGCAAAGTTTTGAGCCATTCGATTGGTTCCTTGGGTACAAAATAGCTTTTTCGTACTTGTATGTAGACGAATTGTAAGTCCGGAGAAAACGGGATTTTACCGATCGCACTTGCAAGAGAGACATGCGACCACGACCGCAAAGCAACGATAATCGGCTTAACAGATCAAGAGATTTTCAGGCCTCAACTAAATTTCAGATTTTCAGAGATTTTCAGGCCTAGATTTTCAGTTCTGATAAAGGAAATATGGAAACCTTCGTTTACATGGGATTTTTTCCATTTTCAACATTTCTGTTAGTTTCAAATTTGGTATCATTGTGTGCCTTGAAAGCTCGGCTACTTGAATGTCGAAAAAATCGAAAAATGAATGTTTTCATCCAGAAAATGTTTACCGTAACCTGAAGGGAGGTAATTTTGCAAAAACTTATTTTTCTTGAATTTTTTTGCAAATTTCTTAGGCGCTAATTTTGTGTATCGACCAAATTCGTACATTCCATGGCCTTCATGGGAAATTATTAAAAAAACTGTCGTTTTCAAATAGCAAATAATCTTACGTTGGAGTTGGAGCGTTCGTTTACCCCCGCATTACGTGATTGCAACGAGTTCCATAAAGTACGCGGGCATCACCGAATGTACTTAAAGATCTTTAGCAGGGCCGGTTAGACTTTGGGCCGGGGGCCTAGGCCCCATAGGCAGTGGTGGCTCCAACCTGGAATAAGTGGGGGGGGCAAAAGGTGTGTCAGGGACCACACCCTTTGGACCACGCCCTTTTCCCTGTTTGAAGCATTTTCTTCCGGAGGAATCACCTCTTGTCTCCCAAGAATGTGACGATCTTGGGAGACACCAGGGCCGTAAATCTGTCATGTCAATTGGGGGGGGGTCAGCAGAGCGAATAAATATGTAAGTGTGCAGTGGGTCATGGCACCACCAAACAATTTGATGTGGCAAACGACTTAAAAAACAAAACAAAAATGTTTTCGATTTACTAAGGTTTTTTCAGCTCTATAAAAGGTATTTACATATATTTCTTAGCACGTTGACTTTTTTTATAGTTGAGTTGATAACATTTTTCAGAGACAGTTTGAATAAATTAAACCTGGGGGGCTGAGAATCACGTTTAGTGATGTAGAAGAACCAAAGTATCTTTGGAAGAACCCAACATGGTTGGGGACGACGTGAAAGGAAATTTTTGAAATCATACCTTCTAAATATCTGCTTGTGTCCCCAATTAGCTTGTAAGCTAAATATTTTTTGACACATTAATAAAGTTTTTGATTGATTGATTGATTGATTGATTGAATAGCTATAAAAGCATCTCCCTGACCAAGTTTAACAAAATACTATACCGTTCAGGACAGACAAATCGACGTTTCTCAGAAGAACACAGATTATTGTTTCTGGGAGAAATTGGGAAAGGGAAGAGTCTAGTGACAGATATTGGGGAAATGCTTAAACTCTAGTGACAGACGTTGGAGAAAAGAAAGAAAAGATGTTTTCTATTCGAGAGCAAGCGTTTTTATTCTTGAAACCATATCGGATTCGAAAAATGATTAGGATGTATCCAAGAACATACTCGGGCTCCAAATGAAAATTTTCTTAAAAAAATCAAGGATGGACAAAATTTGTTGCATTCTAATAACAAAGAATTTAGTTATTGCTTCTCTCTATATAAAATGCAAAAGTACTTCTTTGTTGACGTGGTACTTTAACGCAGATTAAAAATTGGCGTAAATTACGCAAATTTATTTTACTCCTTGCCCTCTTTTTCTTCTGGCCTTGTTCCTTGTTTCTGTGCAGTTAAAAATTAAGGAGCTATTATGGAGATCTTGGTACCTCAATTTGACTAAAAGAGGTTCAGAAATTAGGCACTTTAGGACCTAGGTTTTGAGTTTGGATTTTTATAAAAAGGCGTGTATGAAAATATGTGTAATATGGGTTTATCGAGATTTATGGCGACTTAAACGATTCTTTTCTTACATGCTTTTTTAGATTTATTTAAGGGGAGACCGGTGGATAAAATATTTGGGCATGGTCACCTAATTTTCCCTCCATGGGCATCGTCACCGACTCGACACCACTCTGCAAACATAAATAACAGCCATCTTCAATAGTCAACTTGCGCTTGGCAATAGTCACCATGACATAGTGGCTGAGGTATGTTGCAATAACTCAGCAAAACTTTGTTAGGATAATTTCTTTAAAATTAAATGACGATAATTTCTAGAAAAATCGTTTTGCTCCAGATTTTGGGGGGGGGGTCCAGTCCCCCCCCGTCCCCCCGGGATTTACGGCCCTGGGAGACACATCTAGATCACATTCTTGTCATTTGAATGTGACGATCCATATAACGTACATTACCCCCCCCCCCCCCGAAGTTTTATCATCAGGTTTGCGAAGGAGCAACTTTCTGAAAAAGGAGGGGGGGGCATAGGTAATCCGCCACTGTTTGTGCAAGGAAGCTTCTATGCTTGCACTGGAAAATGCCCTAGGGACTGGGCGGAACGAGGGTGTGTATTGATATTAAAACGAGACAAAGCACGCATGTGGCTCATGGCTGATACGTTTCTTGTCATTTTTGATTTGGAAAATAATCCACTGCTGGGCTGAAAATTAAATCTATCTATATTTAAAGATGGAAAACGAGAATAAAGGAACAGTAATCATTGCAGGCGCTGGCTTGGTATGTTTTTTAAGTACACTCGACAGATAAAGGCCTAATCGCCAAAGTAAAAACAAATGAAACTTCGTTTATTGGTAGACCTAAATTTCACCTAAATTTCACGTCATTTCACCTAAATTTATATTCAGCTACACTAGGTTCAAAATAGTGCATTGGTTGCTGTAAAAGCAAATGTTTCACTTGAATTGGATTAGCAAACGAATTTTTTGTTCTAGCAATATTTATGCAGACTGGATAAAAATTACATAATAAGCCCAGTTAGGGAAGGCCTGACTATGCTGTTCGAGAACCTAAATTTGTCTTCTGTTTTTTTATGACAAGGCATCTACCTGCTCAGCAAACATGAAGTTTAATGGTTTGTAAATTTTCGAATTTAAAAATTGTTTTATGACTAATAGTTGATAACATAGCTATATAAACGTTTCTCAATTTTGATTTTGTGTAAAAATACTTTCAGTAAAGAATTTTTCATTGTAGGTTGGATCACTTGATGCACTTTATTTTGCCCAGTATGGATTTGATGTTCATGTTTATGAAAGCAGACCAGGTGACAAGTTCAGCAGTTTTCCAACCCTTTTTGGGGGTTATCCAGCTTTGTTTTTTTAATATGGGTCGATCTGATCCTTCATTTTTACCAAATTTTTAAATGAAATCGCATAATCCAACTTTGTACTTTGAGCAATCAATGAATCTGAGATTGGAATTGTTTACCAGACACTACCCTAAAGAACATATAAATGAAGGTTTCAAAGATATGTCAGCAAACCACAGAAAATGAAGCCTGATTTCCATCAGTTTCCAGGGACTTATCTGTTAGCAATGGGGCTTATTTCTTAGTGCAGGCAAATGAGTAGAATTCAACAAAAAGTTCTTTGTTGTCATAAACAAACTCATACAATGCTGGACTTTTAAATCTGAAAATAACAAGATAGGGAACTTCAGCTGTTTCTTAACTGAAAACAAGTTGTAATCTTAATTGTACAACTGCCATCCAACAGTTTACCATTAGTTGCAAATTTTATGTTTTCCACCTTAATGATGTATCCTTGCTGGATCAAAAGTAACATGTAAATTCTGCCTGTGTCTGTGCTATACATCAAAATGTTAATTTAATTCTAAATGCTATTGGCTTACAGTAGTCATATCATCATGACCTTATTGATCTGATAGTCTGTGATCAAAACTCAAAATTTGCATGATCCATTGCTGTGAAAGTTGCTTTGGGTAGTGAGTTAGGTGAGTAGTATCTTTATCAACACATAAAAAAGAGAGATGAAGTTGAGCCAGATTTAGAGGATGGTGATGAAAGTGAGAATTTTGAAGATGTTTGGATTGAGTTCAGACAGTGGACAACAACTGGTTGAACTCACTTAACATTGAAATGATACTTCCACTAACAGAATTTATTGATGATCCAGGCCTGGCCATTTGTATTTTTACAGGTGAGCTGTGAATCACTCCCCTCATTTGCTAAGGCGATCTGAATCAGTAACACATAGAATGTAATCTAAAGACAATCAACAGATGACTTAAGCCCCTTTAGTATCTGTCAGTTGCCTTTAATAGCCTCAGTCGGGAGTATGCTGTTTTACTTCTTTCAATTTGTATTTGCTTTAACCTTGATTTAAGCACCTTTACTTAAAGTAATTAAAAGAGCTGACTTTTTCAGTTTCATGTCAAGCTGGCACAACACCAAAACAACATTTCTCTTGCCAAACAATCTTTTTGTTGTACAGAATTTGAAAATTGCTTTGAGAAACAAATTTTGAAACAAACTTAAGTTATTGGTCTAGCACTTTTCAGAATATAAAACATCAGAACATAGATGGAAAACTCTATGTTAAAATACTCAGTTTTGGATCGAAATAGGCCAATCAGAAAACGCAAACACATAACTGTTGAGGTTGTTCAATCAGTTCCGCTTGCCTGTTGAGAATGTTACCAATGGAGTCCTAAGGTGAAAACGAACTTATTCTATCTACACAAAAGCGGTCTGTCATGTTTATATAGTAGATAGATTCACAAACTGCTAGATGGAACGATGATCAGGCTTGCCAATAATGCAAAACATGTCACCGTTATAGTTTTTCACCCAATCTGAGTTTATCAGTAAATGCCACTGGATAGTGGAATGCCATGTTTTGGTTGTCGTTCTTGATCTGCAAGACAGAGTACCCTGTTCTCTTTGAGGGATAGTTTTGTTTCTATTGCTGGAAGGGATCTGCTGTTCTATTATATCCCCCAATCTACAATTCCTACCAATTTCTTTGACTTCTCTTCCAAAAATATGCCTGTTTTCTTAAGATTGAAAGGTTCTAATCGCTACAAACATACCTTCCACTTAACTATTCCCTTTCCAAATAGATCAAAGTTCATGCCTATCATAACAAAAACCGCCCAACAAGCAAAAAGTTAATTGCAAAAAACGCAATTACGGGAAAAATCGCTTTTACAAGAATAAACCAATTAACCCTTGTACGTTTTCAGGGTTCTCTGAATAGGAAAAGGGCAAATGAATGGAAATTTTAGGGGAGCGATTCTCCCTTCATGTTCTCTTTAGAAGAGCAATTCATAGCTCGCAGCAGGTTGCGACGGGAGCGTGGAATCACTCGCCTCAAACGGCCAGGCCTGATGATCTTAGTGGAAAGTTGAACAAAATCACTGCTCACACTTTTGTTGCATGATCACAATGAAGCCAATAGCCTTGGGTGACTAGTGCAAGATGTGTACAAGATGAGATCTAGGGACACCATTCTAGAACCAAAGTCACTGCTCATGAGATCTAGAACCACAGTCACTGCTCAACCAACCCCATTGTTATGTACTTAAGGCATAATTATGTCCTCATTGAGTCTTCCATCTACATATTATTGATGATTTGGAACCAGTGGCGGACACTTGGTCAAATATTGGGGGGGCAAGCCTATTGTTTTAATAAGATGACGTCACATTTCCCATTGTTTTAGAACAAAAGTCCATTGTTCTCTAAAGTATTGGGGGGGGCGGTCGCCCCCCCTCGCCCCCCAAGTGTCCGCCACTGTTTGGAACATGATATCTGATTTGTTTACGAAGTGCTACAGGAAGGTCAGTGGCTTGCATAAAGAATAAGCTTTTTAGATATTGCTTGTGAATATGCTTCACAATTGAGGGACTTTTTTTAATTGAACATCATTGTCAACTGTTATCCCCTGGTGCGCAACTGTCCCAAATGGTGCGCAAGTATCTCTCTTTGTGACCGTGCCTCTTTTAGCCCATCAACAACTTTAGCTAGCCACAACTATGTGTTTGTTTCTCGCAATGTTATGTCATGTTTTTTTCTTTTCAAAGTTGGGAGTTTGCTGTACATTGCAAAATCTACCGAAAGTTACCTTACTGTATATTTTATCTTATTGTAGACCCACGAAAGGAAGAGATTGTTGCTGGACGTAGCATTAACCTAGCCCTATCCAAGAGAGGCATCGAAGCACTGAAAAAAGTTGGTGTTGATGTTGCGGTAAGCAGATATTTCTTTCATTTTGAGGATATATTTTATAGTTTTCCTTTCTTATATTCTTGCCAACTTATTTAAGTAAATTTGCATTTTTCTAATGTTGAAATTTTAATTACAATGATAGATATTTCGGTGGAGAATGCAAATTTAATTCCAGAATGCTCAATAAATAAAGTAACCCACGAGACCAGAACAAATATTTGTTTCCAAACAAAGAGCTTAAGATTTTAAATGGGTGGAAACATCTATATAATCCCAGACATTATGAAAATTGACCTAAGTATGAGTGTTAACGGAAAGGGGATTGCATACAAACTGTTTTGTACATTGGAATCTAATACCCACATACTTTAGAAGTTTAATGTTCTTATGTTGTCATTCTATTACATGTTGAATATGTTTTGTAGTTCCTCTGATTTCAACATATATACGATTAACTTTTATCCAGGTAACTTCCAAAGGAATTCCAATGTATGCAAGAATGATTCATTCTCATTCTGGAGAGAAAACGCCTATCCCATATGGTAAAAAGACCCAGGTCAGTAAAGTAAGGGTTTCCTGCTTAAGATACCATATTCCCCAGGAAAGTACTCTGGACGTACTACAATCCAGAAATATATGGAGAGTACTCTGGATGTACTACAGACACCTATACGAAGGATACGTATATTGATGGCCATTATGATGCAATCTAAAGGCTGTTATTTGTAAGAAGGTGCATGTCTTTTTTTGTAAGTAGTATAACCAAATGGAATTTTTGATTGGAATGATTGATTGTTATATTGATTCGTTGGATTGGGTAACTGCTGTTATTGGAGTGGTAGGTTTGATTCTGGTGGCTGATTTGATGTTTAGTATCGCTGATTGGTCAGTGCGACCTGCTGGGTTAACTGATTTGCTTGCTTTATTGATACCAAAGCTATGACTGATGAGCCTTGCTATTTTGACATTTATGGTTTATAACCACTGACCATTGGCATTATATTTCATATTTTTGCCCATCCTGTCACCTAAAGATTTGCGTTGTTAAATTCTTCAATTGATTTTGATCAATTTTCATGCTTTGATTTATAGCATATTTTGTCAGTTGACAGAAGAAAGTTGAACGAATTACTGATAGATGGTAAGTTTGTGGTTACTTTGTTTGTGGTTACGCATCGAAAATTCTGGGTCGATGGTCCGTTTAAGAGCTCATTATCTCAAAATTGGCAGGTATTTTCGTCTTTTCCTTCTCAACGGGGACGCTATCAACCTGTCTCCAACAACAATTCAACAAGCAAACTGTTAGGCGAAAACTTGTTGAAAGTGTCAAGTATTGTTAATCCAAACAAACTTGAACTTCTTGTCTGAAACGCTTCGCGTCAGAGTATAAATACTAGAAAAGTTCAATATATATCCAATATAAATATATATCCGTTGGTAGATCGAAATTGATTAATAAGAAACACGAGCGCACGTGACTCGTAAAGTTGCCCAATAAGTGCCGCTGGCATATCAAAAATATTTCCAATGGAATCATGAACTCCTTCTATCTACACAATTAGCCTGTTTAGATCCAAAACGGGGTATATATTTATATATTTATATATATATATTTCCTAGCTTGGGGTTTTTGATCATATTATCTGAAGTTTGATACTCTGAAGAGCGTCAGATGAGAAGCCTAAGTTTGTTTTAATATATTCACTTTTTGAAGCCATTTTTAGTTTTTTTTTCTTGATAATTCAGCGGGGAAAGACCCTTTTTTTAACTTTATTGCAGTCGAACATGACAGTAGAAAGCTAATCGGAGAAAGTTTATTTGCAATCAAGAAACTTATGTTTCAGCTCTAAGTTTTGCATCTAAGTGCTCGATACTGTACTCAGAGGCTAAAGTATTGCTTCGATAGCAATAGGTTTATCCCAATATATCTTCACTTCTTAACATTCTGACCGACCAGCCTCAAACAGAGGAAGAAAATGAACCCTGGTAATATTTTTTTGCTGCTGCTGAATAAGCCCCCACCTTCGAATAAGCCCCTCTCGCTCGTATAAGCCCCCACACAAAAGTATTTTTTGCGAAATAAGCCCCCGAGGTCTTACTCGAGGACTTACAGTGTGATAATGATGTCTTTTTGTATGCAATGAGTTGCAAGAAAGATTGCTTTAAAAGAATCAGAAAGAATCAGTACTAGAAAGAATCAGCTATTTGTTGGACGCCTGCTTCGTAGCCTGCAGGCAAATTTCACTTTCAGAATATGAGATACTGCTTAATGTGGTATTGATGCATTGTATGCTATGTGTCGTTTTGGTATGTTGTTACACTGATATAGAGTGTGCTGCTAAAATAGCAATTTTTGACGCGTTAACCTGAATTTCTGTTGTTCTTATTGCAGAAGCTGAAAATAACCCAAACGTCCACTATCACTTCGAGCATAAAATCATTGCAGCGGATTTGGAGTCGTCCACATTAACATTTTCAGAGTAAGCTTTCCATTGACTTATCTTGTGTGACGAGTCTTTGTTTATTTTAAGTCTTCGACCCCAACTGCATTTGGTGCTACGGTTTTTGCAACCTATAATTCGAAAAACTTTTATGTTATTTGGTTAGTCTACAAACGTCTTTTCTTGGACGTGAATAAATGGCCAACATGCTCACGAAAACTGCAAAATCGTTTCTGGCTACGTATTCCTCCATTTCAAGCAGTAAGGTCTAAAACGCGGACCTCGCGGTCTTCCTGATAACAAATATACTTGCAATCGACCCTTTCTTTGTTCAGATACTGCCTTATTACCAAATTTGAATTAGGTTCCACGCAGTGGCGGACACTTGGGGGGGCGAGGGGGGGCGATCGCCCCCCCAATACTTTAGAGAACAATGGTCTTTTGTTCTAAAACAATGGGAAATGTGACGTCATCTTATTAAAACAATAGGCTTGCCCCCCCCAATATTTGACCAAGTGTCCGCCCCTGGTTCCACGATAACCTCGCTTTAGTAATCGCCTGTAGTAAATTACTGACCACCGATTTATTCCTATTCAGAAGCCATTTTGAAAGAATATAGGAAGATATCATCCAAATGCATCTCGTATGGTTATCACGAAACCTGCACATAATCTGTAAAGTTGATGGTCTTTATAATTTATTCTAAATAATTCTATAATCTTTCTTAAAGTGTGAATGCACAGAAAAAACAGCAAACTGGAAACCTTATTATTGGATGTGATGGTGCATTCTCGACAATTCGCAAAACCTTGATGCGAAATACAAGGTTAGATCTAAAGCAAAGCTTTTTCAGATTTTTCAATCTATTTTTATCCGAATGCCATTTATGGATTTGTTAATTTACGAAATCAATACCTTTTCCTCAAAAGTGCCAACAGATTAGCAAATCATATTGCTATTTTTTAAAGTGCAATTGAAAGGTGCTTAAAGCTGGTGTAAGTTTCTTTTCCAACTTATGTCACAACGCCATTGCGACCCAAGTTGCAGACCGATTGCCCCATGTCAACAAGTCATTCCTGTGCTCTGCAACGCTGCTTTTTTGCTCTCGCAAGTAGGACACACTTTTTGCAACCATTGTCAGAATTTTTATAGCAACTGTACCGTGTAAAATCGATTTTTGAAACTTGGAACACAATCGCACCCTTGGCGCAAGCGCAGTTTAAGGCTGCGTGACACACCCCTTAAAAAATTTTTTGCAAAGATTTTAGCTCTATTATATTAATTCTTTCAGTTTTACCCATTGGAACTTGATTGGAACTAATATTTAACAAGGGGCAGCTCTAACTAAAAAGCATCCCCTACAATCGATGTATCAAAAAAGCGACTAACGTTCTTAAAATTGGACAAGGCCATTACGGAAGAACTCCAAAGCTTCCACAAAATTATGATACTTTAAGTCGCTCTTTGATCAGACCCATCCCCCTTTCAAAGGCGTACTTTGTTAAAAGGCTTACGAGCTATTCATTTGGGTTTATAATAGTGAAATAGGTACCGCCTCAAAGTTACCTGTGTGTACATGATTGTTGCCAAAGACCGGCAAAAATTCGATCTAGAAGTCGGAACTGCCTCGAGAGAATGTTTAAAGATTTAGCTAAATGCAAAGAGTAACAAGATTATATATCTCTTGACTTTTAGAATGGACTTTAGCCAAACGTATATCCCGCATGGCTATAAGGAAATCCAGATGCTGCCCAATAAAAACGGCGAAGTAAGCTGATTATTCTGCTCTGTTAGATCACTATTTGTTGTGTTTACTTTTGTTTATGAAGTGTAGCTATTCGTTTCTGACATTATCTTCTATTTCTTCGTTTCGGTTGGGTCTTCTCCTATGTAGTTTGTTGGTTGGGTGGGCTAAGGCCCACGATTTTCTGACAAGATAACATCTTGGATGGGCTTTCGGCAGCACCGCCAATTGGGGAGGGTAGCCGGTGCAATTTCCACAGGGCCCGGGCTCATACTGATGCCCTTAGTTATGGAATCTGTTTTTATTGTCATACTCTAGAATGTCAAGCAAGCAAGGTCAATTTGCTGTCAAGCATGGAGCAACACCCATTGGCTGCCCCCGGCCCCGGTTTCGCTTTTGGTGGCCCTGGCTTTCGGCAAGTGTAGCGTCTGTCAATTAAACGACAAAAGCCCGAATTTTTCGATGAGAACGCTGACTGAGGTAGGGGGGGGGGGACCTGAGCTCTACCATTCCCCCCATAATTTGAAGAAATGAAACTTTGCTGTAATTTTTCATTTCTACATTAGGCATACAACTATCATGAATGAAGTTGGATTATTACAAATATTTCACATGTCAATCCAATAAATTTAACAGAAGAGTAGACCTGACACAGAATCTTAGAAATCTGTCCTTTACAAATCGATAGCTTTGAAGATGGGTGGAGACGAAAGCTAAAAACAAAATGAACAACTGATGTGATTGGACATTTCTCGTTAGTCTTTATTCGTTTAAAGTCAATTGGAGAAAATTTGCCCCTAATTCTATTTTTAGATGAGGCTACAAGGGCCCAGTCCTCTGTGTTTTACTCTTCATGAACAAGAAATTAACACGAGGCGTGGCAGGTATAACCAATAAAGAGGACTGGGCACTAATACTCCTGTTTAAAATTAGCACTGAGGGCATGCTTGAAAATACATCAAATTGTCTATACCTGCCACGCTTTGTATTAATATTTCTTTCCGTGAAAGAGAAAAACACAGGGGACTGGGCTCTAGTACCCCCGCCAAAAAATAAAATGGGAAAGGGGCATATTTGATAATTCTCAAACTCTAACCTTGTTCAGTGCATCAAATTGTCTATGCCTACCAAATTGTGTGTTTTTATCTGTTTCTATACGATAGATGAAGGTTTATCTTCCTGTGGGGAAATGGCATGAGAACCCCTTGTGAAAATAGGGGCAATTTTCAGAATCTGTCCAATTCTTATCTTTTTCAGCGTGGCAGTCTCTTTGTCTGCCCAATCTCTTGCTTTTATCACAATTTGCACGATCCTTACAAATATCTGCTTTTATCTACTGCACGACATTTCAAGGAAAACACTTTTTTTTCAAAGCCTACAAGTGTAATACCAAAATTTACTGGCTTTTCTTATATTTTGTATTTTTTTTCAAAAATTTTTGCTGGGACCTATTTGCGGCTACCTTGCTTAACCGAAAATAAGGCCAACAGAAATTTTGTTGTACTTAATCAACTTGTTGTACGAAAGTTTGTATTCCTTAAATACGATAATTTCGTGTTGCACTGTTCGTTACTACTTAAGGCACATTTGTTATTTTCTTAGTAATTTCTCCTCAATCCTTTGCAAGGCTTTCTGCAGAAAGACTATAAAAGTTTTAGAAATTTTGCCTCGCTTTTTGGCTTTGAAGCTATGTTTTGTACAACGAAAGTAGCAAACAGGAATCAAACTGTAAAAGAACGATCAAATCTGAAACTACAAAACGAAACTTGTTTATCTTGGTCTTTATGTTTTCATACTGCTGATAAAGATATTGCCAAAGTATTCAAATGGAATTTGCAGAAATCTTAAAGTTTTAATTATTGCACTGTTTAAAGTGCCTATGCAGCGAAATTTACCATTCCAATATTTTAAAAGAAATCTATAGAATCCTTCGTTCTTGTCCTTATACAAAAAAACAGAATTCCGATAAGTTAAATGGCTCTTTTTTTATTGAGTGTCAGAGTATGCATATTTTGCAGTTGCATTGCGAAATTTTATTTCCCGCTGTGACGTCACAGTGATGAGTCGAGGAGAAACTGTTCAGTCAGGCCTGTTAAATCACTTATAGGGTCGAATTGTGCAAATTGTGATACTAGCATGAAACTTTGCAATAAGGGGCAGTTTGATACGCTTAAAAAGATAGAATACTGATCCCGACTGAAAATTGCCCCCCTTTTCTATTTTTAGAGTGCAAGATATGAATGGGAACTATATCACATTTTTGTCAGCATATCAAACTGCCTTTATATTAGGAATTTCCATTCTCTGTTTATGGCCAATGGTGGAATTAGGGGTCTCGACCGGAGTACCCCAGTCTAAAAATAGAACTTAGGGGCAAGGTATGATTTGGGTCTATATCCAATCTTTTTCTGCATGTCAAACTGCCTTTATATTGAGAATTCCAAGTTTCTATGACCTGGCGTTCTCTGTTTTTGGCCAGGGGTCTGGACCAGAGTGCCCCAGTCTAAAAATAGAATTTAAGGGGCATCATATGATTAGGGTTTATTTTACATCTTTTTCGGTCGTTGAACTGTCTTTTTATTGTGAATTTCAACTTTCTATGACCTGGCATTCTCCGTGTACAATTAGGGGTCTTGACCGGAGTACCCCAGTCTAAAAATAGATCTTATGGGCAAGATATGATTTGGGTCTATATCACATCTTTTTCAGCGTATCAACCTTGGTGTTTTCTGAAAGTTTGGTAGTTGAATCAAAATTTGCAAAATTTTTCTGCTTATCTCCTTCACTAAAACGTATTCTGTACAATCTGATTGCTGTCGACCCGACTCATCACTGTGACGTCACCAACTGGCCTTGGTTTTCGCAAGTACTACCTAATTTCAAACTCTGATTAAATACACTTTTGCTGGTCAAATCATGACAATTTTGGTGTCAAACGTATCGGAAAAGATGGGAAAATATAACTTTAAAAAAAAGCAGGACATAAAATTTCGCTGTATAGGGATTATAATGGGTGATCAATTAGCGATTAAGGTACTACGAAAACCTCTGTCGACGCAACGAAATGCGCAAATATTTGTTACAAGTTAAATAGGAAAATAGTACTTGTGGAGATATCCTTTCACGGCATTTTGACAGCCATGGTATATTAGAATATTATTAGACAAGCCCATGCCTTGAAGTCTTTTTCGACTGGTGAGAACAGAACATTTTTCTACAATCCCAGCTACCCTCGTACCAAACCGTTAATAAGACAACAAGAAACTAGAATTGTACCCTGCAATAGAATATTAAATAAGAGTATGCTCGAGGATCGTTTGAATCGATGTATAAATGCTACAATTGGCCACTACTAGACACACGCCAGACTGAGGCATGCAAGGATGTTTTTCAAAACCTTTTTTAAATCATTTTGAGTGACAATATATTGAGGGCAGCAAAGCAAACATACCTTGATCTCGGTTAGAAATCTGATTTTTGTAATTGTATTTATTCTTTTGTATTTGATGATGAAATTGGATGTAACTGCCGAAATTGAGATTGGAAAGGTTGTGAATGTGACTGCCGAATTTGAATTTTATAGTAATTACCGTAAATATTAGCTAAAGTGTAATTTTGAAAATATTGTTAAAAGGAAAAAGTTGGCATTTATTATAATCAGGCTTTTTCTAGCCAGCTTTAAAGTAATTGTATTATTATTATTTTTAATACATTTTCTTTCACTTTTATTATGGCTTAGGACACATGGCAAACGGTGATAGCGGTCATTTTGTAATTGTTGAAGTGTTTATCTGACCTAATTTTGATTTTATTGTCTATTTGCCTGTTTATTTTTTTTCATTTGTTTATTTTTCTATATTGTGACTTTGACAATCAGTTAAGGTATTGGAAATATGCAACATGCAACCCTTATATTTCACGTACCAACCGCAAACTTGATGAAAAATGAGTTATGACATTACATCACCCTGCTCTTCACCAGCCCCCTGCTTCGTTTTGAAACATACTTCTCAGTAACAAACTACTAAAAACCATTTATTTATTTTTTAGTACGTGATGGAACCTGGCTACCTACACATTTGGCCTCGAAATACATTCATGATGATCGCTTTACCAAACCAAGTAAGTCTCTTACATTCTCTTTCACCTGACGAATTTCTTCTCTCTAAGTGTGGCAAGATATTTGCTTATAATATCATGAATGCTCTCTTTCGATCTTGTTGTTTTTGGTATTATTTGTCATATCACAGACGATGCCGACCTGAATCACATTTTTCATCACCATGCTTGTAGTAGTTTTAACCCCCACAAAATTCAGCAAGATCACAACGACTTTGGTAAAATTAAATCGTGATTTTCATGATCGTGAAAATCTCTGCTACAATAACTATTATAGCGATCAGAACAGCTTTGAAAAAGACAACCATTTTATTGTCGTCACCACTCGATCGAAAAAAACCTTGAATATTATAAGAATCTTGACAGATATTTTGATTTCGGTGTTATCAATCAGTATTTGGTATCTTTATAAGAATTACAGCGAAATCTAGGCTATCATAACGATCATAGCAATGTGAATATCTATGCATTATGATAATCGTGGTTACCATTGATTGCAACGATCTTGCCTATTGTAGCTCGTTGGCTTTGGTGATGGGTATAAGCTTGTTGTCTTATACCATAACACCGATACTCTGGGGTATCATACCTTTTTCTAGCGATATCCCGACACTAGCCATAGTTAAGTTACCAAACAAAACTTTTGATATCAGACACCGACTTAAGTGCAACGGCAACAACATTTTATACCTATTGCAATGCAAATCTATTAAGACTATCATAGCTACAGAACAGCTTTGAAGATGACAACAGTTTCACCATTGATCGCGATAACCTTTTTTATAATGCTTATCATTATTGGTTCCATTATTCTAACGATTAAACAACCCCAACCACTTAAAAGCATTATAAGTAATCTTGAAGTCGAAAGCAACGACAAAGAAAGCATCAGCAACATGCCATGCCTCGCTCAATCGTTGGTTTCACGACATATCCATTACCTTGCATCTTTCTCGTGTCATTTTGATTATTTGATTGTATTTTAATGCTTATATTTAAATGCACCGTATTGCTTCTAGGACAAAACATTTACTTGCACGCTCTTCATGCCCTATGAAATATTTGATGGAATAAAAACTGCGGTGAGACATTTTATTAATTACATCTTTAGTTCTTACGCTATTGGCGAATATAATAGGACGGTTCTAAGCTGCCTGACTGTCTTTAGATCGTTTGTTTTTGTTGCAATTCAACTATGCTCGAAAACACTCTTTCTTTCCTTTTCTGTCCCTTAGTCTTTCATGTGATGTTTCTCAAGACCAAATAGAAACAGACTGATACAGATCTTGATGGGTCAATGTTTGCAAATCCATTAAAATTATGAAACTTGACTAGCTTTCAGACATTATGTGAAGCACCTTTTATAGCTGCACTATAAAATGAAGTCGTTTGTTGAAAATAATGAGATTGATTTAAATGCTTGTTAAACAACTGTCTGTGATTCTGCAGTCTCTGAGCAGTTGATTTTTAGGTTTCTTTTTTATTAGGATGACGTTCTTGCATTCTTCGAAAGAGAATTTCCCGATGCAATTCCGCTAATCGGAAGGTAGTTGTCTTCGCAATATACTTTTACTGGTTCTTCTAATAATTAGTTATACTCATAAAGGTATTTTTCACTTTTGTGCAAACAAATCCAAACTAGACCCCGTGGCTTTAGCTTTGTTTTTGAAAGTTGACTAAAAGAGTACAATTTCTTTTACGCTGGTTTGTTGAAGACCTTATCATTACAAGCAATTGATAGCACCTAACTGACTGGCCTAAAAGTTTTATTGCTCAATATTCTTTCAAGGAAAAAAGATTATCAGAGAATTTATTTCATAAATCTATGTCAAGAATTCAGAGAGGTATTGGAACTTTAAAGCAAGATTCAGAGATATGCTCTATCAAAAATTTCAGGTCGATTCTTCGCAATTTTTTCTTAATCCAAAGAATAGGAACTTGTTCTCTGAAGATATTATTCCAACAAACCTCAGATTTTGTAAGCTAGACCTGAAATCCATAATTTAAAACGAAATTTTCGCTTATAAAAGGGTTATTTTGTAGTAACATTCTTGTTGTATGAAAATCTTCAAGCCTGTTTTAAACGCCTATCTCTGAAATTGTTTTTGCAGCACTGCCTGCGGTTAAAGCATTACACATAAACATCATTTCTAAGTTATTTGTTTCAATTTGCTCGATATGTCCAAAATCAGAGTTGAAATAAAGGAGAATTTGAGAGAAAAGAAGTAATTTCTATCATTTGATTTGATATTATAGTCATATTCATTCATTTTTACAGTTTTATGACACTAACTACATAAGGGCAATTTCAAACACTCAATTACAAAAATCGGAATTTAAGCATTAACTACACTAGAAATTTTTCATTGTGTTTTAGCACTTAATGCTAAATTAGTCAAACATATGCGCATATTTTCACAAAATGAAGATTAGTTATACTCATAAAGGTATTTTTCACTTTTGTGCAAACAAATCCAAACTAGACCCCGTGGCTTTAGCTTTGTTTTTGAAAGTTGACTAAAAGAGTACAATTTCTTTTACGCTGGTTTGTTGAAGACCTTATCATTAAAAGTAATTGATAGCACCTAACTGACTGGCCTAAAAGTTTTATTGCTCAATATTCTTTCAAGGAAAAAAGATTATCAGAAAATTTATTTCATAAATCTATGTCAAGAATTCAGAGAGGTATTGGAACTTTAAAGCAAGATTCAGAGATATGCTCTATCAAAAATTTCAGGTCGATTCTTCTCAATTTTTTCTTAATCCAAAAAATAGGAACTTGTTCTCTGAAGATATTATTCCAACAAACCTCAGATTTTGTAAGCTAGACCTGAAATCCATAATTTAAAACGAAATTTTCGCTTATAAAAGGGCTATTTTGTAGTAACATTCTTGTTGTATGAAAATCTTCAAGCCTGTTTTAAACGCCTATCCCTGAAATTGTTTTTGCAGCACTGCCTGCGGTTAAAGCATTACACATAAACATCATTTCTAAGTTATTTGTTTCAATTTGCTCGATATGTCCAAAATCAGAGTTAAAATAAAGGAGAATTTGAGAGAAAAGAAGTAATTTCTATCATTTGATTTGATATTATAGTCATATTCATTCATTTTTACAGTTTTATGACACCAACTACATAAGGGCAATTTCAAACACTCAATTACAAAAATCGGAATTTAAGCATTAACTACACTAGAAATTTTTCATTGTGTTTTAGCACTTAATGCTAAATTAGTCAAACATATGCGCATATTTTCACAAAATGAAGATTGCATGTCTAAAGTTTTTATGAAACGGATTTTCGAAACCTGTTTAGTTCATCTAAAGAGTCTCTGGTATACTGTGTCAAGTATGGAACTGCGTCGAGCCTTCTATAATAATCAGGAAAGAGCGTGTACTGTATGCAAGGATCTGCTACCAAATGACTATACACAGGCGAGAATGCTGATCTTTCGTACGATGGGCTTCGTGGTGAGTAACACGTTGATGCGCGCGACCACGAGTGGTGCCTGCGGGACGACACATGGCCTCTCAAAGGATCTACTTGCATTTCCCTTCTCTCCTGCATCTTAGCTTGGAGTTTTTCAGAACTTTGCTCTTTATCCAGCCCAAGAATGCTGTCAATTGTGAAGGATTTTCGTCGTTTTTCTTGAGGAAATAGCTTTGTTATTTTACTTTCGCTGATTCCAAGCTTGTGTTCACTAGCTCCCCAAAACCGAGTTAGTGAATCGCCTCTATATCGATACAAAGACGGTAAAATCGCATATGGCTGAAAGTAGTCTGAGTATACACCAAAGGGGGTGACTGGGCGCCTTGCCTTTCGTCGTGTTCGCCGCCTTCTGTAGTCGCCTTTCGCGAAATCTTCTTCATTTGAAGGATGCACTGCCCAGTAATTCCCCTTGCCGTTTTCGCTTCTCCCTGCTTTAATGAAACATTCGTTAAGGGAGAGGTTGTGTCGAATACTGTTTCGCCAGCTTTTATCTTGTGTCTTGTAGAATGGGTAGTTATCAAGAATGTATTTGTATATGTCCGACAACACCATTTTACGTTCCGGCGAACCTAGTATCGCCTTTGCGATTAACGCTATGTAAGACTGAGTTGGCTTGCTTTCGTCGGGTTTGCTAGAATTGTCCTTCGCTTTTTGGGTTTCGCAAACTTCGTTGTCCTCGTAATCTGAGTCGTCCACGTCCATTGAAGCTTCTCTCTCTTCCACCGTTTTGTCGTAGATTGGAATTTCCTCGTCAGAACTTGGCCCATCGATAGAATTATAACCATCGATCTGTCTTTTCTTTAGTCGTCGCTCATCCGCATATCTTTCAATGTTGTTGTTCTCTTCCATCCTACTAGTAAAACGCTGTTGCATGGAACCTCTTCTTTGGATCTGTGCTTTGGGAGCTTTCCACCTTCAACTGAAGCTTTCAACTTTCTGCATTCGCCTATAAAGCTTTCTGTGGGAATTAACAGTTGCTTATGCTATTAGCAGTTAGGCCGCGCTGTAGTAATATTTTGCTGCAACTCTGTTGCTCCAAAGGTGTCAATTGGAAGTAAACACAAAAGAATCTTAAAAGTAATGATTTCAAAGCTCGTGATTAAGGGGTTGATTTTGACACCAACAAAAGTCGTATAAAATATTAGTCAACCGTGTATAACGTGTTAAGTAGCACTAAAGTCGCTCCCCAGGCTGATATTACCAAGTTTACTGGTGTAACAGAACGGAGGTGATGTGACATCCCTTTTGATGTTGCTGTTGTGAAGAATTTTCTATTAACATCTGTTCATTGTTGTCGTTGCCAGTAGGACAAACAGTAAGTGAGATTAAAGAAGGGACCCTAAATCCTTATTTGTTAGAATTACAAAGTGAGGGGGTATATTAATAGGTGCTAATTTTGTTAGTTTCACATGGGTGTTAATGGAGTAAGTCGTGAAAATGGGGAAGGTCGATAAACTCTGTTCTGTGAAATTAGCACTTCTTGTCTCACTGTTGTATTCAATAGGCTACCGTCTTATTATTCACCCAATGTTCTCTCTGATATTGCTGTTGTAATTGTTTGATGCCCTTGCTTGCCCAAACCAGCCTAGAGTTCCAGCGCCCTCCTATGAGTTCCAAACAAACATTGTTTAATTAGATAGCTCGACCTTTGACAGTTTGCTGTCGAATTTTTCTTCAAAGGTTTAAAAGAAGCAATTTCAATGGTTTAAGAAAAGGTTTTTTGTGGAAATTGCTATTTCTTGTTTTTTCCCTCTTCAAAGCCCCACCCCAATGTATTTGTCAAACGTGGATGTAAAAGCTGGTGATATTTCAGAATTTGGTATGAATGCAGGTTTGGTATTCTCTGATCCGAACAATTTTTATCTTCACATTTGAATCTTTATGTTGAAATTAGTCTGTGCTGAAAGTTTCAAGTTGTTTTGGCAGTCAGACAGCGAATTAACCCATTTTCAAGATTTAGCTTTTTTTATACATTTCAATGGAATTTGTTGCTGTAGTGAAATTTTTTCACTGCAGCAGCTAATTCCGGTCAAATCTAAAGAAACATGTAAATATTCAAAACACAGTAACTCGTGACCGAACTATCCAAACAACTTAAATTTTTCAGTATAAACTAATTTAAAGATGAAGATTTCGAGTCCCTTTTTGAGAAAGATCCATAGATAGCGAGATACAGAATCAATGACGTCAGCCCGGAACGGAGAATTCAAATTTATTTCAGCGCGCCCTGCAGCTATCATGCAATTTTCGTAAAAGCAGGTATTCCCTAGTGTTTATTACATCGCTACTGGCATTAAGAATTCTAAGATGTGAGAAATTTCAGAAAAAGCGAAATTTAGCCAAAGCCAAATAAAACAATTTCAAGTCAAAGAAGTTTCAAAGAAGTCAAATTACCCTTGCAAAACCTAATTTCGTCAATAGCTATATCTCATTTTAACAGATTAACCAATTTTTCATATTTAGAAGTATCGATCGGTGTTCTTTCACAATACCTGGCTCATTTTAGAAAAAAATTGAAGATTACGAATAGATTTTGATGACGCCCATCAGTTTTTTGTTATCCTATGAGATATTACATGCTCTTTAGCTCCTAGTTTCTATGAGCTCCTTCGTAGGTCTGATTGTTGTTGTTTGCTGTATTTGGTTGTGTTCTGCAAAAAGTTCCCCCGTTATTTTCCGATTTGTCTTGGTTCATGTTCCGTGGAATTGGTACCCTCGCAGCATGTGAAAAATGGCATAGTTAAGACATCCGTGTTTTTGTTCACATGCCGTGAAGCTGGACCGGCTGTTTCGCGAATTTAAATTCTCACGGCAGTAATTTGATTGCACTGACAAAGGCTTTGGTATCGAGCTTGATATGTAATTAAAATTAAGGTGTCAGAATTGTCCGGCCCTTGTGTGCTAAATGGGTGAATTATGACACGTTGTGCTATAAAACTAGCATCGTTTTTACTATTGGCGCAAGTAAGGTTTTTGTGCGTACACGGCGTTTTCACTAACAGATGTTGTTTTCCTTGAAACAATAACAATAGGTTTGTGATTAGTAGCTTTGATACTTCAAACATTATCGTCCTCCGCAAGGGTTGACAACCCATCTATGCTTAGCAGTGGTAGAAATCATCCGTGCACTCCTTTTGTGATCATGCGCATTCGCAGGTTTTATAGCATTGCACCGCCAATTAATATTTTTGGTACGGAGAATTTTGACACAACATTTTAGAAGCCTTTGATCAAATTAGAGCATATCCTTGCCACGCCCTTATCTGAAAGCTAATTCTGTTTGCGCCCAACCCACCTCGAAGAGATGGTGCTTCTCCTGGTAAACCAGATAATTTTTGCCGAAGGTTCGAGTGCTCTTATCTCAACATTGAATTTTCTTTCACTGCAACTATTAACGGTTTGTAAGCAAACATAAAATAACAATTCGGAATGGCATTTTCAACAGCACAGACGATAAGCTTACAAAATCATGAGGGAAATTTTTCAAACAGAAATTGTTCTCCTTTTTTCGTCTGAGGCCGGGTATGTTCTTTCGTCATTATTGTTTTCGGCAAATAAATGCAATCGGCGTTCTTGTGAACTGTTATCTAATTGAAAATCGAATGTTATCGAAAGATTGTCTAAAGTTTGTCATAGCAGGAAAAGCAGTAAAGGGAAAAATCTTTCTTCGAATAGGGAAAATTCGGTTTGCAAATAGTTGAATCGTTGGTTCTTATTAGCTGCAATTTTTATCCGTGGGTAGCATATTTTCTTGATCAATAAAAGTTTACTAAAACCCTAGAAAAATGCACGTGTTCTACCACCAAAAGTTTCGTCGATGCGATTGTCACAGCTGCGAAATACCCAATCGTAACATTTTGGTTTTAAATTTCCCATAGGTTCTGTACTTCAAAGAAATTCATTTCTAATTTAAATTTTTGGAATTTCCCACGGCCCTTTATTCTTATTGATTTAAAGGAGTTTTTATGTAATGAAGCCAACACGTTTACACTCTCCTCTTTTCATCTATTTTCACATCAATCTTTTGTTGGAGTCATTCACTGTAAACGTGTGAAATGTTACGGTAATATTTGTGAAAACGTATTGGTCTGTGATTTCTTGATTGTGGGAAACAGCATTGCAATATTAAAACTATGCTGTCTGTTTATGTCTATTTTTGCAAACATTGTTTTGTCGCGGGAATGACTGTTGACCATGTCCTAACTGAAAAATTCTAGGCTACATCTGATTTTCTGTTTAATAAACGTTGTATGAAACATAATACACTGTTTTGCTGTTTAATAGTGTAAAATCGTTCTATATTGAAGCGACCATCTTAACTGCATGGTGACAACACTGTCGTTAGCTACCCTTGATACCAGAGAATCAAAAGGGAGTCGAGTCGAGTAGAACAGTAGAAGAGTGAAATCCATGATAAATTTTTGCAACTTGTTTTATTTCTGTAGCTGATATTTTTAATCAAATCAGTTTGTAATTCTGACACACAGGAGTAATTCTGAAACTTATAAACATATTTAGATATTTTTAAATGAAATAAATGAAGCAAAGTCCGTTGAGGGCTCAGACCTAACTGCAGTTAAGAAAAAAGGGCGTGAGCTTCTTGGGCGTGGCTGTGAACATGCAGCATCTCTATGGTATGCAGTGTAACTCAGGTTAAATGGCTTTTTATCTGGCATCATATTGTTTGACTTTGAATGAGAATTGTTATCGGTTCTTCGACCGCTTGTAATCAAGCCTTTAATAAACAGAACTTATAAACTGCATGGTTCCCCCAGAATGAAACGGAAAGGTGCCTCGTGTAGCGGGTCCCACCGGTGGCAGAGTCTCTCTTCCCTCTGCAACACAAATCTTTTGCCTATGGGGCTCGCTGATAGGGTAGAGAAATGCCAAACCACCATACTTGAAATGTGAAATGAGATTTAAGGTTGAGACAAACGTATGACAGACAAATGTTGCACAGAAAATAAAAGAGGAAATTACCGAATACGAATTAAAGCAGCTTATAGGTTATTCGTTTGTTTCGATCGCTGTCGTCGGGGATTTTATGCAAGCATCTAATAAATATATTCTCAAAACAACCAACCCCTCACTTTTACTACCCCATTGTTGAATTTCGGTTTGTTGCAGAAAACCTAGTTATATTGCTTCAGTAAACCTTTGTTGAAACAAAGAACGAATGTTTTCATCCATTGATTAAATGTAGTAGACTTAAAGTCAGTTTTGTCCTCATAGAGAGAAGCTTGCTGAAGATTATTTAAAGAATCCAGTTGGTGATCTCATATCAGTCAAGGTAAACGGTTGCATTTTGAGATGTTTTTTGCGTACTGCAGACATCATGCCGTAAACACAGAGATCGCAAGTTGAATCCGAAGTTGGAGCAGCTTTGTTGCCAAACACTATTTTGAGCGTAAATATGCAAATGATAACCGTCCAGGTAATGTCGTCAAAAGACCGGATAGTAAACATGGAAATTCCAGACATTAGACGTCAGAATGCCGGTTCATCAGCCATCAGCAGTCCTTATAAAAGCAGTCAAAAGCCCGGATGATAGCTACCGAAAGATTAAATCGATATCCGTTTTGGTCTGTGACGCAGGCAATCGAAAGACCGGATGATATGCGTCATCGGACAAGTGAAAAATGTTAAAATTCTTATTCTGTGGATATTCGTACCTCACAATTGATGTTTGATGTAGTTTTTTTATTCTGAAGTTCGCTAACGCTGCATTGAAATTACCTTTAGTGCAAACCATACCACTTCAAAGACAAACTGGTCATCAAGGGAGACGCAGCTCATGCAATGGTACCATTTTATGGACAAGGGATGAACTCTGTAAGTGTGCAGTCCCTTGCTTAGAATAGGCTTATTTAGGTGTTTCTTTGTACTTGAAACGTACCTGGCTTTTCTAGATTGATTTTTAATTGATCAAAAAACAACTTTTATTAAAATTTGTGAAAAGTAGCAGTAGGGATGGAAGAAAGTTTTTCCTGCTGGAACCACTCTTAGAAAAGTATTTCTGTGCCTTATACTAGCTATGTAGACATTTTAAGCTCATTGGGCATTGACTCCTGTAGGTAATTGCACACCCCTTTGATTTTTGTAAAGTTTACATTCTGCTTTCTGCAGGAAGCTTCTGCTGCTTCAAAGTACGCTGATCTGGTTTACAAAGCAATCAAATTGTTAATTGTTTTCCACTGACTCAATGCATTTATTATTTCTTCTTTGTGATTTTTCTTCTGGGACCCAGAAAATTCTCGTGAATGAACCAGTGGTCCCGTGGTACGATACTTTCCCCACCACTGAGAAGCAGCGAAGTTAGCTTCAGGGTTGCCAACTGGCCTACTGGAAGGCCAAATTTGAGAAATCTAGCCTTCCGACCTCATTTAGGCCATTTTTTTGGCCTCCTAAAGGAATGTTTGAAAAGGAGATTAAGAAGCAGTGAAGTTAGCTTCGGGGTTGCCAACTGGCCAACTGGAAGGCCAAATTTGAGAAATCTATCCTTCCGACCTCATTTCGGCCATTTTTTTGGCCTCCTAAAGGTATGTTTGAAAATGAGATTAAGAAGCAGCAAAGTTAGCTTGATATCTCATTTCATTCCCTAGGGATTCGAGGACTGCTTGGTTTTTAGCAATATTTTCGAAGATAGTAACTTCGATATTGGTATGTATGTTATGGTAACATAAATACTCACTATCCCATACTTGATTTGTGCGATTGATATTGAGGTGAAATTTGATAACACTTCCTTATTTCCTAAAGTATTGTATGAAAATGAACAAAGAGGGTCATGTAAATTACCAATGCAGAAATTTTTGAGCAGACTGGCTACGGTAGTAGCATGGCTGCAGAAAATGCTGTCGTTAATTGCTTGCCGTTTTTTAAATAAATATCTTGTCTCAGGTAAAACCCTTGAAAAGTATTCAATTACAAGGAATCCAGATGCAGAGGCCATTTGCGACTTGGCGATGTACAATTATATCGAGGTTTGTTGTCATTTTCGGCGGGTTTGTTCATTTCCCGCAAAGATCCATTATGTAACGCCATCTTGAATAATAGCTTGTGTGACTACAGCAGTTTGCTTTTGCCATAAATGTGAAGCAATTGTTTGCTTGCAGAAATATTTTTTCTTTCGTTTCTTTTCAACGTAGACACCAAAACAAGCAATATTGTCAAACAATAAATTTAGGCTCACAGACCTTTTAAATACCTTATCTTTTGAGGAACTATTTCCATCCTAGATTTTGGTACTTCTTTCCAAGCTTTTGTTTATTTGAGAAAAAATCACTTCATCCGAGGGGCAGTCAATCCCGAAAAGCTGTCCATAAAAATAATTATGAATAACTTTCCTTTATTTTGATAATTTTTCTGGTTATTTTCTATTATTTTCGAAGAAGTCTCTCGGCTTTTTTTAGTTTCAAAGATAGTTACCTCCTTAGTTTCAGTACTAATTTAGCCCTCTTTGTCATCACTTATTTATTTCTTTCACAATATTTTTAGCCTCGTCAACTTATACTATATGTAAGCTGTAATTTCGATTTCAGATGAGAGAGCACGTTAATTCGAAACTCTTCATTCTGAGGAAGTACTTGGACAATTTCCTTTATTATCTTTTCCCAAGTCGATGGATCCCGCTCTACACAATGGTGAGTCATTTGCCCCTAGGCTACTTATTATTATAAATCGCTGACACAGTTGACTGAGCTTGGTTCTAATTCTCATACGAATCAGTGAAGTTGAAGACTCTCTTGCTTATTACCCTTTCTTAGGACAAGTTTGCACGTGCTTTCGTAAGCCATCCACAATAGTGTCCTCGACTAGTCCGCGACGTCCCTCATTCTTACGCGAATTACGACCAGGCTTCAAACAAACCAGGCTTTAATTAGACGGAATTTCCTTGGGTTTAACCCTTCGTAGTGAACTCTGTTAGCTTTGGTACGAGCATCAGATAGGAATGAAAATGGACACCGTTTTCCCCAACTGGCTAGGGTAGCTTCAATTCGTTCAAGACGTTATTGTTAGCCCCATTCCACAAAGGCCAGAAAACAATGTTCAATTTTGATTATACGGTCAGTAAGGCCAATAAATACATAAGAAATTAAAATGCCCTGTCCGAACCCCCTATTTTGTTTTCTGTGGAAGGTTGCTTGGGAAAGTTGTCGAGAGGAAGAAACGAAAGTATATATGTAGAAACTGCGTCGATTTATTGAAGTAAAGGAAAATATTGAATGAAGGCCTAGCTGAAGTGAACGAAAAGTTCTGTCAAAGTACAAGAAAGTTGCATGTGAAGTTGGCGTTGTGTTGGAATAACTTACTTGCTCAGAACGACCATCAAAGATTAGAAGGACATAACTGTTTAAGGACATGATATCTCATCCCTGTCATTCGATGCATATCATTCGAAACCCTGCAAAGGTGATTGGACTATGCTCTTTTATCGTTTGTTCGACTCCACGTTACGCTGACCAACTTTCGAGGGTTACAAAATCATTCCCTATCTCGTGATCTTGACTCAGCGCTGTTTTTTTCTTCAATTCGATCAGGGTTGCTGGGTGGTCAGGGAAATAATAGCCCAGAGGCGTCATCAGCTGTAACAGTTCGATAAAAGTCATCTCTGCTAAACAGCGACATCATTTTGTTACTTTGCACAAAGTCTTTACAACATTTATTTTGAGGCTTTAATGTGTACGTATGTGAGATGGCCTATAGCATAGGAGTGCCCATTCTGTTGCGGGGCTTTGTTTTAATGCTGGTCACATGGGAGAAAATTCTCTAAACAGCTGCATTACTGACTGGGGTTGTCAGAAATGAAAGTCTATAATTCGCAAACGAAGAATGTCCAAAATGCAATTGCGATATCTTCATGTGAATTTGTGGTACCAAGGGTAAGAACAACCATTTATGGAACCGAGACTATCAAATATAGAGGGCAGCGTCTTTGGCTCTCTTTACCTCAGCACATAAGGAATGCTCAATCTATTAATGAGTTTAAGAAAGAAATTAAAAGCTGGAATGGCACCGACTGTACATGCAAACTATGTAGGACGTTCGTGCCACAGCTTGGTTTTTTTGTAATTCTTTCGTTTTAAATAGCTCAGATTTTTATAGTACTACCCTCTAAGTTTTCAGTGGATTATTATGTACTTAAAATTTTATGCATTTAATCTCGTATATATTTATTTGATGTAGTAGTTTTAACAGTTGGCTTGGATTAGCTCATTTCACTGTGAATAGCTATGTAGCGCGAACTTTAAATAAATTGATTATTATTATTATTATTAAATGTGAAAAAATTTTTTGCGGTACAAAATTTGAAAATGGCTTTGAAAAAAGCAAACATTTTACGACATACTAAAAGCTTTTTCGTCTGACACTCCTCAGACCATAAAACGTCAGAATAAGGTTCCGAAAGAACACGATGGAGAATATATACCCAGTTGTGGATCGAAATAGGCCAATCAGAAAAACGCAAGCACAAGACCGGTATTTGTCAAATAAAAAAATTGGCTGTTTGTACTTATATCTAGTATGATACTGATATTTAAGAAGCATAACGCTACTGTTTGCTTAAGTTAGGTAGTTTAACGCTCCACTACACCACTGTCTTGCTTTATAGAAAGGTATGCTCGTTGCATCCAATGAGATCTTCGAATTTAATCATTCGATTTTTGAGCTGGGTCGATGAGGGTCGATGGCGTGCAACAATTTTGCAAATAAGCTATACCTACGAGCAGTTTTGTAACATTAACGACTTGTAATATCATCGCGAAACAAGTTCTGGCTATCGTTCCATTTCAGATGATGTCCTTATTTATTTATTCTTGTTCTTTTCGTTACTTTTTCGTTTTTTTGCGTTTTCTTGTTCCCTTTTGTACCGGAAAATATAAGTATTTCAACAACTTCAATAATGACACGTTGATTGCTGTTAAAAGAGGTAAACTATATTTTCTTTCAAAGAAAGTTCCGCATTACGATAAAGTCATTTTTTGTTAAAGGTGACATTTTCAACTATTCCTTACCACGAAGTCATCGAAAGACGCAAAAAACAAGACAAGGTAATAAACCTTAAAAAATTATACAACCTTTCTGAAAGACCAGCTAGAAGGACCTCATCGCTGTTAGACCTGCGCAATATATGTAATTGATTTCAAGCTACCTAACGTCTTAATTATATCGAATTTCTCAACTATATTGAAATCTTCACATAGATTAATCTTTTTCTGCTTACCAAATTTTCCTAATTCCCTCTTTTTCGTAAATTTGGTTTCCTTTTTTTGTAGGTCCTATCTAAGGCAATTTTGTCACTTTTAACGTTTGGTGGACTCGGTGTTCTTTCAATTGCCTATTTCAAACCTCGGTTGACGTCATTCAATTTCCAGCTGCCCAGTATTAATTTGCCTAAAATGAGTTTGTTTGTAAGCAACTAGAAAACAATAACAAATATCGTATGAATGAGTACTTTCTAGCGTATGTAGACAAGCTTGCAAGGTAGGTAGGGGACTGATTTGGTTAGTATGTAGGTAGGTAAGTCGTTAGGTAGAAAGAAGGAGAGTGTTACTTGGCTAGTATTGCTATTGGCATTGGAGGCTTTTCATAGAAAATTTTATATTTATTTGGATATTTATTTGGATATACTTTTTAACATTCCAGGTAGCTATTTTAATATGTTGCCTGGTTCTCAGTTCTTGAATGGAGTTTGCTTCAATGTCATTGTTATCATAAAATGATGAATTTATACAGTAGGCATATTAACGGTTTATTGCCCGTCTTTTGTTCTGTCTGCCCGCAGTTTACTCTGTCTGCCCGCAGTTTACTCTGTCTGCCCGCAGTTTACTCTGTCTGCCCGCAGTTTACTCTGTCTGTCCCCATTATATAATGCCTACCCACAGTTTACTCTGTCTGCCCGCAGTTTACTCTGTCTGCCCGCAGTTTACTCTGTCTGCCCGCAGTTTACTCTGTCTGCCCGCAGTTTACTCTGTCTGTCTCCATTATAAAATGCCTACCCGCATTTTACTATATCTGGATGCAGTTTTGCAGGTCTGTAAATAATAACTGAAGCAGAGGTTACCCGAAAAATTTGACTGAATTGCAGCAAGCTTGGTAATTTTCTTGATGATATATAGTTTGGCGTTGAAAAGCAAATAATATTGCTTGTTGAATAAAATATATTTATAGCTTTAAAAGCCTAATTTAAAGAACATGCGGACATTTTCATAATGTATGTCTCAGTTTAATCTTGATATTTTTACCATAGATGTATGTTAGGCCTTCTGCTAGCATGAGTATGTTTTGCGGTGACTTGAGTTTTTCTTCATGCTTGAACTAACTCTGATTCACATATTTTGAGATTTCTATGTTCTCGATGTTTTAAAACATGATAAAACTTTGAACCAAAAACCCAGTATTAAGTAAGATATACGATAATTTCCAAGCATCTTTTTCACGGGGCCTAAGTGATTTGACTGTGTTTTCTAACCGATTTCTACGTTGCTCTGAAACTTAACTGGTGACCCATCAAAATAAAAAAATATCTATGTGATAGATCAGTTACAAAGTACTGAATAAAATAAAAGATCACTTATATGACAAATTTTGTAAAAATTTTGTAAGAAGTATGATTCAACGATCAGTTCGATTCAACGATCGGACGCAGCCAATCTCCGCTATGAAAACAGTCAGCATCGGGAAGTCAACTTCTCTGTGGCATTTCGAAAATCAGCTGTTCCTGGCCTTGTTGCAGGATCATCATATATAATAGTATGATCTTTTTGACTATCCTCTTGCACAATATTTTATTCACCCTGAGTTCAGCGAGTAAGACTGCTTTTGTTTGCAAAGTCGTTGTTCTTATCAATTCATCACAACATTTAGGAACTCGTCGGAAACAAACTTTTTTAATGTCTGTAGCATCCAAGCTTGTGCTCCACACAGAGTCCATTTCAGAGGGAACTCTTGCTTACCTCGATGTGCCCAGAATAAAAGAAAGCATCTACAGAAGCTTTTTAATATGTCTAGAATTAGAATTAAGGTCAACTGAGCCCCAGCATTGTAACAGAAGGAAACTGTGTTTTTCTCAGGAAGGAGGTGCTGCAATGTTGTTCGAAGGCAGCGATTGCTGTTTTGCTTTACATTGATATGCCTGCTATCTGCCTTTGATGTCAACTCATGGCTGAACATGTTAGGATTTAGAAGCATAAGTTCAATTAATTCTTACTGTTTGAAAAATTAATCTTCAATAATTGCTGTTACTAAAGCTAAAGGTACTAGACAGGAAAGCTCTTTTGGGTTCTTTTCAAGTTTCCCAAGCAACTGCAGTGGAACCTCGATTATCGAACAACTCTACATAATGGACACTTCTGATCAACGGACAGATATTCTTGTCCCAAGTGGTCAAAGCGCTCAAAATAGAATCTTGATTCAACGCACGGACAATTAGACTGATTCGAACGGTGTCTGCTATATTGAGGCTAAACTGTAACCTTCAGTACGTAATTTATCACTTTGTTTATTCAGAGTATTAGAGTTAAATCAAACTACACCAATATGCGTTGTGACCTTAAACTAATTGAAGCAAAAGGGGATCCTACTAGGAAAAAAGTCCCTTAAAATATAAGTAGTTGAAATGCTCCAAAATGAAGGCTAGAATATGCCAAACAGGTTTTGATGAGAGGTTTTAAAACCACTGGTGGACTGACTCATGGAAGAGGAATGTCGGAAATTCAACGGCTGGTGTGGATGCTGTCAATACAAATTTCAGTTGAAGTAAACGATACCACGAGCGAGCAACATAAAGACACAATGACAGCAAGAATAAAATGAGATCTAAACGATGCAAGGCAAATTATTAAATTCGTGGATGCAAGAAGTCCCTTTACTGATGATCTTTACTTGAGATCCATCGCAACAGGTGTCATAGCAGAAGAGGGAGCAAATGTTGACAGAGCAAGATAAATTGGCGAGACAATTTTAGATGATATAGCACGTAAGGAGACAGAGCAATATGTTTTCAAAAAGGCATACCAAGCAACTATAATTACAACACCTAATGTGGCAAAAATGGCCAATATTGAAATCCAAGTGGACCCCCAACTCCTTTTCCAAAGGCTTATTACATTTAAGGACTTTGTTGGACAAGATGCCCGTTCAATATTTCAGTATGAATTATGCTCAGTTCTAGCTACTTTATTTGAGGCAAGTGGTTTAACAAGGACAGCTAACAAGCCAGTACTCGCGGAGGCAGTAGCCAAAACTGGCAATTTCAGTGATACGAGCCCAGCGGAACCATTACAATACGTCCTTGCTGGAGGGTCTTATTTGCAACATTTGGCATGGAAACGTGGAGACCGATTCGCTCGATCTTAGATTCATATCTGTGTTACGTCACTAAAAGGTACAGAAAAGCAGTTGTGGTCTTTGATGGTTACGAACTGGTCCATCTGCGAAAGATATGACACACCGAAGAAGAACAAGGTTATCTGCTGGAGTGGAAGTCATCTTCAAGGAAGATATGGTCCTAACTATAATGAGGAGGTTTTTCTAGCTAAAAAAGAAACAAGCAGCGTTTTATCTACATGTTGGGCAAAAAGTTAGAAATCGAAGGGTGTGAAGTTGTCTATTCAGAGGGTGATGCAGATTTCGCTATTGTAGATAAAGCAATAAGTGTATCAGCAGACATTGAAACTGTTGTCATAGGTGAAGACACAGATCTGCTAATGCTTCTTCTTTATCACGCTAAACAGAATCTACAATCCATCTATTATTGTCCACAGAAAAAGAAAAATGCAAAGAAAAAGTTAAGAGTCTGGGATATAAAGTTTTGTCAACGAGTTCTCGGTTCGGAGACATACAAGTCTATTTATTTCTGCGTGCATTTCTGAGGTGTGATACGGCATCAAGTCTTTTGGTATAGGCAAGGTCCTGGCACTGGAATTGTTTACAAAGAACACACATTTTCGGGAATGTTTTGCAAATGTTTTCAACGAAGAATCCTCTACCACCAAAGACCAGGTTTGTGTCGCAGGTGAAAAGGCATTAAATGCAGTATATAATGGTGAAGAAAATACTTCACTAGATGACCTCTGCTATAATTTTATTTGCGCAAAGCTTTTTTCTGCAAAATTACAGAACAAACCCGAAGCACTACCACCGACATCAGCTGTAGCAAAATACCACAGCATGCGAGTATACTGACAGGTGATGCAATGGAAAGGCCACTCGATAGGTCCTGACAAATGGGGCTGGCAGGTCAAGGCTGGTGCGATGTTTCCATGTCTCACGGATCTCCCTTGTGCACCTGAAGAGATGTTGAAGCTGATTTACTGTAAATGTAAGAAAGGGTGTACTAGTATGAGATGTTCATGCAAGAAATGGTTTAGCCTGTACTACTGCTTGTGGAGAATGCCGCGGAAATAGCTGCGAAAGTCCGATGAGTTTGGATGATTCACCATCTAGTGATGAGGAATGAATAACCAGATACTTTAAACGCACGTTTGGCATTAGCAAGTTTGCATTAAAAAGTTTCTAAACTACTTCCTAGTTCTTTGCAAGATAATAATCATAACGGGAAAATCTGAGGTTGCGAGGTCATATTTCCGTAATCAGCAGCCATTTTTAATTTAATTTTTGAATCGTCAAGTAAATATATAGGCTTTCGATGTGCATATGGCATAATCAAACGAAATTTAATGCTCAAATGCAATCCAAATTCTATATATATAGCGATTTTATATATGCAAGGTGTACCACAAGGGCTGAAAAAGTGAGGGAATTTAAAGCAAATATCATGGGGCGATTTTGGGGGGTTCAACAGCTGGGATTTTATGGGACTTTCTTCTGAACAAGGTTTAGCGGATCGACTTTCGACTGCAACTTAACAAAATTTTGTTGCAATTAGTTCAGGGTCAAATTACAGTTTGACTAGACATATTGGTGTTTAGTTTCTTAAAAAGATTTAAAATTGAAACTGATAAAAGCGATTTTGAGGCACCTTGAATGCGTCGATTTTCTGAAGAGGAATAAATCTAACATGGAATAATATCGAAGTATTCTTTTAAAATCAAATTATCTTTGTAGCATAGGTAATAACCATATTTTCGATATCATATGTTGCCTTCAAGCGTTTTTTAGTAAAAGAAAGGAAACAGATTAAATGATTTAAAATTTTTTGCAGAATCAACATTAAATTCTTGTTGTGAGATTGGTTTTCACATAGCTGATATTCAGAAGTGAGTTTTATAACAAATGAGAATAGGTTTAGATAGTCAAAACAAAATACCACTTTGTAAAATAAAACTGGTAGCTTCGAAATTTATATAATTTTCAACTGGGTGTGTTATGAAAATTGATTAAATAAAGAAGAAAAATTTAGGTATTCGTTTAATAAATATGCATGTTAAATGGTCAACAATAGTGCACTCTTATCTTGGTTTTTTTATATTATTTTATGTTTAATTAGATTTTCATACTTAAAGCGCTGATTACTTCATTACATGAAAATGACGCGTTTCAAAGTACTGGCTTATTTAAGACAGATTCGTTGTTGTTGATAGCAATATGAAATAACTAATTTAGAGTTATTGTAAAAGCCAACATATACGAAAAAAGTATATTGCAAAATCTGTGCAATTCTAGAAAAGTATATTTAACGCAATTCAAAGCTTTCTATCAAAACACTATAGCTGCAAAGAAAAGAATTGTCAGAGCGATCGTCGAGTAAACCATAATATCTTACATTATATGACAACTTCAAGAAATCCTGCTTTTGCATCCTTTTAAAACACTTTATATTTCCTAACATCTATTTTATCACAATGCTATACACGCTTTTTATTTTATTGGGAACCTAGCTGGGGGTCTAATTTCTGACTTAAAAACAGACTATGCTCGAAACGTCGTTATAATTTACTTTCATTGATCGTTATTATAGCATTATATTGTACCGCACGCAATCTAGTATGTCTACTTTATGAAGTTCCTTAATTTTGGACCTCTTTTGATTTGATTGTAGTACTAATAGTTACTTTAGCTGCACATTTGATGTCATGAACATTTCATTGTACATTGAAATTCTGTATTAGTGTCGCTAGATTCTTAGCTGTAGCTAGAAAACAAGGTGAAAAACAGAAAGAAGACTAAAAAGACGTTTGATATAAACAAAATGGAAATCCAATCAAGATGAAAAATAAAACACTCGATAGCTACCTGCGTAACGCACAATTTATGTGATTTTAACTCCAAACGAATAGAAATGGCTACCTAATTCTTGATTGTTTGCAATGGTGAAATATTTAAAAATAAAT